GGTCTCTGTTGTCTCTGCGGTCTCAGCGGTCTGTGGTCTCTGCGGTCTGTGGTCTCTGTTGTCTCTGCGGTCTCAGCGGTCTGTGGTCTCTGCGGTCTGTGGTCTCTGTTGTCTCTGCGGTCTCAGCGGTCTGTGGTCTCTGCGGTCTGTGGTCTCTGTTGTCTCTATGGTCTCAGCGGTCTGTGGTCTCTCTGGTTTCAGCGGTCTGTGGTCTCTGTTGTCTGTGATCTCAGTGGTCTATGGTCTCTGTGGTCTAAGACCAGAAAACAGAGCTGCTGCGAGCGAGGGTGGGGGCCGTTACCATGGCGACGTGCAGCTAGACACAGGCATTGGCAAGACCAGGAAGCAAGATTTACGCGAGAATGTGTGATCGGATGAATTTAAACTAGTCTAACTTTACAGATTACTTTTTTATGAGGTCTAAAGGCTTGAACTGGACGTCCTGAGTGAACTCCGGAAGAAAGCATCAAGTCTGGGATTGCACTTTTTGTGAAAGGGCTCATACTTCCTTGTCCCATTTTTTTTTTCTGTTTTACTCCACGGCTTTGATTACGAGAACTCAATATTTGCAGGGACTCTAAATCTGTTTTGATGAGGACTTGAACCACGAGCGGCGTCAGGTTTACAGCTGTAGGTAGGCCTCCTGGTTAGCAGGCAGCCAGGTAAGGACTCGAACCTCTTCCTGAAGATGTGAGACAGGCCTCCTCTCTGACAATGTTTAAAACCAGGTTAAAGACAGTTCTGTTTAGCTGTGCATACAACTGAGGGATTTTATATTTTTATCCTTTTTTAATTTTTTTTAATGTACTGTGATTATTTATGATTTTAATGCTTTCTTGTTTTGTTCAGCACTTTCAGTTGCCTTGTGTATGAATTGTGCTATACAAATAAACTTGCCTTGCCTTGCCTTGCCACTTGTAGGGACTCAGACCCTATTCAGATGGTGACTTAACCCTTTAACATTCACTCCTTAAGCAAAGCAATGCATGTTTTTTTTTTAATGATATATCTTTTACCAAATAATTGAGATGCAGTCCAATGGTAAAAGGGCCCAAAACCAAGTGAGATGCCCAGAAGAGGTGTATTTCAGTTCCAAGATCAAGTAGTTGAGGGTTTCACTTTGAGTCAGTGAATTAATGTCAAAGCTTTTTGTGTTGAAAAGTATTTTGTAACTGACAATTTGACTGACTGAAATAAACTACTACTACTACTAGATAAAGTGACTCAAAAGGATTAAACCCCAACATTTGACATCTTACGAGGCACTTTTTCCTATTATTCTAGGAATTGGCACCCTCACCGGTAGCTAATCTGTCCTCAACAACAAAAGACGACACAATGACAATTTGATTTAGAGATATAACATTTGGCAGACTTCAAAAACAGACCAAAATGTAGCTTGTAATTCAATCATACAAACTTTGAATAAACAGGAGCCCACTCTTACCTTGGTCTTCGTCAAACCAGATCCATGGACTGTCGAGAGGTCAACCCAACGTCTTTTCAGCTGTTTCCAAGTCCAGGCCCCAAAAGCATAGACATGGAAAAATACAACTTTAAACACAAAACAGATAAGAACAAAAGTGAAGGAGCAAGAAAGTAATCAACAGCCGGCTCTCTCAGGCTACTGGAGTGTGATGTTGCTCCCTCAAGCAGAAAGGACTCTTCAAGCACTTCTTAAAGCCACACAGCAGCATCCTCCACCAAATCTGAAACGTGATGACAGAGGCAGCAGCCATTGCACCTGTAACCTGGGTTATTCTCCAGTCCTTCCAGACCGAATAAAAAAACCCAGATTTTTATATGAGATGTAGCAATGTGTCATCTGTCGGCATATGTCAGAACAGACAATCAGACAATCCTCGAGTTATCAATATTGAGTAAAAACAATCCAAATAAAGGTCTGCATGGCCGTAAATACTTTTAATCTTATTTCTTGAACATTTTTCATGTTTGTCCCATAAACTGTAAATATTAACGCCTATCTTTGCCACTGAAATGAATGTGCCACCACTTTCGCCGTCTGTGGGCAGTTTCAAAATGGCCGCGGGGGCTTGACAGTTAAAAAATGCATTTGCGCATGTGTTAACTGCACTAGCCCCATTCATTTAAACGAGTGGCTTCAAAACTCCACAGCGACTAAAAAAGACCGGTCCAAAAAAATACACTCCCCTCAGCATTGACACACATGTGGAACGTCACTTTGGGCCAAGAGCCGACTTTTGGACCATCCTGTAAAGACGTTTTCAAGAGGTAAGAAGATGCTATATGTTAGCATTGGATAATTCATATTCTGGGTTGACCCCCATCGGCATTTTAAACATTTTTGAGCCGGGTAACGTCGGTTTACACTGCCTCAGCTGTCTATGATGTAATGCAAACCTGCGCATGTGCTTCTCATGGCAGCCGAAGCAAATCAAGATGGCGGATGTAAAGTTTGCGAATTGTTTAAAATGTTTAAATACGATTGAATAAGACACAAATGTCGCTTTTAATGGAATTTGATGCATGATGTTGTTGGTTCTGTGTAATATGTGAGTCAAAAGTTTTGTGTTTTAATCAGTCAAACCACACTGCTACTGTTTTGATAGCAATACCTTTCTTGTCGAGTTGAACTGCCGCATACGTAATTTTACTGACGTAGGTCGATGACGCGTCCTGTGGCTAACTCAACAGCTAATAGATCCATGCTTACCAATATCAACCCCACAGATCAGTCGCATGCTAACAGCTGTCGAGTTAGCCACAGGACGCGTCATTGGCCTACGTCAGTAAAATGACGTTTACGGCAGCTCAACTTGACAGGACAGGTACTGCTATCACACAGCAGCAGTGTGGTTTCACAGGAGCAGTTGACTGCTTAAAACAAACTTTACACAAAACTTTGATTCTTAAAACCCACATATCACAAAATGGAACCATCGACCTCTCACCTCAAATTGCATCAAAAGTGACACACGTGTCCTTTTTCGTTTGTATTTAAACTTTTAAAGCAATTCACAGACTTTATGTCCGCCATCTTGGTTTGCTTTGGCTGCCGTGAGAAGCACATGCCGAGGATTGCATTACATCATTAATAGCTGAGGCAAACGACGTTATGTCCCAGGTTTTAGTAGGTGTCTGTTGAGGGGGGTGTGATCAATAAAAGGCAAAGGGATAAAAATGTAATAAAATATGTACAAAAAAAACCTTTAAAAAAAGATAAAAGCACAAAGTCCACTCTTCCCGCCGTCCTCGCCAAGCTGGGCCACCTCTGTCCTGGGACCAGGCCACAGTCTCACCAGCCACTCACCAAGGGTCGCCACCGAGCACCCGCGGGGGAGAGCTGGCACATCCCAGACGCCTTCGAAGCCGGCCTTCGTACTTTTTCTTCTCCTCTTCCCATGCCTGACTCAATAGTCTTGATTAAAAACAGGTGTGGGGAATTGAGGAAGTGTCCAAGGAAAGGTGAATTAAAATGCATCCATAAAACAACATAAAAGCACACACGAAACACACACTATAAGGAGTTAAAAATCCTTGCTTAAGTCCACTTTCCCAGGTACACCGGGACCCACTCCTACTGGTTTGTCCTAGCTAAGTCCAAACATGCAGGTCAGATTCTACAGAAGCCTCTTTCAGGTTTTGTATGTTGGATCGGAGGTACAGGTCACTCCCTGCCTGAACCAGCAGAATGGCAAACAGCCTTTACCCTCAGGTTGTCAGACTGGTCAATGAACACTGCCCCCCTCCACACCCCCTCGGAACCCCATTATCATCCTCCACTTTTATATATCTGCCATGACTGTGAACCGGTCGTGCATCGTTGCAACTAACTGTTACTGTTCTGCTAATCTACCCATTACGAGCCACAAGGTGCTAGTGTCTAGGTGTGGAACAGAGACGGGAGGGAGAGTAACATGTTTATTAAAAATGGGCAAAAGAACCACTGTTCAGATCACTGAAACAAAATGCTAAGAGAAGGTGAGGTGCAGCGGCAGGACCCACTGGTCTAATGGACTGTCACAATGGAAGAGAGAGCGAGCTTGGTCTGGATCCAGGCCCTTTATGCCTCCCAGCTGATTGCTGCACAGGTGTGGGTGGGATGTCACTCAGCTGGAGGTGGGAGGGTCTGACAGGTGGAGGCAAAGAGAAACACAATAACCAAAACCAAAGGACTTTGTCTGTAACACTACCTCTCTACAGTGATGCTCTAAATGCTATTTCATTGTTTTTGTGACAGTGGCCCTCATTTATGAAACTTGCGCAGAAAAGGGTGTACATTTTTGGTGCAGATTCCAAATACGCAAAATTCAACGCAGGATTTATGAACGTGTGAGGTCCGCCCATATAAGAGTGTACGCACCTGCTCCTGTTGATAAATGTGGCGGCTGCAAACGAACGTAATTAAGAAAGTCACGGCTATAAATATTCAGCCACCGCCTGTTTCACGTCTCATTTTTACCACATGGCAGAAAGGAAGTCGACGAAGAAGAAGAACTTCACGGAGCAGGAGATAGATATAATTATGAATGATGTGGAAAAAAACAAAATAATATTGTTTGGAAGCCTCAAAAGTGGCTTCCAAAATATGGAAGGCTATTACTGCCTCCGTAAACAGCGTGGGGCCTGTGCCACGCACTCCTGAGGAGGTGAGTTCATTCATGTTTGCTAAAGAAATATACCTGTCAAACAGTTGACAACAATTATCGGGCCAATAGTTAGCATTTATTATTTATGCCTACAGGTGAAAAAAAGGGAGTGACTTAAAAATAATCACAAAAAGGCGTTTAGCAGCCCAAAAGCGAAGTGCTCAGCAGACAGGGGGAGGACCGCCAGACCGAAGCCTCTTGTCTGCAACGGAGGAGCGGGTTTCTGCGCTCATTGGTGGGGCCTCAATCGTCGCTGTCTTGGGGATGACACCCATCTGATCGAGGAGACTGTTCTAGGTAATTAATTAAATTCTAGCTAAATCTGTCCAAATGAAAGCAGAGACATCCTTATTCTTATGTTGTTTTTATTTATTGTAGAAGTGCCAGGAACAAGTGGCAGTGCACTGCATCCTGGGCCAAGGGAAGAGACTGGAGATGTGTCCGCGGCACAGAATCCGCGAGCCGCTGCTTCCCAACCCCGCACATTTGCGGCTCTACGATGGGCCTCTGTCCTGACAGAGGAGGTGCTGGACAAGCAGACAGAGATTTGGAGCCAGCAGGTTGAAATCAACACAAACCTGCTATTAATAAACCAAACACTTTGTCAAATCAACGAGAATTTAAAGAAATAATTTTTTTAAAATGATTTGTGTGATCATTACTTTAACATTGTTGAATGAGGGCCTGCCTGAGCTGTACAGGCCGAAGTGCAGGTGGTGCTGGCCATGGTTCGTCATCCATGGGCTGCTCCACTTGAGGCCCCAGTGCAGCAAATGGCACACCGTGGTCCTGTGCCATATTGTGGAGGACCGAGCAGGCCAGGACCATATGGCACACTTTTTCCGGGCAGTACAGGAGTGTACCCCCGGCATGTCCCAGGCAGAGCCATATTCCCTTGAAAAAACCTGCGCAGCGCTCCACAGTGGCACGTGTCTTTGAGTGCACTTGGTTGAAGCGCTGCTCCTGTGGTGTTTGCGCATCGGCAAGGGGAGTTATCAAATATTCTAATAACGGATAGCCTCTGTCACCTAAAGCATGACATGCAGTTATTCATTGGTATATTACACAATGCATTCGCTTTAACTCACGGAGAAGATAACCATCTCCTCTTGGGGCTCTCTTCTCCAGTCTTCGGCCCACACTGCTGTGCTGGAAAATGAAGGCATCGTGGGTGCTACCTGGCCACCAGGCGACCACATTAAGGAGCCGCAGTCAGGCATCACAAATGAGCTGCACATTTATGGAATGGTACCGTTTCCTGTTCACATATGCATAATCATTAACCGACGATGGTTTCAGACGCACATGCGTGCAGTCCACTGCCCCGATGACGTTAAGGAGGCCAGCAATCTCATAAAAGTCCCTCTTAATCATTGCTTGCTGTTCATTGTCATATGGGACCCCGGACGGCATGTGGCTCAAAGATGACTGGGTGATTCCTGACCTGTCGGCTATTTCGCGTTAGAATGACCCGGTGGCCAGGACACCCAGTGTCGGTTTCGGTGCCAGAGCACCTGCAGTGGCACCGAAATGGCACGAGAACGCCGGGTCTCCCGTCCCAGCTGTGGCTCTAACTTCGCGAACAACTGCACCAAGACGTGCCTTGATAGACGGAAGCAGCTTAGTAGCCAGTCATCAGACTCACTCAACAAGTCACTCCGATCACGAAATGCTTTCTCTCTTCTCAATGGAGCTTGAGCATCTTCTAGGAGCGCTAGATCTGCCATTGTCGAGGGTGCTTTGGTGAACTCATGCCTCAATTTATAGCCGGGGTGGACATGCATGAACCAATTGCCAGTGCGCACTGATTAGATGATCAAACTAGGTGCTACACATTTCCACACATTTGTGGGAGACTCTTGAGTTTGACATCTTGCAGGTTATTCAGTGACACAAACTATCAGCATAGCCCAAACAAAACTGTGCCTATAATCTTGCCAGAGTGGGAATATGTTTATTGTTGTCCAAAACTTGAATTAAATACGTGTTTTCAGCGTGTTGTGATGAAGGTTGAAATGAGTGTAAAATGCGTACATGTATATATCGGCGTATATTTTGTGCGTAGCGTACACTCGTTTCAAGATGGATAAATGCGGAAAAGTGTAAATGTTTCATAAATGAGGCACAGAGCCAGCACGATTATCATGTCTAGATCGTCCTTGCAGATCCTTTATTTTTGTTGTTAGTTCCTTGTTACCTTCATTCATTTCATTCAAACGCCTTTATAAGTGGCGCAATGTTGTCTTCAAACCTAGAGATCCACGTTTCAGATTCGGTCATACGGTTGTTGAGTGTGTCGGCCCAAGGCGTCAATTAAAACTATTATGCTATTTAGTTTAGCATCCACCGTAGCCTCGAACTTGACCCTTTAAAGAATTGTTGAGTATGTGGTCCCCCCTGCCCCGAGGAGTAACAGGTCTTTGGTTGACAGCTCGGAAAAGTTTGTGTTGTGGAGGAGCTAATGTTAGCCTCCCTGTCGGTATTAGCATCATATCCAAGGCCGTGTCGCAGTCTCCAGAATCTTCACCATTTTGCGCTTGTCTTGGTGGTTTTGGCATGTTGATCGATATTGTTTAGTTCTGATCTATGCGGCTCAGTCTGTTTGGGTGGATTTAAAGGCGACAATTGGACCTTTTTCTCTCTCACTCCTTCTGCCGCCATCTTGATATCTGAGGATGAGGTTACTCGACTTTTCGTAGTGTGATCTCAATCCAAACATTTCATATACATAGATAAATAGATGAACAGGTTCTTTCCCACTGGGTTTTAGAGTTTTTCCTCCGATGCAGGAGAGTCTGTTGGACAGTCAGTGTCTAACAATAAGGACTGTGGTGGTGATCCAGCACACTTTAACATTCTACAACATGCATTTACAGTTATCAAAATTAATGGACGTTGGTCTCACCATATGAACCAATAACTATGTGTTCTATATTTTTTTGTGTTTTAACTGTTGATTCTCTGATCTGTGTTGGTGATTTCAATGGTTTTGTTAAGTCCTCTGAGATGATGTTGTGATTTAGTACTATACAAGAATAAATGTAATTGGATTGAATTAAATAGATAGATACATTATTGATCCTTGTGGGAAAATAATCAGGTGTCCAGCACCAGATACACATCCATATAGACACATAAGTACAATCATAAACATTTTTAACTGTCTAACATATCTAAATAACTACCTAACAATAAGGCATATTTTTAACTCATCCAGGTTTGTTGTACAGTCTGACAGCCGAAAGAACAAAGGATCTCTTGAAACGTTCTGTTCGGCAGCGCAGTGATGCTTCGATTACTCCTTTGAGCAGCCGTAGTGTCATGCAGAGGGTGTCTGGAGTTACCCAGGATGCACAGCATTAGAGCCCTCATCCTTCTCTCCAGCCCAGGTCTCAGAGAGTCAGCCTGTCGAGCCGGTTACTGTCTCGAGGTCAGCCTGCCGCCCCATGAACCATATGGTAAATAAAGAGCTGTGAGGATCATAGATTTTGTGTCATCCCTAAATTAAATAAGACTGAATACATTTCACAGTGGGTGCGCGGCTCGAAACAAAACAAGTGGAATCCCAAATGGAGCTCCCTCAAGGACACCTAGACAAGAACTGTTGATGAACATGATCATAGTCCAGGCGTCTCCAACCTTTTTTACCCAGAGAGCTACACCTTTATACGGTCCGGGGAAAAATGAGATGATATATTGGTGAGAGCGAGCCTGATAGTGGGATTATTAATTATCACATATTCATTACGTGTGCACAAAGTATAATAAAGAATAATGCATTACGAAATATTCAGTATATTATTTGAATTGTTCATTTCTAAATCCTTTGGCGAGCTACCTGGAAGAGGGTGGTGAGCCACTGGTGGCTCCCGAGCTACAGGTTGGAGACCCCTGACATAGACAGTAGGAGGACTACAATATGCAAACTGTCCTGGTCTTTTCTTGCAGAGGCTGTTTGATGGAAAGGCCCACATGGTTCCTGTGTGAGCTGGTGCAGTCCCGGGGTGAAACCATCTGTGCTCACCTGCTCCCGGAGGAGTGTGTGTCTACAGAAGCATTTCTCTCCATCGAGCTCCAGCAGAACCTGTCCACAGTCCATGTGCAGGACATGTTTGAGCCTTCGCAGTGCAGTAAGTGGTGGATTCAGGTCCTATACTTTCACTGTATACTGGAATAGATTTGATTTGGAGAAGCAATACCATAGAGACTGTAGCCATAATGCATTTAGTAATAACCATTGTCCTGAGTTTACCCAAAAGGCTCGTACGTAGTTGGCCTGTAAGATGTTAGATGAACGATGGAAAGCACGGAAGGCAAAGGATCAATGATGAAAGGACCAGACTTAGTAAACTGGCAAAGTGTGGACAGAAACTCCGCCTCATTCACCTCAACACGAGTTTTTGAAACATCTGTTTGTCTCTCCCTGAATAGAACAGTCTCTTCTTCCAATAGGAACCATTGCTTTAATGATAAACCACTTGGGCGGCACGGCGGCTGTATGGATAGCACTCTCGCTTCTCAGCAAGAAGGTCCTGGGTTGGAATCGTTCTGAGTGGAGTTTGAGTGGAGTTTGCATGTTCTCCCCATGTCTGCATAGGTTTCCTCCGGGTGCTCCAGTTTCCCCTACCACTAAAAACACGTACAATAGGTCTGGCATGGGCCTCCTGTTCTGGCCCAGCTCCCATTTCTGTGTGGGGTGAGCTACAAATGCCCAAAAATAAGAATTGTAAACTGCTTTGTGACTCTGGTCTGTAAAAGGTGTTATATAAATAAAGATTACTTACTTACTTACTTACTTAGAAACATGTCATCATAAGTAGAATTCTGTGGTCGGAGAAGCCGGCATCTCCAGTGGTCAGAAGGTCCAGCTCTTCTTGCATTCTAACTTTGAACAAGAGTTGACATCTTATCAACTGAGGCCAGTTGGTGTAGACCTCTCAACATCATGCTCTCAGAGACTCGCGAGTCCCACAACCACAAGTCCGAGTCAGGTCTGAGTCTTGAAGGGATGAGTCCAAGTAAGGTCTCTGAAACTTGAGTCCGACTTGAGTTTGATGTGTCAGTCACCTCTGTCCATTTCAATACAAACAAAAAACTCTTGACTTAGATTGGTTTAGTTACAGATCCATGAATGAATCTTGCCTTCTTACGCTGTTGAGGCTGTGGATTGTGACTCAGTCTGTGCCCACCAAAACACTCTCAGCAAGACAGTGAGAAAGGAGGCTTCCTCCCTGGGGCAGCCCTTAACCCAGCGGAGAGAACTTTTTGTTGTGTTCAACTGAATCAGATCTGAGAAAAGTCATTCAGACACATACACACACTCACAGAAGGGAGAGCAGGGAACCAGACATGATACCTAGAACAATAGATAGATACTTTATTGATCCCCAAAGGACAAATGCAGGTGTCCAGCAGCGGAAGCACGTTCATACAAACAAATAAATATATAATTCTAAAAGTGACTAACAATAGTAATGAAGTGCAACAGCAGCAGGTGTAGTCGCTGGGAGGTGCAGGACAGGTCACAGCAGCAGAGGTCATAACTATTATTTATTCTGTGGGGACGATCCATCCATCAATCCATTTCTGGGTCAGGGGGGCGGCAGTCAGTGCTGCACCCAACTCACATAGCACCAGCCCCTGCTAACATCCTATAATAAAATACTATCGATGTTACGAATCAAGGCAAAGAACCCTCAAGCAGACACTGAATAAGGAACTGAGGATCATTTATTGCGTTAGGACTGGACCTGGTGGGGGCTGGAGAGAGCAGGACCAGGGCAGGATGATCTTCTTGATAGAAAAGTGAAGCTGTGGATTGCCTACAGCACACCTGTTACAATCCTGCAACAGAAGAGGGAGGGGGAGGGAAAGTCAGCCTCTCAGGGAGTGGCTGAAGTGGCCAGAGGTGCTGGGAGGCCTGTGACAAATAATTGAACTCACTTTATTTGCTTTTACCACTGGTTTAATTTAAAGATGCAGTCAGTGATTTTCCAGGCGCATTTTTTAGAATATTGTGGGAAAACGTCCCTAAACCCTAAAAGTAGTCAAGTGTGTGTGTTTTCAAAACGTAGTCTCCAAAAATGTATAAAAAATATTTTGGAGTGGACCGATAAAAGTATCCAATGGGATTCGTTCATCCCCAACAAACCAATGGGATGTGTTTACCCTCTTCACCCTCTTCCTGTTTCTCACGAGTGCGCGTACGTGAGTTATCGGATTTTATAAAACCTAAAATAGCTGAACAGAAAATACCAATTTCACGTTTTCCACCCACTCTCCCTGTTGTGACAAAGAAAAGAAAATGCTGGATGTTTGGTTTGGTGGAAAGGCTAGGGGAGGGGGGAGTGGTTTCGAGTCGGAGCTACGGCTAAGCTAACAATATCAATTACTGCACCTTTAATAATAACTTGTTGTCTGTGCTCACATGACCTTGTGTTTGTTCTCACACAGTCCGCCCTCGGTCCCCACTCGCCCCAGTGTTGGTGGCAGCAGCAGAGCTCTGGAACATCACCTGGACCTCTGGATACGAACACAGCCTTTTGAGCGAAGCGTTGGAATTCGAGCTTCTCCTGCAGAACACCGCTGACCTGTGCTCCTCAGACTCCTGCAAGGTAAACACAGATCCTCCCCCTGATCCATGCAAACATATTAACCATACTCATTAACCTTATTCTACACAGTCTCATGTGTTGAGCTGTCAAAGCCCTCACGTGTTGGTGGAGGCGTCTAAGCTGGAGCCCGAGTCTCTGCTGTGCGCTCGGGTGCGATCCAGACCGTCTCATCAGGACTACAGCGGCGTGTGGAGCCACTGGAGCCCGCAGACCTGCAGGACGTCGCATCGCACCGGTACAATACAACCACATGTAACTATGAACACTTTAGTTCAGCTCTCCAACTACGACAGCTATTTAAGTGATAATTAGTGTATAATTTATAGTTAAAGGAGCAGTATGTAAAAATCTGGCCAAAAGTGGTACTGCAAGCTTTCCCACTCTTCCTGACTCAGGTTGCCAGATATGCAGAAGAATCCAGCTAGGAGCATCACAATAGACAAGAGTCAACAACAAATCTATAATCAACACATTTTTCACAACAATAAAAATCCTGGTTTTATTCCTTGTTTTGTCGTTAATGATTTGAGAATCATAACAAGACCTTTTTAGTACCGTGGACACATGTTACTTTACCAGTGAGATTAGCTCGACGCAGTGAATTGTGGCATCCCAAATCATGGACTCTGATTGGTTACACAATGGAGTTTTAGGGGCTGTAAAACTAATTTTGAAATCCAAATATCTCTGAACTACTGTTATCAGTTAAAGAAGTGTTTGAAAAGACCATGGTTTATTAATACTTTTTGACAGATTAGGGCCATTTAATGATGACTTGACATAAAAATCTTACATATAGCTCCTTTAATAAGCTCTTAATTGGTATTTACAAGCAGCACTTTGTTCAGCACTTTGAGTGGCCTTCTGTATGAACTCTGCTATACAAATAAACTTGCCTTGCACTTAATAATCCATATTTTATATCAAACTAACTAGTTTAGGGAGAGGTCCATCTTGTCTTATTTGACAGAAGTATACCCTCAAAACATGTCAAGGTAATTCGGGCGTTCTGCTCTCCCAAAATTCCATCCGATGGGCGGGGGAGCGACTGAATTTTGCGTTGCATTATGGGTAACACTTGCCTTCGCAACTTCCGGTTCTCTCTGCCCGGCGCATTTTCTCTAAATGGTTGAGTGTTTTCGTCATTTTCTGTATGCAAATACATTCCCGTCTCTAACTAGTGGCATATCGCGCAAATCATCCGTCCAATTCACATTCTTCCCTCTTAGCTGAACTTCATTCTCATTGTTACCATCTGTCACTCGCACACACAGCCGTTTTCGTTCACTCTGCTCGCTGTCATCTTCTTCTAAATCTTCATAAACACAATCCGCTCGTTGAACTAGCAACAACAATTCCTCCTTTCGTTTTCCCACACTGCAAATACCCTTTCGCTTCAACCTTTCACGCAATTCAGGCACTGTCAATCGCTTGTTGTTTTCGTGAGCCATATTCGCCATTGTATGAAATCAACCGGAAGTGAACTGGGCAACAAACGGTGTCATTTTTTGATCACAGCGCCGCTCAGTGGATGAAATTTTGGGAGAGCAGAACGCCCGAATTGCATCGCTATTGCTTGTTATTGAAGAACCAAAAACTAGTAAAGTTTGTAGTTTGTAGGGAAGTGCCAGACCTTCCCATGTGGGTTAGGATTAGGGTACACTCTTTAGCACTTAATTCTGTTAATCAGTGAGGGCTCCCCCAGCTTGAACTTATGAGTATCATTAATGGAAGAATGTCTGTGCTGGTCGTTGCAGGTCAGAGTGGTCAGCTGGTGATAGGTGCACTGTGTGTCCTGCTGTTGATGGTCCTGTCCGTCTCCACAGTCAGGTGTGACCCAGCTCCAGGTATAGACTCAAACACACTTTAATCTGACACAATCTGCTCTGGAACAGGTTCTGGATGAAGATAAAGACTCCAGTACCATCACCAGCCCCGTTCTTCAAGCCTCTGTTCTGTCAGTATGACGGTCGTCTGAAGGTAAGTCCTAGAGTACGTTTCAGGGAAAGTCCAAGGGCAGTTTTGACTATTTAATAGACCAGTGTTCCCCAACCTTTTTGAGTCGTGCCTCACCTTTGTCATTGCGAACAATCACATGGCACACCAACAGCTGAAACTGATACAACATTGAAACTCTACAGCTTTTATTAACAAAGCGAAGTCATTCTCACCAATTTGTCTTATATAGAAAACCAGCCAAACACAAAAGTATTTCTAATCATCTCATTCACTCTTTCACTGTTCCTTTCAAATGGCACATTGTAAAGTTGTTTCACGAGCTTGCCATTCCTCCTGAGCACTCGGTCCGTTGTTGCGATTGAAGCAGATGTCACAGGTGGGACCAGGTTCTTTGGACCCGGTTTTAAAAGAGACCACTGGATCACAGAGGAAAAGCAAGTTAAAAACGATTTATTATAAAATACATAAAAAACGTCAAAGGATAAAAAATAAGTAAATCTAAACCTAAAAACAGAGGCTAAAGTAGGCTAAAATAACCTTCTCTTGGCCACGCCCTGGGCCGCCAGACCACGGGGCTTTCCCCTCGATGCATCTGACTCACTCTCCGGCTTCCTCCCGTCCTCCCCCTCTCCTTTTGTACTCAAGGCACAGGTGTTCTAATTGTTGTGACGTGGGGAGCCGAGGTGGTGCAAGTTAAAAACACACAACATGCATAAAAAATTAAATACAAACCTTATTAAAACCCACCACCCATTTTGCACCCACCGACACGGATTAAATATTTCCAAAGATATTGTCATCATCTATAACAGGGCTTTGAATCTCAATAGCTGCGTTTCCATTAAGCATCAAATTTCGAAATTTGAATTTGCGCATCATAAAATGTCAAATGGAAACGCGCAAATTTCGAATAAACCACAGTTTTTCGATAAAAAGTTAATGCGCTTAAAATCGGTGGTTTTTTGGACGTATCGAAATTAAGTTTTTCGCAAAACGGCAATGGAAACACTTATTTCGATATAGCGGAGGAAGCCGAGCTGAGCTTTATTCAGTGAGTTTTGGCTGCGCTTCGTGTGGAGACTTGGGAGATACGTGGGAGAGGCATGGGGGAGAGACGGGGGAGAGACGGGGAAGAGACGGGAGAGAGACGGGGGAGAGGCATGGGGGAGAGACGGGGGAGAGACGGGGAAGAGACGGGGGAGAGGCATGGGGGAGAGACGGGGGAGAGACGGGGGAGAGGCATGGGGGAGAGACGGGGGAGAGACGGGGGTGAGGCATGGGGGAGAGACGGGGGAGAGACGGGGGAGAGACGGGGGAGAGACGGGGAAGAGAGACGGGGGAGAGGCATGGGGGAGAGACGGGGGAGAGACGGGGAAGAGACGGGGGAGAGGCATGGGGGAGAGACGGGGGAGACAGGCAAGACCCGTGTCTATGGTTCTGTGCGCGCGTCTATGGTCCGCTCGGTACATGACCACGCGCGTTTGCGGAGCTGTCAAAGCAGCCACAGTTTCTCCCGGGGTCAGAGAGGATGAGAGCCGCAGCAGAAGTCAAGACATTAATATATCTCACGTAAATCAAAGTGTTGTTTACTTCTGTTGCCATGTTGACGTACTAGAAGCTAGTGAATAAACGCGCGAAAATAGTGTATACTTATTCGAATATGTCTTAATGGAAACGGCCGCTTTTGCGAATTAAGGTTTTTCGAATTTTGAAATGTATCGAAAAAGTTTTTGCGCATTATTCAATGGAAACGCAGCTAATCTTATGGCTTTGTTTGCAGTCACCATCGCACACCTGGCTTCCTCTCGTGGAGTAAAAACACAACAAGAGGGAGCTGTGAAGTTGTCCTGCAGTCCTACGTGTACTTTTACTGGTTTTATTTTGATATATTGGTTCTTTTCAGTGTTACCTCCTGTCTGGATCAAGCCCCGGTGATCCAAGATGGCGCCCTATTCAAATGAATGGCCTGTGCTCACCAGCGCATGGGACTTGTCGGAGACCGGGAGATTAGCTGAACTCGCCTATATTTGGGCATCGTCTGGTCCTCCCGGTTCTGCGCAGTGGATTATCTCCCATAATGTATTGCGCCAAATACGCGTGTGTGGCTTTCATGCACGTGCACAGAGGCGCTCGGCCGCGCTCTGACCAATCAGAGCAGCGGTAGGGCGCAGTCAGAGCAGGAAAGAAACGAGCAGAGTTTGTGGCAGTAAAATGTGGATTTAAAGAAAACCGATGGATTTAAGAAGAAAAAAAGTTCCGGATGACAAGGGACACTAAAATCCCCACAAAATCCAATCTTTGTGAAAGCTGAGGTCGAGCTGTTTTAGTTTACATTGATTCTATGGGACTTTTTTCTGGGTAGCCCACGAGAATTTAGTCTGCAGTACCACGGGCGCCCCCTGTGCCCGTGCCTCATGCTCTGACCAGCCTCAGCCACAGTGAGGCGTGATTGACAACACGGTCCACAAGTGTAGCCCTAATTTCATCAGGAATTTGCAGATGTACTTCACTCCCAGTTTTGTCGCGTTCCTCCGTGGATTCTCACTCTTCCTCCATGTCGCTGATGTTCCATTTTTGTGTCACAGAATTGTTGAAATGGTGCACACTATGTCTCTTCTTGGTTCATACATGCCAAATCAGGGTTCGTGGGATTCAGCTCTGACTGTGGCTTGTCATTGGCTACAACTAATGCTTCACGCACCTCCTCAAGATACAAGAATTTAGTTGCCAATTGCAGTAAAACCACATTGGAATATTCTCATGAGTGAAAGCTGAAATTCACCTGAGAGCAATTGTTCAATTTAGGAGAAAATTACAGCGAAAAAATTATAAAGGAATTTGACACTAGCTCAACAATTGTGTATGTGACGACTCAAGACATGAAATGATTGTTTTTTAGGGAAAGACTCTTCAGCTTCATAAGTATGTTTCATTTTGACTGACAGGACAGAAGCAAATGATAATGTTAACAAACAGCAGAGAACTGTATGAAAGTAACTGATATATGAACAAAAGCATTTGTAATGTGTTCAAAGGAGAAACTGCTGCGATGATGTCACACATGACTCAATGTTGAGGAGGTTGAACTAATAGTTTAGAGAACTTTAAGTCTGGTGTGAGAAATGCACCAAATGTGTCAGTGCGCTCTTTTAAATCGCTATACTCTTTTTACTACTTAATGTTTTTTACTACTTTGTGTTGACTATGCAGCGAATGAATGAGTGAATTATTGTCAGATTATTATTAGATTAGATTAGTGATACTTGCAGGTGAGACGTTCCACATCCAGTAAGTCCTGATCACGGCTCCATGGGCCTCGCTGGGACCTCTGTGGTTCACTAAAACTACCACATCTAGAAAATATTTTAACTATATCGGAAGAACTTGTTTAAAACCTTATGGCCACATGAAGGGTATCATTATGAAAAAAGTACAATATATTGTTTAGAAAGATTTATAGAAATGTAGTTATGAAATGCATGTGTCCGGCAGCAGAAACACATCCATCCGTACAAACACACACACACACACACACACACTAAAAGTTACTAACTATAGTAATAACAGAACTTTAGATCAGGTTTTTCAGAAAATTAGCATTTATCAATAATTGCCATGGTATCAAATTTGGTGTTTGTGTATAGATTGGAAAGTGATTCTTTTTGTGATTTTAGCAGTTATTTTTATGATTCATGTTTGATTTACACTATACTCATAAGAACTAGCTGGTTCCAGAAAGTTCCACTTATTCTTCTATCGTTGTGAGCCCTGCATTGCACTGACGCTTTAAGGAGTGTGGCCGTCCATCTTTAGTATTTTTTTATTTTCATTTTTTCACAGGATTCAGAAATGTTGCCTGCCCCTAACATATTTTTTGTCTTTCTGCTCTTTGACAGGACACTACCACTTCTTGTAATTAGTATTGTATTGTCATGTTCATAATTGAAATTCATCAATAAAATAATAAAAATGCATGTGTGTGTGTTTTCAGGAGTGGATCTCTGCCCCCTGCAGCTCTGTGCTGGACCTCGACATGTTTCCCACCACATTCGTGATGGTGGAATGTTTCCAGAAGGATCCAGAGCCTCCGGAGGTTCCAGGACCAGTCTTCTCTCTGGAGCTGCCCTGCGCTGACAGCTCATATGTGGGGGTTGAGGATCTCCCTTCTCCAACACTTCTCTCCAGAATGTGCCCCGGCTCTGGCTCGTCTTACATACAGCTTCCACTCAGTAACTATGCGGACTAAATGTCAGCAAAAGAAAGTTGAAGTTGTCAAAGTAAACTAGGAGGCTGCAACAACAAGGAGCAGGACGATGTGTAGTCTTTCCAGATTGTAAGCCGCTACTTTTTTCTCGCTGCAGCTAATACTCTGTTGTGGTTTACTTTTTCCCCTGCCGCCATTTTTCCACCAGCACCAAAGGGCAATAGAATTCAAGAATAGTTCACAGAGGTCCATTCAGATAGTGTGACGAACCAAGCGCACTTCCACAACTATTTCCAATCATTTGTAAGGTGTATGGAGAACACTCGAAGAAAAACATATGATGCGGTAGCCTGGTCGTACCACACCATAGTACACATTACATTTCGTACTAAGGTCTGGAGGTGCTCCATTGAGCTCCGTGAACAGGTGGGAGGGGTTAACTCCTTTAGCAGATTGAAACGATTGGATCTGAGTTTACCGTGACGTATGTAATGCGCCCGAGTGAGTCGTTAAAATTTAGCCTAGCCATCTCCTTTGCCGCTAACGGAGCCCGTGGGGAGTAGCGCCACAATTTTTCCAGAGATTACATTTGCTAAACATTCCTCTTGCTCCGGCTTCAATTTCTTGATAGAATTAGACCGGATTACTTTACTATCGCATTTTTCGCCACCGCCAAACTACAACCTGCCTGTTCGACGCAAACTCTTGACATCACCCACAACTAACTATAATAACCCGCCTTCCGTGCTCTCTGATTTGTCGGTCAAAATTCAACCGATTGTAATCGCTAACACAGGGACCAGACCCAGACGTTAAATGCAGTGAAATGATGATTGAACGGAGAGTACGGATGGATAAGGCCAGGATAATGATGCAGCGGAGAAGAAAATTCTTTATTTGTCCCACAGAGGGGAAATTTCAGTTTTTGATGAATACACATCTAGGCAAGCAGTGTACATTTACTTCCGCACTCCTTATGGGCAAAGTGGGGTAAAGTGTCATGCCTAAGGACACAACAACAGCAGACATCAGTGGGAGTTGGTGGAGACGGTCTTGCAGTGGGTTCAAACTCAGAAGCCTCAAAGGTCAATTCTCTACCAACTGAGCCAGTGTGAAAATAAAGCTGCTGCATGTAATCTTGGGATAAATGAGTGGATGTGAGAAGGTGGAGATGCCAGAGAAGACCTGAGCCAAAGCATAAAGTCTATGAACGTTTTCAGGGAATCATCAATTCTCAAAGACTGGGTCAAAACACAAAGAGCAGGCGGTGTTTCCACTGTGCAGATCAGACTGACGGCTACAGCCACCGAGATGAAAAGGAAAGATTTTAGAGGTGTTTTAGATTTATGAAACGTAAAAGCCTGTTTGTTTGGGGCACGCACAAGATAAGATAAGATAGACGTTTATTGATCTCACACTGGAGAAATGAACATGTGACATTTGGCATGGATAGAATCACTCGGATTGTGCAAAAAACAGAAGTGTGAAACATGTTAATGGTTAAAAACATAGTCTGTGCAGGATGTAATCATGTACAATATTGTGTCAGCAGATCTACAGTTATACTTTAACCCACGGGTCAGGAACCTATGGCCAGATGTTGCTCTTTTGATGCTTGTGGCTCTCGGAGAAATCTTCATAGTAATAATATTTAATGTGTTGGATTTCTTCAGTATAAAAGAAAAAACTATTAAACAAAATATGACATTATAAGACTAGTATTACACAAAAAATGTGTGGATCTAGTAAAAAAACAAAAAACAAAAAAATCACACATATTCATAGTAATACAAATGTGTATGGCTCCCACAGAAATACATTTTAAAGGAGACTTTTTTTTGGCTCTCAGATAAAAAGGTTCCCGACCTCTGCTTTAGCCCTTAGCACAATTTACTCACTGGACAATGATCTGATGAATATGGATGAAGTACCTCTGACCTTTGACCTGCCTCTCACTCGGACTGTAAATTTTAAAAAAAGGTGACGTGTCCATTACACTCAAAACAAGAGGCCACGAGAGAAGACGCTTTCGACCTGTGTCCTGGTTTGAAGCTTCCACAGATGGTTATTTCTAAGCGGATGACGATGCCGAAGCAAAAATTCCCAAACGACTGATTGTGGTGAAAGTCATTAAGAAAGGATGGATGTTTGAGAGTCGGATGAAAGAATAGCTCAAAGAGTGCTACGTAAAGCGACCAGGGCCACTGGGAATTTGTCGCTGCAAAGAAGCGGGCCTCTAGAACAGTCTGAAAGCTGCCATCAAGAGCACTAACTCAATGGATGAGAGAGATTCCTGCAGCCCCATGACGTCAGACTGAAGTGAGATCCTGAGACACTGAGTAAGAGGTGGTTTTAGAGCCAGGAGGAAGACGAAGAAGGCGATCAGTAACTTTTTATGTTTTGCAATGTTGACAAAGCGTGACGTGATTTGTGTGCTACGAAACAAAAGTACGGTATATTTAAAGGAAGCCTACAGGCAACAATATGTTTTGCTATTTGTACCGTATTTGTTTGTTACCAACGGATTAAATAAAGAAGTTATAAAACCCCCATGTATGATCTATTTGTGTAAATATCTCATATCAAAAATAGTTTTTTGGCTCTCTGTGTAGACATGAAAGTGGAGCAGCTCTTTACCTGTGACCCCCTTCTTAAAGTGATAAGAAATTTTCAGAGCTGCTGCGGCGTAAAACAGAACAACATTTGATTTCTTTCTATACAAGCTACAGAATAGCCTTTTAATATTTCTGAAAAAAGTAATACTGACTGGTGAACCAATTTCAATGTTTGAAAAAATCTTGAACTCTTGAAGTGATAAGAAATGATTAGAGCTGCTGCGGCTTATAACAGAACAACATTTAGCTTCTTTCTATACATTAGAGCCTGTGGTTTATAATCTAAGTGTACAGTACGTTATTCTCTTGTACACATTTCTTTATACAATGTACGGTCACTTTTAGGATGTTTAGACAATAATGTGGGAAATAAAATTGTGGGAAAAAAGTGCAAAATTTAGTATGAGGTTTAAAAAAAAGTTTTTGTCTTAATCTGAGCATATTGTGACTGTTAAAAAAAGATTTTCCAATAAGACAAAACCATTTAGTCTTTTTTCAAGAACTGATAATTTTTGCTTTGTCCCATTGGTATATTTAGTTTTAACACAGTCAATGAGCTCAAATTAACTCGTTGACTGCCATTGACGTATTTCTCTGAGACTGGTGTTATCTGTCAAACTTCCCTCTATTCGACTGGGGATTACAGGAGAACCAAACTAGCGAGAAACCAACATATTTTTGCTGATGAAATTAGACAATGCAGTCATTGAGAATCGGGTTTCATATTTCACAGAGTCATAGCACATAATATTCTGTGGTTCTTGAGAAAATCATCCAAAACGGCTGGCCAAATGTTTGCATGACTTTGTTTAACAGATGGTTTTACTGTAGAGGAGCCTCCTTCAACAGTAAAACAGCAGCTCATCCCCAGTAATCTGGTAACCAGAGATGTCCCTGAAGTTGTTAAAAACTTATGACAAACTGAGGATGGATTGAACATCCAATGGAAATGCAATGTTTTGTGCTATGAATGTAAATTTTAGTGACCTGATTGGATAAACAGATAACTTGAGCTGGAGACTTCACCAAAACTAATCTGTTGTAAAAAACATCCTGAATTTTTTTACACGTGAGGCGTGAGGAGCAGTAACACAGCGGGTAAAGTGTGTGATCGCCGCCACAGACCTGTCATCTACAGCAGAATCCTCTGTGAGAATATTGGGGTTTAAAACGGTCGTTACTCAGCAAAGTGTTGAAGCACCAGGAGAGTGTGATGTCATTATGATGTCATTATGATGTCATTGTGATGTCATTGTGATGTCATTGTGATGTCATTGTGATATCATTGTGATGTCATTGTGATGTCATTGAGGCTTTGTGGTTCGAAAGGGTAAGAATTCAATCAAGGAGATTAGAAAAGTCCTGAAAGAAACCTCTAGAAGAAAATCAATTCAAGATTTTATGGAAAGACATTCTAGGAAGAAAAACAATATTATTCTTTGTCTGTGTGTGAGTCTGTGTGCGTTTGTGTGTGTGTCTGTGTGTGAGTCTCTGTGCGTTTGTGTGTGTGTCTGTGTGTGAGTCTGTGTGAGTTTGTGTGTGTGTCTGTGTGTGAGTCTGTGTGTGTGTCTGTGAGTGTGTGCGTTTGTGTGTGTGTCTGTGTGTGCGTCTGTGTGTGTGTCTGTGTGTGTGCGTCTGTGTGTGTTTGTGTGAGTCTGTGTGTGCGTCAGTGTGTGCCTATGTGTGTGTGTCTGTGTGTGCGTCTGTGTGTGTCTGTGAGTCTGTGTGCGTTTGTGTGTGTGTCTGTGTGCGTTTGTGTGAGTCTGTGTGTGCGTCAGTGTGTGCCTATGTGTGTGTGTCTGTGTGTGCGTCTGTGTGTGTCTGTGTGCGTCTGTGTGTGTGTCTGTGTGTGCGTCTGTGTGTGCGTCTGTGTGTGTGTCTGTGTGTGCATCTTTGTGTGTGTCTCTGTGTGTGTGTCTGTGTGTGCGTCTGTGTGTGTCTCTGTGTGTGCGTCTGTGTGTGTGTCTGTGTGCGTCTGTGTGTGCGTCTGTTTGTGTGTCTGTGTGTGTCTGTCCCACTCTGACTTCCCTGTGACAGACAGAGGGAAGAATCGAGCTCCGTTTGAGTTTCCATGAAAACCTGAGAATCACAGAGAAAACCCTGAGGTCTTCGAACCCAGAGAGACGCGAACACATGACCATCTGTGACCACGGGACACGAGGAGATGTACGGAATCTGGTCTGCTTGGAATATATAAACAATAGGTCTGAGCCAGGACTAAACCAGTTCTGAACCAGGACTAAACCAGGTTAGGGTGAGAACACTCTCCCGTTGTTATTATTATTATTATTAAACCAGGTCTGAGAGGAAAGGTCTTCATTCTGAAACCAATAAATCATCTCACTCAAAGCAGGAAACAAAAGATTCAAAAAACATTATTTATTCATTAGTATCTATGTCCAAACAAAAGTATTATAAGTGAGATTTCTTGTGTACATATATTTAAAAAGGTACACAACATTATCATATGACTTGGATCGTTCGCGCGCTCTGATTGGTTGATTTGCGGTCTGATATTTTCCCATCTCGGACCGTTACCATGACAATTGGTCCGCAGCGCGTATCTAATTTAATATCTTTCCTCGGTAATAAAAGAAATGATGAGCGACGACTGAGAGCATTCTCAGTGAGTCTATTATCAGGACGAGTTCCAAGAGCCAGAGGAAGTAATAACAGCAAATAACGACGAAAACACAAATGCTAACAGTCAAGAAGAGATTGACAACTTCGTTACAGACAACAAAGGTAAAAACACGATTAGGAAAAACAAGTCGGACATGAACATACAGTACTTCACAAATATCTAAAAAGCTTTGGTAAAGACACAGAAGAGATTGAGAACGTACCAGCGGTGACATCAATCTGATAAGTTCTTCATGTCACCATTTGACAGTTTGGTTGCATGTGTTTTTAGTTGAAACCGATCGATATTTGCATAAATTAAAAATAGTCATATAATAAAACATTTATTAACCTCGCTTGCTCGGTCTGTTCAGAGAAATATCAGACTCTGAACAGAGTGCCTTTTTGCACAGACCGAGCCGTGGTCTGATATTTCTCTTAACAGACCTCGCACTCGGTTCATAAGCCGTTGATATTTGCTTCACTACATGTTTTTTCAGATGTCTCTCTCTCTGCTCTGACTCTGGTCTGGGAAATGTGCTACAGAAATAAACATGACTTAAAGTGTCCCTCTCTCTCTCCCGTCCCTCTCTCTCTATCTCTCCCCCTCTGTCTTCCCTCTCCCCTCCCATCTCTTCTCCCTCTCTCTCTGTCTCTCTCTCATTCTTTTTCTCCCCCTCCCCTCTGTCTCCGTCTCTTTTATCTCTCTCTCACTCTCTCCCTCTCTTTTTCTCTCACCCTCCCCTCTCTCCCCCCTCCCTGTCTCTTCCTTCCCTCTCTCTCCTCCTCTCTCTCCCCTCCCATCTCTTCTCCCTCTCTCTCCTCTCTTTCTCTTTCCCTCTCTCTCTCTGTCTCTCTCTTGTGCCTCTCTCTCACTCTCTCTTTCTCTCACCCTTCCCTCTCTCCCCCTCTCTCCCTCCTCTCTCTCCCCCCCCTATCTCTTCCTCCCCCCCCCCCCCCCCCTCCCCTCCTTGGGCTGGTGTCATAAGCAGTGGGTGAGTGTCATGTGATGGTGGGACACTGTTCACTTCTGTTCGGACGCTGCAGACGGTGAGTTTTGAGCTGATTCTTTTCTTCAGAATCTCATCTGTCTCTTTTCCATCAGCGCTGACGTCTTTATCTCTTTCATTCCATAATCTCATTTACTTCCATTAGTTCCAGTCCTTAATCTCGCTGCTCTTGATCTAATTTAAACTTGTCTCTCTGGGTTTGTTTATCTGACTTCTTGGCACTTCTTGGCACTTAGGATGCAATCGAAACATTTGTCGGAACATTTGGTTTGACAGAAACTACAACAGGATTATAATCTGGTTTTAAATCATCCTGAAGTAGAATTCATGTTTTTACTTTTTATTTTTGAGTCTGTGCATTTTCAGAAAACTTTCAATTGCTACATTAGAGGCTATTGAGTTAAATTAATCCATTAATATCAGTCCTAGGTCATATTTCAGGGTGCTATCCAGGGCTGACACCTGTCTGAACCAGGACTGAACCAGGTCTGAACCAGGACTGAACCAGGTCTGAACCAGGACTGAACCAGGTCTGAACCAGGACTGAACCAGGTCTGAGGCAGGACTGAACCAGGACTGAACCAGGTCTGAACCAGGACTGAACCAGGTCTGAGGCAGGACTGAACCAGGTCTGAACCAGGTCTGAACCAGGTCTGAACCAGGATTGAACCAGGTCTGAGGCAGGACTAAACCAGGACTAAAGTAAGACTAAACCAGGACTAAAGCAGGACTAAAGCAGGACTAAAGCAGGTCTAAAGTAGGACTAAAGCAGGACTAAAGCAGGACTAAAGCAGGACTAAAGCAGGTCTAAAGTAGGACTAAAGCAGGACTAAAGCAGGACTAAAGCAGGTCTAAAGCAGGACTAAAGCAGGACTAAAGCAGGTCTAAAGTAGGACTAAAGCAGGACTAAAGCAGGTGTAAAGTAGGACTAAAGCAGGACTAAAGCAGGACTAAAGCAGGACTACAGCAGGACTAAAGCAGGTCTAAAGCAGGTCTAAAGCAGGCTCTAAAGTAGGACTAAAGCAGGACTAAGGCAGGTCTAAAGCAGGACTAAAGCAGGACTGAACCAGGTCTGAACCGGGACTGAAGCAGGACTGAAGTAAGACTAAAGCAGGACTAAAGCAGGACTAAAGCAGGACTGGACCAGGTCTGAACCAGGTCTGAACCAGGACTGAAGCAGGACTGAACAGGTCTGAACCAGGACTAAACCAGGACTAAACCAGGACTAAAGCAGGACTAAAGCGGGACTAAACAAGGATTAAGCAGGACTAAAGCAGGACTGAACTAGGACTGAAGCAGGACTGAACCAGGTCTGAACCAGGACTAAACCAGGACTAAACCAGGACTAAAGCAGGACTAAAGCAGGACTAAAGCAGGACTAAAGCAGGACTAAAGCAGGACTAAAGCAGGACTAAAGCGGGACTAAACAAGGACTAAGCAGGACTAAAGCAGGACTGAACCAGGTCTGAACCAGGACTAAACCAGGACTAAAGCAGGACTGAAGCAGGACTTAACCAGGTCTGAACCAGTACTAAACCAGGTCTAAAGCAGGACTAAACAAGGACTAAACCAGGTCTAAAGCAGGACTAAAGCAGGACTTAACCAGGACTAAACTTTTAAAATAGTACGGGGGTCAACAATGGCTTTGTTGGTTGAGCATTGACCTTGGAGCCTGAAGGTCATGGGTTCGAGCCCACCACGAGACCTTCTCCACTGACTCCCACTGATGTCTGCTGTTGTTGTGTCCATTGGCAAGACACTTAACCCCACTTTACCTGAACCCCCCATTGAGAGATCAGGGCTGTGACAGAGCAGTCCTCCCCCTGTGGACCCTCCGCCTGCAGGAGGATCAGTGAGGGGCCGCTGATTGACCCCGACCCAGAAATGGACAAAGCGGAAGAAAATACAGTACTTTTTAAAAATAGTTTCATTACATTATCCTGGTGAGATCAGAGCCTGGTGAAGTTTTACATCAGTCTGTGAGAAAAACAAAAACATTATTATTTGTTGTTGTTCAGGAAGTAACTTTATATCTGAGATGGAATCCACTTCTGATCTCATCAAATTAGAGACAGTGAACACAGAATACAAAATGCAAATGCAGCCGCAAGCAGCGATGAACGACCCCTGCCTAATCACACACAGCCGCCATTCTGCGCGGTGCCGAGCCACCAGAGGGGGCGCTGTCACATTACCTCCTGTTCTTAATGTTAAACAGAGAGGCACTGCTATGTATATCATTTACACTTTATAGACATGTAGTTATTTACCTGCTGCTCTTATGAAGCGTTTACAGCTAGCTGGAAACAAAACTACTTATACTGTATTATGTGTGCTCCCTGTGTTTCTTACTTCTGTCCTGTCAGTGCGCTGCAACACTGACATTTCCCCAAATAAAGGCTCTCTTATCTTTGTTCTGCTTCTCACCTTTATGCAATCTTAAAAGCTGCATCGGCACACACGTCTGAATAAGGTGTGGTTTTACTGCAAATGTCAGATGGATCTGGATGGTTGCTTTTGGTTGGAATCCCCTCATGTCCCTCGTGCACAGAGTTTACTTGCATTTGTGAAAGCTCATAAGTTTCCTTCTCCCACTCCCTTTTGAGCCATCCTTGTGTGATAATAATGTCCAGTTTCTGCCTTGTCTCTGCCTGGTTCTTTATTCTCTATATTTGTTGTCCAAGTGTGTGGAAACAGTTGCACAGAATGTTATATTTTTATGGCTTAAAAATACATTCAAATTCAATTTTCATGAACAGCCGTGGAGCAAAACCTTGGAGTGTAGTTTTTGTGGCTTTGTTTTTTGTGATTTTATTTTGTGTGTTCACAGTTTTGCGCTGGTCCAGACCAGAGCAGAGAAAATGGTCCGAACCAAGCGGCGGCTCCACCTCTGCTGCTGTGACCTGAAGTGCAACAGTACTGACTATTGTTAACTAACAATAGTCAGTACTATTGCTTACTATTGGTAGTTTTTTAGAATTATGAATTTTCTTTTTTCTTTTTGCGGTTACTGGACACCTGAATTGATCAAAAAAGTATCTATCTATCTATCTATATCAAAGACATGTTGTGGATAAAATCAGTAGAGATTGACACATTTTTTTAAAAACAGATCCGCCTCTGATTTGATAATTCTGTGACTCAGTGACATAGAAAATAAAAGGTCTTCAGTTACAAAGATGAACTCAACAGATTAACATTAACACAACATGAGGAAAACAAATCACTTCATTTAAAAAGGAATCATTAAAAAAAAAGAAACTGATACAAAATTGACCTTTGAGAAATGTGTAACGGACGTGATGTTTCCGTCAATTTTTGTCTAAAAATTAAACTTGAGAAATAAACTTAAAAAAAATGAAGTGTGGTCTGGTATCATATTTAAATGCTTTACTATATGAAAGTAATCACTTTGTTTCTATCCATCCATCCATTTTCTTCCCCTTAATCCATTTCTGGGTCGGGGGGGAGGCAGTCAGAGCTGCACCCAGTACACAGAGCACCAGCCCCTCACTGATCCTCCTGCAGGGAGCTGAGATCTTTCAGTTGGGGCTTTGGGCAAAGTGGGGTTAAGTGTCTTGCCCAAGGACACAACGACAGCAGTCATCAGTGGGAGTCGTGAAGTAGGTCTTATGGTGGGCTTGAACCCACGACCTTCAGGCTCAAAGGCCAATGCTCTACCAACTGAGCTACTTTGTTTCTACTCCGTGTAAAATCTATGAATCAAATGTAACAAACTTCCGCAGCTCATTCAAAAGATCAGGTCCGTGACGTATAGATCATGTGACTAATACATACTTACAGTTCTCTTCTAGAAACTTCTAATGGACAGACGAGGGATTTGGATACATGAAAAACATAATATATCTTCTGATTATTAAAATCTAATGTTTGGCCTTCTGTCACACTTTTGTACTCTTTAGTGTGAACAAGTCCATGTACAAGGGGAAAATCCTTCATGAAGCGATTCAATACCAGTTGCCTCCTCTCAGTACTTATGAGTCCGAGCTGAAGATCAAAGCCACAGTGCATTAAATCACCAAGTATCAGTTAAAACGACCTGCGGAGTCAGAGTTCCCACTGGGTCTTAAAAACATCGACTTTTGTTATTCTGGGTCAAAACATTTGTGCAGGATGTAACTTCTTTGATTTGCATTCGCTTTCAAGTTTCATTTATCACCCACTATTGTTCGGCTTATACCTCTTGATCACAGGAGACAGGGTGGTGGTTTACTCTGTCTCAGCGTGTCTGCGTGGGTTTTTCCTCCGGGTGCTCCGGTTTCCCCTGCCACTAAAAACATGCACAATGTAAATGAGTGAGTGGATGGTGTTTGGTCGGAGGCTTTTATGCTCCAGTGTGTTCGGTGTCTCGCTTCCGTCATCACCGTGTGATGAATGGAAAACTGATTATGATTTTAATTTCTCGTGTGATTGTGTATATCTTGTTTTGTTCTGCACTTTGAGTTGCCTTGTGTAGGAACTGTGCGATACAAAAAAACTTGCCTGCCCGTTATTCTGTATCTAAAACTCACAGAGGTGTAATATTCTGTGGCAGTGATCGGATCATGGACCGGAAGCTGGACCTGTCTCGTCTGACGGATGATGAGGCCAAACACGTGTGGGAGGTGATCCAGAGAGACTTCACCCTCCGCAAGACCGAGGAGCAGCGACTCGGGTACAGGCTCCACACACAACATCTCAGCAGCAACATTCTCCAGGGACGTCACTAAATTGTTGGTTTGCCAGTCGCAGATTAGAAAGTGGAGTGGACATTTTATACTTTTGTGATTTATCCAAAAAATGTATGTAAAACAAACAAGATATTATAGTTTGTGGAGTCAGAGAGGCCTCATTCACATCCACTGGATTAGTTCAAAGAAGGAGAGAGTGATCAGAGAGAGACCAGAGAGAGAGATCAGTGAGAGAGACCAGAGAGAGAGACCAGAGAGAGAGATCAGAGAGAGACCAGAGAGAGAGATCAGAGAGAGAGATCAGAGAGAGAGATCAGAGAGAGAGATCAGTGAGAGAGACCCGAGGGAGACCAGAGAGAGACCAGTGAGAGAGACCAAGGAGAGAGACCCGAGGGAGACCAGAGAGAGAGACCAGAGAGAGACCAGAGAGAGATCAGAGAGAGACCAGAGAGAGACCAGAGAAAAAGACCAGAGAGAGACCAGAGAGAGACCAGAGAGAGATCTGAGAGAGACCAGAGAGAGACCAGACAGAGACCAGAGAGAGACCAGAGAGAGAGACCAGAGAAAAAGACCAGAGAGAGACCAAAGAGAGACCAGAGAGAGACCAGAGAGAGATCTGAGAGAGACCAGAGAGAGACCAGAGAGAGACCAGAGAGAGACCAGAGAAAAAGACCAGAGAGAGACCAGAGAGAGACCAGAGAGAGACCAGTGAGAGACCAGAGAGAGACCAGAGAGAGACCAGAGAGAGACCAGAGAGAGACCAGAGAGAGACTAGAGAGAGACCAGAGAGAGACCAGAGAGAGACCAGAGAGAGACCAGAGAGAGACCAGAGAGAGACCAGAGAGAGACCAGAGAGAGACCAGAGAGAGAGACCAGAAAGAGACCAGAGAAAAAGACCAGAGAGAGACCAGAGAGTGACAGGTCAGACAATATCTCATTGATCTGTCTGTGTTACACTTATATACACTATATATACTTGACAACAAACTTATATGTTTGAAAATATGTTTCAAACTTTAAATGATATCGTCTAAACTGTGATGTCAGAACAATGTTACATTTTAAGCTTTAACAATCTGTGTTTGAAACAACAAAAACACATTTGTAAAAGTGAGACTCATGAACAACATCATCAGGACTTCATTTACAGAAGATCCAGAAAGAATTTGGGGATCTGCACTGCTTCTCCTCACTGCTCCTCACTGCTCCTCCTGCTCCTCACTGCTCCTCACTCATCTTCACTGCTCCTCCTGCTCCTCACTGATCCTCACTGCTCCTCCTGCTCCTCACTGATCTTCACTGCTCCTCCTGCTCCTCCTGCTCCTCACTGCTCCTCACTGATCCTCACTGCTCCTCACTGATCTTCACTGCTCCCCCTGTCCCTCACTGCTCCTCCTGCTCCTCCTGCTCCTCACTGCTCCTCACTGCTCCTCACTGCTCCTCCTGTCCCTCACTGCTCCTCCTGCTCCTCCTGCTCCTCACTGCTCCTCACTGATCCTCACTGCTCCTCCTGTCCCTCACTGCTCCTCACTGATCCTCACTGATCCTCCTGCTCCTCGCTGATCTTACTGCTCCTCACTGCCCCTCACTGATCCTCACTGCTCCTCACTGCCCCTCACTGATCCTCACTGCTCCTCACTGATCCTCCTGCTCCTCACTGATCCTCACTGCTCCTCACTGATCCTCCTGCTCCTCGCTGATCTCACTGCTCCTCACTGCTCCTCACTGATCCTCACTGATCCTCCTGCTCCTCACTGATCCTCCTGCTCCTCCTGCTCCTCACTGCCCCTCACTGATCCTCACTGATCATCCTGCTCCTCCTGCTCCTCACTGCCCCTCACTGATCCTCACTGATCCTCCTGCTCCTCACTGCTCCTCACTGATCCTCCTGCTCCTCACTGCCCCTCACTGATCCTCACTGATCCTCCTGCTCCTCACTGATCCTCACTGATCCTCCTGCTCCTCACTGCTCCTCACTGATCCTCCTGCTCCTCGCTGATCTCACTGCTCCTCACTGATCCTCCTGCTCCTCGCTGATCTCACTGCTCCTCACTGCCCCTCACTGCTCCTCACTGATCCTCCTGCTCCTCACTGCTCCTCACTGATCCTCCTGCTCCTCACTGCCCCTCACTGCACCTCACTGATCCTCCTGCTCCTCACTGCTCCTCACTGATCCTCCTGCTCCTCACTGCCCCTCACTGCTCCTCACTGATCCTCCTGCTCCTCACTGCTCCTCACTGATCCTCCTGCTCCTCACTGATCCTCCTGCTCCTCACTGCCCCTCACTGCTCCTCACTGATCCTCCTGCTCCTCACTGCTCCTCACTGATCCTCCTGCTCCTCACTGATCCTCCTGCTCCTCACTGCTCCTCACTGATCCTCCTGCTCCTCGCTCATCTCCCTGCTCCTCACTGATCCTCCTGCTCCTCACTGCTCCTCACTGATCCTCCTGCTCCTCACTGATCCTCACTGATCCTCCTGCTCCTCACTGATCCTCACTGATTCTCCTGCTCCTCGCTCATCTCCCTGCTCCTCCTGCTCGTCACGGCTTCTCCTGCTCCTCTTTTCTCCTCCTTCTCTCTTTCTCTCTCTCTCTCTCTCTCACGCCGCCCAGTTCCCTGCATGAACAGTGTGTGGTTATGGATGTTGAAATCACCAAAGCCGACAGACGGCTGAACAATTATATAATGATGAGTTATACATCATCAAACTATTATTTTTCTGTAAAGAACTTTCACTCTTACAGCTCAATGAGTCATGGCAGCACATCTTAACTTCTCCCATCAAGGCTTGAAAGCTAAAAAGGATTTCTGGCGTCACAAATTTTTTGCACATTCATTGAGCAAAAGGATCATGTGTTGTTTGGAAGGATTTCCTGCAAACCTGCCATCTCCAGGAGGAGCAGATTACTCACATTTTGAGGGAATGTTTATAGACAAATGTGTTTATTGAGAGGGAATCACAGTCCAGTCACACGACCGTCTACAGACAAAGAGCGTCTCTGAGCTCGCCTTTCCCAGCAGCCTCTGGGCTCAGCACACTCTGTCATGTGACTCTGATAAACACCAACACAATAGCACCAGGAGCAAGGCAGCAGTGGACATGACATACAGGTCATACATGACGTCCAGGTCATACATGACGTACAGGTCACACATGACGTACAGGTCACACATGACGTCCAGGTCATACATGACGTCCAGGTCACACATGACGTACAGGTCACACATGACGTACAGGTCACACATGACGTCCAGGTCACACATGACGTCCAGGTCACACATGACGTACAGGTCACACATGACGTCCAGGTCACACATGACGTCCAGGTCATACATGACGTCCAGGTCACACATGACGTACAGGTCACACATGACGTCCAGGTCATACATGACGTACAGGTCACACATGACGTACAGGTCATACATGATGTACAGGTCATATAAGACATACAGGTCATACATGACGTACAGGTCATACATGACATACAGGTCATATAAGACATACAGGTCATATAAAACGTACAGGTCATACATGACGTACAGGTCATACATGACATACAGGTCATATAAGACATACAGGTCATATAAGATGTACAGGTCATACATGACGTACAGGTCATACATGACATACAGGTCATATAAGACGTACAGGTCACACATGACGTACAGGTCACACATGACGTACAGGTCATACATGACATACAGGTCATATAAGACGTACAGGTCATACATGACGTACAGGTCATACATGACGTACAGGTCATACATGATGTCCAGGTCAGACATGACGTACAGGTCAGACATGACGTACAGGTCAGACAATATCTCATTGATTTGTCTGTGTTTGAAATCTCTTTCCACTCTCTGACTGTAAAATTAGTTTTTGAGTCCTCACCTTTTAAAGTCCAGATGCTTTAATCGACAGTTTACTGTGAACCCACATATCTTTGGTCTCTTCCTCCTGCAGAGAACTGAAAACCCGTATAGAGAAGGAGGGCTCTAAGCGTGAGCTGCTGGGGAGTCAGACTGGACTGGGAGACGCCATGTGTGTGTGCTGCCTGCAGCCGTTCAAGTTCCTGCTCAACTCCAAACGTCAGTGTCTGGACTGTCAGATGTTCACCTGCAAATCCTGCTCCCGCTACAACAAGAAAGAGCACGGCTGGGTGTGCGACAACTGCCGCATGACCAGGTACACACACACACACACACACACACACACACACACACACACACACACACACACACACACACACACACACACACACACACACACACACACACTATTGAAGCTTCTGTTGTTTCAGTTGCTGCTTTGCTTTCAGGGTCCTGAAGATGGGGACTCTGGGCTGGTACCACGATAACGTTCGGAACCGCTTCAAGAGGTTTGGAAGTGCCAAAGTCATGAGGTCTCTGTACAAAAGACTGAACGGAGACGGTGAGTGTCTGGATTGCAGCAGTTTGTTTAAACTGCTGCAGTGAGAGATGAGTGAAGGAGAGGTTCCGCAGGTCTTTCCTTCCTGCTGCTGTCAGACTGTACAATGAGAACTGCTGAGCCTGTAAATGTCATTCATCTGTAAATAAGTAAATAGTAAAATAATGTGCATTGTGCAATACTGCAACTTCAGAATGTCACTGAACAATGTCACTTTACTTTATCTACTTATTATCCTGCTCTATATGTACAGTATGTAACTCCTGCTATACAGTATGTACCTCCGCACTACATACTGTATACAGTATGTATATATATAAATTGGTGTTTTTTTGAAAGACCGATATACTGTAGAAGCATTTACAGCATTTACAGCTAGTTAAGAAACACAGCTACTACATATTTTGTAATTTTTTGTGTGATCCTTGTGTGCTCTTACTGCTGTAGTGTATTTGTGCTGCAACATTGAAATTCGAATAAAGGATCTCTTATCTTATCTTTCATATGTTTGTGTCCTGCAGGTCGCGATGACGACACACAGAGCATGCCCGACGTCCGCTCACGTGAGTCCTGTTCAGCAAAGATCATCTAGAGGTTTTCTATTTTTTCACCCATCCATTAGATGGATTGGTCCTTTGACTATAATTACTAAATCCATTCACCTTTAATCGCTCAGCCATTAGGATTGTATCAGTGGGGGCAGGTCTCGGCTCCAAAAGGTCCATGAACATTTTTGCTGACATGTTGCAATCTCACTCCAGGCCTGTGGGGGTGTACCTGGAAAGAGAATTATCCAATACTTTTGTATGGTATCTTCTTTTCTCTCAAAAACGGCTTTACAGGATGGTCCTAAAGTCGCTCTTGGCCCAAAGCTATGGTCCAGATGTGTGTCAATGCTGAGGGGAGTATTTTTCTTTTTGACCACTCTAGTTCAGCTGTTGTGGATTTCAGAAGGCACTCGTTAAATTATCGAGATGTTTCTCTATAGTACAGACAAACAGCATCATGTCTGATGGAGAGTAGGCCTATTCTCTGAGCCTTCATGTCCTTTTCTAACGAACTGCGAAAGCGGTTTGATCTTCTAGTAAAAGGGCAAAGAGAACGTTAGGCCCCCCCTCTGTTCCTCAGCACAACATAGATATCAGATTTCTTGCAAAAGACTGTGGCAGGAAGGACACTGGTTTATAAAGTGCAAAGTGGACGAGCAGACTTCAGTCTAAACAATTATCTATTCCAATTATTTAATTATGAATAGTTTTTTTATCAATAGTGTCTGAGTTTGAAGGGAAAAGACCTAGGACTGTATATGTTGGGCTCTATTGGTGCCAATGCAGGAGTGTCTAAGGCATGGAGCTATAATAATAACTTGATAGTGCATAACTAGCTGGTCCCATGTGCTCGGGGGATTCCTGCGGTACAGCATACTAAACAAGACTAAATTCACGTGGGCTACACAGAAAAATGTCCCATAGAACCCATCCATCCATTTTCTTCCCCTTAATCCATTTCTGGATCGGGGGGTGGCAGTCAGCGCTGCACCCAGTTCACATAGCACCTAGCACCAGCCCCTCACTGATCCTCCTGCAGGTGGTGGTGAGTCCACAGGAGCTGAGATCTTTCAGTGGGGGCTCCAGGCAAAGTGGGGTCAAGTGTCTTGCCCAAGGACACAAAAACAACAGTCATCAGGCTTAAAGGCCAATGCTCTACCAACTGAGCCACTGTCGCCATAAAACTCAGTGTAAACTAAAACATCTCCAGAGCTGTCAAAGAACCTCCAGCTTTCATAAAGGAGGATTCTGTGGAATTTTAGTGTTTCTTGTAATCCTGAACTTTTTATTCTAGTTAAATCCTTCAGTTTTCTTTAAACCCACACTTTAGTGCAACAAACTCTCCTCGATCGTCTCCTGCTCTGCCCCGCTCTGCTTTGATCAGCAGCTCCGATTGATTCGGACGCCATCTTGGATCACCGGGGTTGTGTCAAAGGACAGTGGTGATGATCCTGTCCATTTATGAACATTCATTCACATTTATGGATGATTGATTATCATTTTATTTAATTGGTATTAATCTCAATTTTGGCAGCCATTTTAGGTGTTTTAAGAGTGGATATCAATTATTTTTCAATGAAACCTAGACATCATAGATAGATTAATACTTTATTGATCCCCGTAGGACAAATTCATGTGTCCAGGAGCAGAAGACTCGTCCAGGTCTGTTGTACAGTCTGACAGCTGAAGGAACACAGCCTTTCTGTGTTCCTTCCTGTGTCTGGATGGGATTCCCCCATGCTCCCAACAGTTTCTCCAAATATCCAAAACAAACCAAGGCCCTGGTGATTGGTGGTGGTCCAAGGGGTTTATGGCATATACTGTACTTTACAAAGCTGTTGATTCGCCAACACAGATCAGAGAATCAAACAGTTCAAACACAGGACGTGCATCAGAGGAACAAGTCTGAAAAGCCATTGGGGAAAAGTACAAAACTTTTGTGGGAGGGATCCCCTCTTATAGACGGACAGGCTGTAGATCAAAGACTGAGGCTGTAGATTCAGGACTGAGGCTGTAGATCTAGGACTGAGGCTGTAGATCCAGGACTGAGGCTGTAGATCTAGGACTGAGGCTGTAGATCCAGGACTGAGGCTGTAGATCCAGGACTGAGGCTGTAGTCCTGGATCTGCCACTCATCCCCTCCCTTATGTCTGTCTTTTCCCACAGATTACTATAATGGAATTGATGAGGAGTATGGAGACATGGATGCACAAAGATACAAGGCTGTAAGAATATGAAAATAATATACTGTATGTTTTCATGTTCTCCTTCTCTTTGAACTCGCTTCACTCAAACAAATCTGTTTTTCATGTGTGTATCAAGATGAGGAAGAACAAACGTCTGCTTTCGGTTCACCCCATGGACTTTGACTCTGAGGACTACTTCCCCTATTCCCGCCGTCCCTCTGTCCAGGTAGGAGCAGTTTCACCTGCGTTTGGACCACTGCATTCTGGGATCAGACTGAGCAACATATGTTTGGGCTGTTATAATACACTGTACACTTTTTCATGTTAGGGGAGTTTTCCCCATGGAATAGAGACAGTTTTTTAGCCCAAGAGTGAGTATTACTTACAGAGACAATAATGTATAACCATATAATAATAATAGTGTCCGTGGTTCAGCAGCTCGCTCTTGTGTTGTGAAGGTTCATTCCAGAATCAAGTCTAATTTCAGATGTTTGTCAAACCTCTGCTGTAAATCTAAAAGCTTGGACTGTAAGGCAAGGCAAGGCAAGTTTATTTGTATAGCACAATTCATACACAATCATAAATCATAAATTCATAAATAATCACAGTACATTAAAAAGAAAGATAAAAATATAAAATCCCTCAGTTGTATGCACAGCTAAACAGAACCGTTTTTAACCTGGTTTTAAACATTGTCAGAGAGGAGGCCGGTCTCCTAATGAGTTCTGAGTGTGTCAGAAGTGTTGACTGTCTCAGTGCATTTAACCAAAGGGACATTCCTGATGATGGTGATGAATACAAACAGTGTCTCCTTCTTGATGTTATGTACAGAACCATTCTGTAAACACTGGGGCCCTGATGAACTACACAGAGAACATACTGTGTATTTCACTGGAGGGAAGTGTGCGCACTGCTGTCTCCAAGAGCAGTTATGGCTTAAAGGTGGTATATTTAGCTTTTCTTCATGTTTCACAGTCCATCCAAAGCACATGTGTGATAATAACAACACTCAAATCTTGACGAATTGAAATCTATTGAAGCGAGTGGATCCAGAGAGGATCTCTGCTCTTCTACCTGTGAGGCCGCCTCCCCCCGCCCGCACAATGACGTAGCCTCTTGCTGAGTTTGAGGTAAACAATCAGTGAAAGCTAACTATACAGCTTTCGCTGTTACAGTCATTTCAGATCTGAGACCTGAACAATGTCAATCCGTCAGATAGAGCCCTCTGTCCTCTAGCCAGAGTCAGACCCTAATTATTTAGTTCACAGTGACATATGATGAGTTAGTTGCACTGTACTCACAGACCGAGGTTCCTGTTGGTGTCTTTTATGTCGGGAATAACACAGGTTTCATGATCAGCTTTTGAGTAGGTCACGTTTCAAGGTAAAAGGGTGAAATGTCACATCAGTGGCAGAAATACATCTGCGAGTTTGCGAAGGTTCCTCACCCATCATCTGTTCTTCAGTTAGCAGGTTTGGATACAAGCATTCATCTTATCGGACAATATTGTTCAGCCAATAAACTCAACTTATATTTTGAAGCAGTGTCGGGGAGTGGCAACGGATGAAGCTGAAGCAACTGGATGGATGGACCTTTGCTCTGAATGTGATACTGTTCACAAGGGTGTGCCACAGGGATCGGTTCTGGAGCCCTTCTTACTTTTCAATAATGTTGAACCAAATGATCACTTTGAACAGGCTGCTCCTGCAGAAAACTTTTGTTGTTCTGTACAAAATCCTCGTATCCGTTGAGACTAGTTCTCAATGTTGACAAAACGAGGCTAATGCTGTTTTCCAGTCATAAAAAGGCGCCTCAAACTCCCCTAGTGTCCACTCTTGATGAGAACGTCACTACAACGTTGTGGAATATAAATGCTTTGGTTTCGTAATGGATGACTCCCTCCCTTTTAAACCTCTGATTGTTAATTGTTCTGTTGGTGTAAAGAAACGACTTGTCTTTGCCACTGTGGTTATGGTGACCTTTTTCAAATGAACGCTTCTTGCCCCCGAGATTCATCACTAACTGTAGGTCCAGGACAGGTCACAGTGACTTGTGCTGAAGGGTGGGATGGCCTTCTCTGTCCACTAGGAGACACTGTCAAGGCTGTATCTTCTAAATACTTCTAAATACTTATAAATCTTGTAAATACAGATGTAAGATTCTGCCACTCACAACCAATTTACCTGATATGCAAAAGACATCAACACCTTGTGAACAGATCTGGATTTTTTATCTCTGTTCATGGGAAACTGGCAAGGCGTATGTGAACATGAACTGAACATGTGACAAAGATTTCTGAGCCTGAGATACTTGTGTTTCACAGCTAATACAAGAGGAACGGGGTTTCATGGATGGTGATTTTTACGCCCATCGAGCAAACCGAAGAAAGAGTCTGGATCGGTACAACATGAGAGCAGGTCAGTGGTGAGTGGCCCGGACATGTGAGCGACAGGTTCCAAAGTCTCATTCACAACATGAGGATCCATCGCATTTAATCAAACTCTAAAAGACAGTCTGGATTGTAGACATCTGGTTTTCTGGCCCATGAAAGATTTCCTGATAAGCACTCTGTATTCCATTCCATTGTGAAACATTTCATTTTCAACCCCTTTGTCCATTTCTGGGTCGGGGGGGGGGGGTGGCAATGAGAGCTGCCACCCAACGCTCATAGCACCAGTCCCTCGCTGATCCTCTGCAGGGGGGGAGTCCACAGGAAGATGGCTGCTCCGTCAATTGTGAAACAGCCTTGATCTTTCAGCGGGGGGCTTCAGGCAATGTGGGGTTAAGTGTCTTGCCCAAGGACACAACGACAGCAGTCATCAGTGGGAGCAGTTGGAGTAGGTCCCATGATGGGAATCGAACTCATTGTTCGATTGAACAAGTTTGATTCCATTGTGAAACAATTCAATTCAATTATGTATTTCCCTAAATCACAACAGTAGTTATCTCAGAGGATTTTATTAAGCTGTCGATTCACCAACACAGATCAGAGAATCAAACAGTTCAAACACAGGAAACGCAATGATAACAAACACATAGAGCCATTGGTCCATAAGGAGCAGAGACCAATGTTCATAAACGCAAAGAATTGCCATTACAGTTGTGTGCTACTTAAACCTTCAGCAGTGTCATTTTCTCTATATCTATACTTTTCTTAAGTTTCAGAGTTTAGTCTTTAAATGAATGATGCTTTCCTTTTGCTTCTAGACGACTACGGTGACAGCCGCATGGTCCGCACTCGCTCTTTGTCTAAGATCTCGGCGGTGGCGCGGCAGCAGTACGTGGACACGTCCGATGAAGAGGACCAACGCTTCCCAGTGCATGGACCGCACCGCCGCAGGAACAGCCGGGGCTCCCAGGACCAGGCCCCACCAGTAAGAAACATACTGTTGTTAGAGAAGCAGCTCTTTGTGATTTTAGGTGAAAATAAATGTGGGAATGTCCGTATTGGTCGAAGACTTTAAAGAGAGTAGAATACAAAAAGACAGAAGAGGTTCCAAAGAAAAAAACATCTCTGCTCTGGAACTCCATTCCATGCAGATCTCTAGATCTGGAGGAATGGGCCATAAAAGCAACGATGCAAAGTATTGATTGGGATTTTTGTTATTGACTAAATACTTTTTTTCCACTATCATTTGTAAATACCTTCTTAAAAAAATGAGACACATGGGATTTTCTGTATTTTTATTCATCATCAATACCATTTCTTGTAAAATTCTAACCCCAGGCTAAAGTCTTTTCTGTCCTTTTCTCTTGAAGATGAATGAACTCAGCAAGAGGATGTTTGCCATCGAGAATCTGCTGACTCGTCTGGAGGAAAAGATAGGCCCCGAGGAACAGGTACAGAACAGGAACAGAGCCTCTCTCAATCGGATCCAAAAACACACAGAATCTTTGTTTGTCCCACAGTTGGGAAAGTTCTGTGTTGAGAACAGAAACGAGACCAGGGGACAGTCCGGGGCGGAGCTGTCCATAGACCCTCCTGCATTGGCAAGGAAAAACTCTAAAAACCCAGAGGCCACATTGAGGAAGGTATCTGTTCCCACGGATAGACGTATAGGCTATAGATCCAGGATTGAGGCTGTAGATCCAGGACTGAGGCTGTAGATCCAGGACTGAGGCTGTAGACCCAGGACTGAGGCTGTAGATCCAGGACTGAGGCTGTAGACCCAGGACTGGGGCTGTAGATCCAGGACTGAGGCTGTAGACCCAGGACTGAGGCTGTAGATCCAGGACTGGAGCGGGGGTGTGGGGGTAGGACATTCCACTTGTGACGATGGAGGAGGCCGGGTTCAGGGGTCCCATATCATGCCATGAAACAGACAATGAAACAGCGAGTGAATAGAAAGAAACAGACAACTGAAGTCATAATGATGACAGATAGGAAGAGGATAGTGCTCAAAGATTCCTTCATCAAAGATTCTGTGAAGGGGAAGAGATGGTTTTGTGGTGAATATGCCTGACAAAAACTCCAAAGTGGTCTGAGTTTGAACAATGTAATAGCAGAGATACAAGCCTTAATGTGACCTTAACAGGATTAATATCTTCACACCGCGCCCTGAGGCTCCTGTTCCTTCAGCATCATGAAACATTTTGGTTCTTTGTTCAGACGGAGGAGGATAAACTGCGCCGTAAGCTGAGTGAACTGGCGGGAAACCTCAGTGACAGGAACCTCTCCTCTGACGACGAAAGCAGCTCCAAGAAGGCCCTCAACAAAGCATCCAAAAGCAAGACCAGGACCAGAGCCGCAGAGTCCAAAGAGGCTGAGGCAGACCCCGCCCTCAGCTCCTCCAGCGACGAGGGCCCCGGCAAAGCCCAGAAGGTAAACAACTCTCTGCTAAACTATGAAAATTAGAATATGGTATTCATCGGAACAGCAAGACACACAGGAGCACAGTGACAGTAGTGAGAACCAGGCAGAATGTGCAACACCTGTGCAAGGACCTGTTTGAAATTGTAAAGTTTTAACTATTTCTTTTTAATATTGTAATGTCTGCAGTGTATTTGGCCTCTTACACCTTGCCGAGGGACTACAGTCTGAAACTAGCTGTCTAGCTAATACTGACGCATTTAGAGTAATGGTGATTCATATTTTTGGTAACACTTTATATCAATTGTCCTAAGGCAGGTAAGAAACATACAAACACACAGTTAACATACAAACACACAGTTAGGTAAAAGTACAAACAATAAGTCGACAAGAAAAACAGTTGAAAGAGAGAGAGAAAGATGAATGTGTACCATAAATGTTATCTTCGCCTCCTTCAGTCGTTGTGGGTTGAAAAAACTAATAAATGTTGCATTACATATAATTGCAATTTTGTTTTTTAGCCGCGTTTCCACTGCAGGAGTTCCTGGTAAAAGGAGCGGGTTGGAACTTTTACAGGAACCTTCCTCTCCCCCGGTCCTCTCAGTGTCTCCACTGCAGTAGGACCACTCGACAACGTCATGAGTTTTGATTGCAGCATAAGCAAAACTCATTACGCCAAACCCGTTAATATTATAGATCCATGCGCAAAACCCTTTTGTTTATTTTATGTTGGTGACCGTTCCGGTTGTTGTGGTCTTTGAGTTTTTTTATAGTCCTGCTTAAATTTGTCTAAACTTTTCACGGCTTGTTTTGGAGTGTGATGAATCCCGTCTGAATCACCGTGCCCTTGTTTCCAGTGGTGTCTGCTAGGCGAAGGCTGCTGGGCTAATGCTGCTGGGCTAATGCTGCAAGGCTAATGCCTGTTGTTTTGCTGCTTTCTGCTGGCGTCACAGCGGTCTGAGCCTGTGCTAGCTTTAGCCAATCAGCGCCGGGTTAACCTCAAGTCCCACCAGGGCCCAACGGAGTACCTAGCGCGGAGGAGGGACTCCGTTGGGCCCTGTAAAAGTTCCTGTAAATGGCCATGTGGGGAAAGTGGAGACACGCACCGACGGGGCTGGCCCTGGAAAATTACCCCGAGGTTCCTGTGGTGGAAACGCGGCTATTGACGTGTCTGCATTGGCCTCGCTCTATATGATGTATCCAATCAAAGACGAACTCTGGCGTTGTAGGCCCTGATGGAAGGAAGCTTGACACTGATTGGTCAATGTCACAGATTTGTTTTTGATCTCTTTTTTTTTTCCACACACACACTGCTGCTGGTCAGTCTGCACAACGTGGAGCACACACACTGAGGATTGCGCACACACCGGGGATTGCACACACACACACACTGGGGATCGCACACACACACACACTGGGGATCGCACACACAGACACCGGGGATTGCACACACCACGGTGATTGCACTTGAACGCACACACAGAGGATCGTACACACACACACAGAGGATTGCACATAGACACACCCCAGCGTGTACACACACACAGGAAGTTGGTGGAAAAATAAAGTATGTGAAGTAAGGCTTGAGTGGCAACACTTCTGTAGGTCAGTTCTGCACACACAGAGACACACACACACGCACACACATACACACATACATACATACACATGTACGCGGCAGTGGTTGAGTGGATAGCACTCACACTTCTCAGCAAGAAGGTCCTGGGTTCGAGTCCTGTGGTCGGACATGGAGTTTGTATGTTCTCCCCGTGTCTGCGTACAAACACAGTGAATGTTCTTGTTCTCCATCTGATCAGATGGTCTTTGATAAACCACTACAGCTGTGCTCCAATGAAAGAACTCCACTTTGTAAAGTGTTTGATAAATATGTGCTGCTGAGATGATGAAGCCTGGCACTGGTCAGGGAGCAGTTGATTCATTCATGCAAAGTGGGGCCCCAAGATCTATTCAGGGGAAAGGGAACCATGACAAACTGTCTGTAATTCTCAAGTACCAAAATAACCACAATTATTATAACAAGTTTCAGTGTTTCTTCAGGGTTTTTTTATTAAATGTTTCCCGCAGAGAACAGTGTGGCATCTCACGATCATTAGCAAATGCTTACGATTCCTTAAAGGTCCTATATCACGCTTTTCTTCATGTTTCGCACTCGATCCTATACACATGTGTGATAATAATGTGTGTCATACACCATACAACACTCACAACTTGTGAGATTAGAGCCATCTCTTGTATAGAGCTGACGTCACCTCGACTCAAACGAGCTGATCCAGAGAAGAGTCTGCTCCTCTGCCTGTGAGCCCGCCTCCCCCCGCCCGCACGGTGACGTAGCATCACGCTTTTGTCGTTTATCACCTGTACTTAGTAATTTCAGACATAAGAATAAACTTTTTCCAACAATGACAATCCGTCACATCGAGCCCTATGTCCTCGATGCACAATTAGACCCAAATTATTTAGTTTACAGAAGTATACGGCAAGTTAACATCACGTTACTCACAGATCGGGCGGTCCGTGTTACGCCTTTTATAACACATGTTTCCAGATCATTGAGAAAAGCCCTATTCGGACGGGATTAGTATTACCTGTGGACCTCTGGTAATTTGTGATAATCACGGAGGACGTCTGAGATTGTGCAGTGCATTCACACGAAATAAGCAATGTCTGTAATTTTCACTGACATCTCACATAACGGCTGCTCGTGCGCGGGTCTCTCTGCTTCATGCAGTTCATAAAGTCTGACGTCTGACCACAGCAGCAACAGAGACGAGACTACCCAAGAACGCCTCAAATACTCTGACATGCTGACATACTCGCGAGCCGACAAACGGCTGCAGCAACATGTCTGTGCAGAGACGCAGAGTAAACCCATCAGTCTGATCATTTAGTGAACACATTACACTGTCCTCTACACTTCTCCACAGACAAAGAGCCACAGAGCTGTAACAGCAGCAGCCGCGGAGTCGCAGGGGTCCCCATGTAAAACTAATCCCGTCAGAATAGGGCTTGAGTCCAGTTCCATTGTCCCTGTAGTTCTGGAACAGTCTCAGTGAAGTGTCGCAGATGAACCGGTATTATAATAGATCCATGAGATGAACAGATGAAAAAAGTCGAGCCGCTTTCTTCCTCTTAGGGCCAAATAGTGCGTCACATATTTACACCCATAACACACTTCATTCAAGTTGACGTGATCCTAACACTTTTAGTTGCTGACAAAAGCATAAAAACAGCAGCTCTATGTGGTGTCCGCGAGACCAGACCACAGACGCTGGACTCGGGAGCCGGACTCCGGAGCTGGCTGCGCGCTCTGATTCGCTGTTTCGATTTGTCAATCTACTCCTGCCGGCTTTTACTATTATTTTTATTTTCATTATTTTTGACAACAAACAGCATACTTATTGTGTTTTGTTTACCCCGTTTTGACAAAAGTATTTAAAAACCATTTTAAATACAAAGCAAACAGGGTTATACGTGTCATATTCATCATCAGTGTGGTAATTGTCACTGAAGTGGACCCGAGCGTTTCTGTGCCTCTCGAAGCTGAAGGAGACAGATCGCTCTCTATCTAAAGCTTGACAGAATCAATGAAAAAAATACTCTGGGCATGTATATGAAGGCTAAATAGCACTGTAATCATGTTTAAAGCAGAGAAAAGTCAAAAAGCGTAATATGGGCCCTTTAATAACCTTCTACAGGTTGTGACTCTCGACTACCACAGGATTTAGGCGAGTGTGGAAAAGCAAGAACCCACAACTGTTACTCTGAACACATCAGTATTCACAGTGCTTCGGTTGTTAGCATATTAGCATACTACAGTGATAAAGAGAATTTGGATTTCTCTTCAGCGAGACGCGGTCCCAAAGAAAAGTACTGTCCACATGTGGATCAGCAGGTTGGACTAAACCTGCTGACAGAAGCAGGGCAACCCTTTCTGTGCCGTCAGCCCCTCCCACCACCACCAACCATTCACACACACACCAGACTCACAAGCAAACGGGTGAAGGGTCCCCACTTTACAGCCACAGCCGCCCCACTGTGGCTCACCTGGCTAACCTCTGGGGGGGGCTGACTGACTTTAGGGGGGCCTGGCTAACAGTGTCCTGTGCTCCTCAGACTTCGAGCGCGGCGGCCCTCTGTGACCTCACCACTGAGGTTCTGAGGACCATCAACGCCACAGAGACGGCCATGGTCGAGCTGGGTCTGAGCGAGCCCCCCCCCGCTAACTCCCCCAAAGGCCTCCCCAACGCCTCTGACCAGGCCTTTAAGGAGCTGGAGCAAAATGTAAGACACGCTCAAGTTCTCAAGATACAGGTTCATTTTATTTGCCATTTGCAGTAAAACCACATTGGAATACATTTGTGAAAGTCCCCAGTGTGCACCAGACAAGTACAGACATTAAGGGTGTATTCAGACCTGCACATTTGCTCCACTTTAAATGGACCAGGATTCGTTTGGAACTCTGATCCGAAGCTTTTATGCAGGTCTGAATACACACAAACGAATCCTGGTCTGGACCAAAGAACCGAACCAAGACCCACTTTTTTAGGTGGTCTCGGTCCGCTTCCAAACGAATTCTGGTCCAAGTCGAATCAGGTCTGAATACATCCGGTGTCGAGCCGACACAACTCCAAGATACGTACGCATTTTTTGGGCTTAACAAGCCGCAGACAGAAACTGTGCTGCTAACTATGCTGCTAACTATGCTGCTAACGCTACACAACAACAATGAGCCGTGGGCAGACCTGGAGCAGTGAGGAGACGCTGTGCAACAGGCTTATGGAGTTAAAACTGTTCACAGAATACATTGATGTTAATGGCAGCATCTTCAAATCATTTGCATTATTAAAAGCCTGACACTGTTTGACTCACGTCTCAAAGAGCAATATCCCGCATCATGTAGGGAATTGTGTTCTTTGGTTCATACCTGATCCTCAGCGTCTGTTTGTCCCGTGGTTATTATAGATCCATGGTTTATCCACATGCTGCTGTCAGTAAGTTGTGGAACAAAGTTATTATAATAGATAATAACTCTATCTGTAGCGCACAGTCTTCTTCGGCTTTCTCTTCACGCATTCACCGATGCTGTTTCAATATTTAAAACAGTGCGTTTGGCCTGTGTCTAATGAGCTGCTGTTGATGTTGAAGGTGGTTTTGGTCTAAAAAGAGCAGACATAGGCAGAGCAGACATGCTGCACATACGATCTCAATGTTTTCCTCCGGTTCCGCGTCTATCCTCCGTGAGCTCTCGCTGTCCAATAGGAGCGCCGATCGTCACACGCGTCCATATGTTTATATATAAAAGTTCACTTGCAAAAAGTACAATCTGAATACGAACAGGAGCAAACAAAAAAAAGTTTGGTCCGCTTTTGATTCGGATCAAGCAAGCGGAGCAAAGGACTTTTCAGGTCTGAATACACCCTAAATAAGGCTAAAAGTGCAGGAATAAAACATATTTTTATAAAGCGCAGGAAACAATTGATTAAAACAGTTTCAATAAGAGGAAAGAAGCTGTTAGCAAAACGAGATGTCCTGCATCTCAACAAACATTATCTTCTGCCAGAGGGAAGAAGCTGGAACATGGCTTTTCCAGGGTCTAGAGGAAAAAAGCTATGAGGAATATCGATCTAGTTAGGCTGAGAGGGGAAGGGGAACGGCGTCTCGTATGAATGTGATGCCAGTCTACTTTGTACATTTTCACTCTTCTTTTTGTACAGAAATATTTTGAAGAACTGTTGTTTTTCAAAATATATTGTTCGTTGCTGATGCAGAAGGGTCTCGACATACAACCACAGTTATGGACATTCTGTGTGTTTTTGGATCTGTGTGATTGAGAGAGGCTCTGTTCCTGTTCTTTCCTCCAGACGAGTCAGCAGATTCTCGATGGCAAACATCCTCTTGCTGAGTTCATTCATCTTCAAGAGAAAAGGACAGAAAAGACTTTAGCCTGGGGTTAGAATTTTACAAGAAATGGTATTGATGATGAATAAAAGTACAGAAAATCACATGTGTCAACAATAACAATAACAAAAATCCCTATCAATACTTTGCACAGTTGCTGGTCTCTGCTTTTTATGGACCAATGGCTCTATGTGTTTTTAGCATTGCATTTTTTGCGTTTGAACTGTTTCATTCTCTGATCTGTGTTTGTGAATCAACAGCTTTGTAAAGTCCTCCTCACAAATACAATTCTTGTTCTCAGGTTTACTGTGTATTTTTCTCTAGTGCTCAGGTTTATGTGTTGTAGACTGTAAAAATTAACATATTTACGCCTATCTCCGCCATTGAAACTAATGTGCCATCACTTTTGCCTTCAATGGGCAGTTTAAAAATGGCTGGAAAATATGAAAAAAGGCATTAGCCGCAAGAGCCCCATTAACTTGATGAGTGCATTCAAAAATCCACAGCGACTAAACTAGACTGGTCCAAAAAAATTCACCCCCCTCAGCATTGACACACATGTGGAACGTCGCTTTGGGCCAAGAATTATCTTTTGGACCATCCTGTTAAGACGTTTTCGAGACGTATGAAGATGCGATAAATTAGCGTTGGTTAATTCTTATTCTGGGCCCACCCCCACTGGCCAGGGGTGGTATTGCAGCATGTCAGCGCACCTCATTTTGGACATTTTTGAGCCAGGATCCGCCCCCATTGGGTTTAATGTGTGTCTTCTTCTTCTCTTGTGCTCAGGTTTACTTGGCTGCAGGGAAGTCCTACGATCTGGAAGGGAAGCTGAAGCGCCTGGAACACGGCGCAAAGAACCGCTTTGTAGGAACCGCAGACTCTGACCTGTCGGAGCTGGAGGATGTAGTTGCCCTGACCGCGGCCCGCGTCCAGAGCGCCGAGAGCGAGGTGCGTCAGGTCTCTCTCTGGTCCCCTGCTTCTTGCCAGGCCTCACCCTAACCCTGTCACATCCATAGATCTGCAAATCAGCGCAAAATGTGACTCACGAGGGTCTATCTTAAAAGTGTTCAAAACAGTTATTAAAGAATAAGGTGAATGACATTTTCCTGTTGAGTGTCGGTGTCTTGATCATACTGTATATACTTGATCTGCTACTTCAGACATTTTTTCAGCCAAATTTTTTAGTGGCCCATAAAAATATTTTCTATTATTATTATTACCTTGCACACTGCAAACACTGATGAAAGATTTGTCCAAAAAAAATCTCAAATTTGACAAAATGTATCTTCATTTGAGCACATTCTGACTGCCTTAAAACAAGATTTTCCAGCGGGACAAAGCAAAATGATCTTGTTTTTAAAAATATACAAGAAATGCCTCCCTTGGAATGAGAAAGAACTGTTGTTCTTGTTCTTTTCAAGAACTGTTAGCAACAGTTCTTGAAATGAGACAAAATGGCTTTGTCCCATTGTTTTAACACAGTCAGAATGTGTCAGTTTAAGATTAAAAAAACACTTGATTCAAGGAATTATTACCTCATATTTTATCATTTTTTACAGCGCAGCATTAATGGTTATGGGCATGTTACACAGAATCTATTTTCTCATAATTCAAAGTAGTCATAGTTAAATATAAACACATTTTGTTCTCAGAAAATTCCACCAGGAAATAATAGTGAAACTCATGTCACATAACAGTCATGTAAAATACCTTCATACTGTAAAAACATTATAAGAAAAGGAAATGGCTTCTATTCTTTCGACCAGTTTCTATTGTTTTTTTCTGCCCCTGACCAGGATGAGTTGGACACCTCTGAGCTGCTCCTTTGGCATAATGATTATTACAGAGTTAGATTGATTCACAGCTGTAGCAGAAGGAATTCTCTCAGAGTCAGTTTGAACCAGCAGAAACCAGTCTTTCTGAGCTCATGTTTCTGCGCATGACATACATGTAGCTCCCCCTGGTGTTGTACTGTGGTAACTGCACAAAGCAAAGTAATCTGATTTGTTTGTATTTCAATGGAAAACATGTGATACAAACACAATGGATTTTCTACTGGAGTCTCAATCGGAAAACTCTTCTTTCTTTTCTTCTTAAAAGTGAACGTCCAAACACACTCCAGAAAACTCAATAGAATAAAAGATTATTTAGTTTATAAGCCCCAATGTGGTTTCGCTAAGTTTAATGCACCATTTTGTGATTAGTTGTGAGTTATTGTTCTTACCTGTGTCTTCTTTGGCGCTGTCTCCAGGTGTCGGATATTGAGAGTAAACTGGCTGCACTGAGCAGTGGATCCAAGAAGAAGGTCAGTTTTAGAATCATTTCAGTAAAAAAGACCCAAACGATGGAGGTGGAGGAGGTCCCAGGACGTGTGTGGGTTAACTCAAGTATTCTTTTTTTTTTTAAATATAATGCTAGTTCCATTAGATACTTTGAGGTGGGTACCTACTACCACCCCAAATACTACTACCCTGTCTGTACTGAACAGTGCAGAGATGTCCAGGGGCGGATCAGAGATTGGGACAGCAGGGGCCAGAACCCCAGTAAAGGGGGATTTGTGATGATTTTCAATTATGTTGAATTGGTGGTAAAATAAGTAAGTAATCTTTATTTATGTAGCGTCTCTCACAGACTAGAGTCACAAAGTGCTTTGGAACTTCAGGATTATATCTGATAACATGATTTGACTAAATGTGATGCTGGGACATACACTCTGGGCTGACGGCAAAGCTAACAGCTAAGCTAACATCTCTCTTGTCTGTGTCCAGGCGTCTTTGTCTCAAAGAAAAAAGAGCATCCAGGACTTCAGCAGTAAGTCTCCTCTGCTCTCTCTCTGCTCTCTTTCTGGTCTCTCTCTGGTCTTTCCATGTCGCTCAGTCCTGCAGTGTCCTCTGCAGCTGTATTGTACAGTGTATGAACGGATTTTGACAGCTGCTGCAGCGCTCAGACCTACAACCAACAGGTTTGATATCTCTGGTCTCTCTCTCTTCTGCAGTGGTGAGTTCAGGGGGTGTGAGTGTGTGGTGAGGTGTTTTACCAGAGATGGGGTAATCCAAGTCTGACTCAGACTTGGATTGATATTTTCATCATCAGGTCTGCTGCTTTGGCGTCTCAAGAGCTACATTCATTAACAACATTTTTAGAATGTGTGTGTTCTTGCTTTCACTAAATGATCCTGCAGCATCAGAGTCCATGGTTTAATAATTAGACCGAAACACATAGATGATTTATGCAGTAATTGTAACATAATATATTCTGTATATTTTGTACTAGTTGTGCGCCCCCTGCAGAGGCCCTGAGCCCCCCAAGAGGACTTTGGGAAGCACTGGTCCAGAGAATCAGACACTAGTCCATTCTGAAACTAGAATTGATCCAAAATACTAATTGGATCTGCTCTGGGCTCCAAATGCAGTGACTTTTCCTGAACAGTTGGTGAACGATCATGGACTTAGGAATTGTCTAAATCTGTAAAAGTTTTATAATACTGTATTTCTTAAGAGATCTTTTATTTTTCCCACACTGGAGACATTTCAGTGTTGCATCATAAGTTCTCATTCATTTAATGGTACTGCCAATGTTTCTTTTGACAAGGAGCTTTTTCTGTCTTTTACAGAGGGATCACCCTGGAAGACTGGATACTGAGAGGACTCTGCAGCAACAGACATTATACTAGTGTGCTACTGTACGTACTACTGTATGTACAGTAGTATTCACTACTGTGTATTCAGTGTATATGTACTACTGTAGACGCATGTACTTGTTATACCTGTGCTTGATCCACCTCTGCTTTTCCTTGTCCTTCCCTAAACACAATGTAAAGCAAAGCACTGAATTATTTCTGATGCAAATAATAAATAACAAAAAAAGGTCTCATTGTTTCTCACTAATTTCACAAAATGAATCCTGGTCTGGATAATTTCCCTCTGTGACTATATTCAAAAGAATCAATCAATCAATCAGTCAATCAGCCATAAGAGACTGGGGTTAAAACTGTCTGAAAGATAACTTTATTTTGTATTATGCAAAACTCTCCAAACTGTCCTGCTGTTTGGGCTCGGCCCACAGGGGGCGACAGACGACTCGTTTTATATAACTCAACTCTGACCAGTTTTCTGATGATTCTGTGGCTGCGGAACATGAGATTGTAAGAAAACACATTTCCTCTGTGTATTTCAGTTTATTTCCTGGTTCTTAAATCTCCCCCACAGACTGTAATGTTATCATTATCAGCAGCGACCGTGGATCAGTCTCTTCATTCAGTGAACTGTCCACACAGAAACACAAACACAACAAAGTATGAGTATTACCTGTTTATGGAGCGTCCTTTGCTCTGGGAAAGTGAAACTAAAAAGTGAACCAACAGGATAAACAACAGCAGGCTTAACACACAATAACAAGTTTTTATTTTATTTTTTCAAATAAAATAACTTTATCTGTGAGGAACTTCATTTACGGATGAATGTTTTACAAAAAAAGTGCATAAATATAAAATACATAAATCAGAGCATAATCTGCCTCCTCTGAAGCTGACTGTGAGCGGCTGTTTATGTGGCCTGAGGTGAAAGAAGAAGCTGGAATTTCAAGTCCTACTTAGACTGAAAGTTTGCTAAATACACTTTTGTCCTTAATCGATAATGTCCAGATTTCAAGGTGATCCCTTAAAGAAGTAAAACTCCTCTTAGAGCCGACCTTTAGTTTTGTTGTTGTTTCAAATAAATGGTGAGGATCTCCTGGGTCTTAGATGAGCAGTCGACCATCATGTTCCAGTCGGCTCCAGACAGGAAGTCTCCCGGAAGATCTCGTCCAAGGAACAGGAGCCGAGACTTCGACCAAAGGTGGGATCAGGGATTCAGGAGCAGCCTGGTTTGTGTTCTGGCCACGGAAAATACTGGACCAGTATTCACAAACTCCTCAGAGTACTCACAGAGTACTCACAGAGAATTCACAGTACTCAGACAGTACTCACACAGGTGGCAAAGAAACAAAGTTTTTTTATTAGGGCTGTCAAACGATAAATTTTTTTTAGTTGATTAATCGCATAGTATTGGTGAGTTAACTCGCGATTAATCTTAATTCTTAACATTTTATTTCAAATCCACCATTGAAATTAGATCATCCAATGTAATAACACATTGTCATTCATACCAAATGTACTTCAATCTGTTTGATTTGCTCACAACCTTTTACTTTTGGCACAACCAACATGAACGGGAAAATTTACCCACCCCAGCTTTAACTTAGCAAGTTTTGGTGGCGTTTCAGGAGGAGACACGGACGCTCCCTGAGGCTCCATAATTCTGTGTGTGTATGGTCTTATAAGCACCGCGGCGCCACATTGTTGTTAGCGGCTCACATCCGCTTAGAACAACCAGAGCGGAACTTCAGTTCAGAGCAAACAACAGCCCCGCGGTCACGCGCGTAGTCTTTTAAAACTTGAATTCCCAGAGACCTGCTCTGTCATCATCACACACACAGGCATGTGTACGCTGCATTCTTAGTGATATTATGGATAAAAGGGCGGGTCATCCGGACATGCGTTAATTTTTTTTTAACGCGTTAATGAAAAATGTAATTAATGTGAGTTAACGCAATAATTTTGACAGCCCTATTTTTCATACATTTGTCTGTATTTTCTACTCCTTCACACTCATCAACACAGATCAGAGAATCAAACAGTTCAAATAAACAGGAGCAGGAGAACCACCGTCCAGAACTGTGCAGAAACGTCCCCAAAACAACTGAGATCAGACATGTGTGTGTCCGAGTCAGGGAGACAAGTGGAACTCACTTCTCTTTCTTCTGTTCAGTTTGACTGCGGTGGTCTGTGGGGTCAGGTTTGGGGGTGCGGTCGGGGAGCCCTACCCTCCTCTGGGTGGGGGGGTCAGGTGTGGGGGGTGCGGTTGCGGAGCCCCGCCCTCCTCGGGGTGGGAGGGGGTGGTGCTGCTTTGGGGGCGGGGCCTGTGTTGAACTCGGGGTTCAGGTTCCGGAACAGCTGCCGCACACATCGAGGCTTTGCCGCAGGTTTGACGGTGAACTGCACCAGCGGCAGACGTCTGTACGTGACCTTTGACCTCAGGTGTCGAGTGGGGCGTCGTCGTCGCCGTGGAGACGGACTTCCGTCTGAAGCGTTGGAGGCATGGCCACGAGGAGAGCAGAGTAAGTACAAGATGGAGGTGTGCGGCTGAAGAGGGCAGAGCACTGAAGAGTACTGGTCTGGGAACTGCGGATCAGGTCCTGAGGCCCCTGGGACTGAGGCCTGTGTGGCAGGGGTCCTGGACTGAGGCTCCTGAGAGGGGGTGGTCTCTGGGACTAAAGCCACTGCAGACGACACCTGCAGTGTTTGGGTTCCTCTGCTCAACTTCACAACCTGCAAAGAACAAGATCATAATATTGAGGCTGAGAATTAGTTATATGTAAATATTTGAGGATTCGATTGTATTGCAATATTTGGGCAATTTCAATATTATTGTGATTCTTAACATATATATGAGGCTATAGATCCAGGACTGAGGTTGTAGATCCAGGACTGAGGCTGTAGATCCAGGACTGAGGCTGTAGATCCAGGACTGAGGCTGTAGATCCAGGACTGAGGCTGTAGATCCAGGACTGAGGCCGTAGATCCAGGACTGAGGCCGTCTTAGGGCTACGGTCCTAAACACAGGTCCTGATCTTAAAGACACTTGCCCTCTGGGGGAGTGGTTAGCTCACCTGGCACCTGGCTGCTCTGCTGTAGTTGTACCTCCTCTTCCTCCTCCTCTTCCTCGGCTCCAGGTCTTCGTCAGGCTCACACAGCGGCAGGAGAGCAGGCGTCTGGTCATAGCCGCGCTGGCCGTACCTGCCACATGGACCAGAGACCCCGAGTTAGGGCAAAGTAGAAGAAACACCTCAGGCATCCACAGAACAGTATCCATAAGAACTGATTATGAATTTGCAGATTTGTAAAACATGTAGACAATCCACAGGAATGTTAGTCTCTGTATATACAAGTTAGAAAGATATTCCTACATTGAGAAAATAGAAAATAACACTTTAGATTAGCCCTCACTAACCAAATGCTAACTAGTGAAACTGTATCTGACATACATTTCAAAGAGAGGCTAATATTGCTATATATGATGCTTAATATTTGCAAACCTACCAAGAACACGTCAAGCTCAGGAAGTTTTTTGTAACTCCTTATGTCAAAAGTAATCTCAGACTCACACAAAGCTCAGTATTGGAGACAAAAGCCAGTCGTTTCCACCTATTCTGGGTCAGATCGTACCTTGCTGGTCAGAGGTGATAAAAGCCATCGACAGAATATTTAGCCCTGATATGACTCTTGGTTTTAAGGAGGTCTATTTGGGAAACCTTCCACAGGCCATGCAGAAATCTGACCAATATCTGTTAAAACTGCAGCAGGAGCAAAGAAGGCCATACCACACAAATGGTTCTGTGAAGATGCCCGAGTCCTGGATCTACAGCCTCGGTCCTGGATCTACAGCCTCAGTCCTGGATCTACAGCCTCAGTCCTGGATCTACAGCCTCAGTCCTGGATCTACAGCCTCAGCCCTGGATCTACAGCCTCAGTTCTGGATCTACAGCCTCAGTCCTGGATCTACAGCCTCAGTCCTGGATCTACAGCCTCAGTCCTGGATCTACAGCCTCAGCCCTGGATCTACAGCCTCAGCCCTGGATCTACAGCCTCAGTTCTGGATCTACAACCTCAGTCCTGGATCTACAGCCTCGGTCCTGGATCTACAGCCTCAGTCCTGGATCTACAGCCTCAGCCCTGGATCTACAGCCTCAGTTCTGGATCTACAGCCTCAGCCCTGGATCTACAGCCTCAGTTCTGGATCTACAACCTCAGTCCTGGATCTACAGCCTCGGTCCTGGATCTACAGCCTCGGTCCTGGATCTACAGCCTCAGTCCTGGATCTGCAGCCTCAGTCCTGGATCTACAGCCTCAGTCCTGGATCTACAGCCTCAGTCCTGGATCTACAGCCTCAGTCCTGGATCTACAGCCTCAGCCCTGGATCTACAGCCTCAGTTCTGGATCTACAGCCTCAGTCCTGGATCTACAGCCTCAGTCCTGGATCTACAGCCTCAGTCCTGGATCTACAGCCTCAGCCCTGGATCTACAGCCTCAGCCCTGGATCTACAGCCTCAGTTCTGGATCTACAACCTCAGTCCTGGATCTACAGCCTCAGTCCTGGATCTACAGCCTCAGTCCTGGATCTACAGCCTCAGTTCTGGCTCTACATCCCGTTCCCACACACTAGTATGTGTGTGTGCGTGTGTGAATGTGTGTGTGTTAGAACCTGGCCAGTGACTCGGAGTCGAAGTAGCAGGTGCGGACCCCGGTCTTAAACTGCTGGACCAGCTTGAGCACCCGGGCCTCGTCTTCCTCTTCGATCTGAGCCCAGGACTTCCCCCTGAAGGACGGGAGGATGAGGCGCGGCAGAGGCAGCACGCTCTCCACCGGCAGCTCCAGGAATCCTCGGCGGTTCTCAGGGGCCTCCAGGAGCCACTGTAGCTGCTGGCTGTAGTCCTCCTCCACGTCCACCTGCACCTCCAGCAGCGACCGCACCTCCGGAAGAGACCGAGGAGCCCGAGCACGGTCCTCCTGCTGGGGCACAGAGCGGTGACTGTAGACAGAGGAGCCAAGTAGTGTCTCAGGGGCCACATGTGAGTGTCATGTTGTGGAGGGCGGACCCAACTTCACACGGTTTCCATCTCCCTACATTTAGCACCAGGTATTATCCATTTACTGAGAAAGGTACTTCAGTTATTATATTTAAAGTAAAAAAGAATCGTGAAACATGGAGCCAAAACATGCTGTGTTCTCTCATCTTTATTTTTTACATAGTTTGAGCAATTTATATTTCATTCATAATGTTCAATGTTCATTTCTGGTTTTGCTTAGATTGAACCAAAACTGGACGAAAGCAGAGTAGTGTAGACTGACTTACAGATTTATGTTTTTGACAAATTATTACTGGTCCATTTTAAAGTAAAAATATAATTTAGCCATTTTCTGTCGCTCGGCAACTAACATTCTATAACACTTAAATTAATTAATGAACTGAAACTGAACTGAATTTTTTTTTCAGTTCAGTTTCAGTTACAGAATTCTGGGAGTCTGAGAGTAAAGAGCCCAGATCCTCCGCTCACCTCCAGGTCCAAGTCCCACTCTGTCTGCGTTTCTATGGAGACGGGGAGGCTGAAGTGCACACTGCTGGAGCTGCTGCCATCTTCCTCGCCGTAGCAGTAGCGCCTGATGACCTGTGACCAGCAGAGGGCAGCAGAGGCAGAATGGATGTTAACACAGCAGAAGTATAACAGACCATACCCTTTGGCTTTGAACCAGACTTATTTAGTTTTTCTGTCTGTATCTTGTAAATATTTAGTGTCATTAAATGTTGTCGTTCATTTCTATGTGGTTTGGGCCAAGTGTGTGAAGCAACAACAAGATGTTTGTTATAACATTCTGGCTGAGTGGATAGCACTCTCGCCTCTCAGCAAGAAGATCCTGGGTTCAAATCCCGGTCGGAACAGGGCCTATCTGAGTGGAGTTTGCATGTTCTCCCCGTGTCTGAGAACGTTTCCTCCGGGTGCTCCGGTTTCCCCTACCGCTAAAAACATGCACAATAGGTATGAATGTAAATGAGAGAGTGAATGGATGATGGTCCAGTGTGTTCTGGACTCGCTTCTGTCATCACCGTGTGTGGAATGATTGGAACAATATCTGAACCCTGAATATTGTAAAGTGCTTTGGATGACCTTGGTCTGTAAAATGCGCTATATAAATAAACATTACTTACTTACTTACTATAACAGTGATCGACCAGCGGCTGAGGGCCCCTCAGGAGCAAAGGGGCAGACCAGGACAGCTGTGCAGGCCACCAAAATCTAACTCTGACCCTAGCCCATCAGAGTCTCCCCCACCTCTGCCACCAGAGTCAACACTGCAGTGTTTGGTTCCAGTGTAAAGCCCGACATGCACCAACCTGACGACTGGGCGTCTGAAGAAGTTGGATATAGATGGGTGAGTTCCGACACGGACTCACAGGGCAGTGTTCATGCAGACAACAAGTTCTCATCGACCTGTATCGACGAAGCCGACTGAGCAGTGGGCTGTAGGCTCAAGTCTGGTTGATGCATGTGTGTATTTTTTAGACATTTCTAAATCCTTTGGGAGCCAACAGAGTGTGGTGAGGCGTGGTGAGGTGTGGAGAGGCGTGGTGAGGCGTGGTGAGGCGTGGTGAGGTGTGGCGAGGCTGACCTGTTCGATGGTGGAGCTGCTGTGGTGTGAGCTGAAGTCTCCTCTCTGCTGCCCCCTTCTGGCTCGTTGCCATGAGGCCCATGTCTGAGCGAGGGGGGTTTCTTCACGCTGCCCCAGAGGAGGCTGCTCTTTGGACTTGCTGAGGTCACAGGGACTGAGACACAAAACAACAGGGACATTTTATTCAAATAAAACCAGATGTGTTACTGTTACTGTGTGCCAGAGCGTCATGCTGCACAGATGTAAACATACAATATATATCACTGCACTAGATTATACAGTTTTTTATACATCTATGAACAAAATAGTTTGCTTCTCTACAAATTTCTCTCTGTGAATTCTAATATCTAAGTGGTTTGTTGATAGAAGAATTCAAGTCGTTGGGAACTTTGTGACCTCTTACTTCTGCCCTGACAACATGCACCCCGAGTTGGTGAGAAGCCTGTTGCTCCTGTATGAGTGACAATAACAGTAAATGTACAGAGGTTAATGGTACTAAAAAAGGGAGACATTGTTCTGGTGGACCTTCTGAAGCCAGTGGATGAGGACAATACCTTTTCCCATAACTGTGAGGGTGGTGCTTGAGGACATCGTGGAGAAAGCGTTCGAGGAGGCTGTGAGACGATTGGCTGGAAGAGGAAGCAGACTGAGCCACTGCGTCCGAGTGCTGCGGACTGGAGAGGTGCTGAGGGGAAGACAAAGCTTAGAGATGGCTTTTCATGGTCATGTTTGAGGTTGGTAAGGCTGAAAATGGAATCTCTTTAACCTCTAAGTAGAGTTAGGGTTAGCCTGGTCTAACTACACCATCGTACACATTTAATATAGTACTAAGGTTTGAACTTGAGTGAGTTGCTAGCATTTAGCCTAGCTTTAGCCATCTCATTTGCCACTAACGGAGCCCGTGAGAAGTAGAGCCACAACATCTTTGCAGCAAGGACTTTTGCCAAACATTCCTGTTCCTCCGGCTTCATTTTCTTGATATTTGGAGCTGAACCATAACGGATTACTTTACTATTCACTATTGCCAAACTACAACCAGCAAATTCAGCGCCAACTCTTCACGACCTATAACACCCGCCTACCCCGCTTGGTGAATGGTCGGATGGGATACAACCGATGTAACTGCAGCCACAGGGACCAGACCCAGACGCACATCTACAGTAGTAAATAATAATTAAGTTTACGAATGGCTAAGGCCCGGCTAAAAGACTGTACTACACTGCAAAAAGTGAAAGATGACATATGAAGTATTAACTGAGTGGTTTTTATCTTAACTCATTGACTGCCAGCCGTTTGATTTTCAAGACCCACAGAATATTGTGGTCTATGACTATGTGAAATATGAAACCAGATTCTGAAAGATTAAGACGTCAATGAAAGTCAATGAGCTTTGAGCACATTCTGACTGTTTTAAAAAAAGATATTCCAATTGGACAAAGCCATTTAGTCTTATTTCAAGAACTGTTCCTTCATTTTCTCACTCCAAAAAAGACATTTCCTCTATCTTTTTAAAACAACATCATTTTTTACTTATTTCATAATCTTTTTTTTACTACTACTTCTACCAATTGTTCCTTCACTAATGAATGAATGAAATGAGCTCCTCAATAAACCAGTGTCCTAAAGCTACTAAAGCTTGATGGAGTTGAAATAATAAGTCCAAAAACTCTTTCCACAGGGATCAAAGAACTAGACAAAAGTGGCGGCTTATAGTCCGGGAATTACAGCTGTTTTTGGCTCAAACCCAGTTAGTCAAACTGAGTGGAGACAACTCGAGCATAGCGTGTTATTACATTATGATTAATTGTGTTAGCATCATGTGACTAAGGCTATATCCACACGAAGACAAAACGCTTATAATTTCAGAAACTTTTTCTGTAAACACGGAGTTAGCTCAGTAAATGTGTGCGTCCATATGAATGTAGTCAATACGCCTGAAAACGCTGTGAAACTATGCCAGACCTGTTGGTGGCGCTGTGACGGGATCAAGCCCAAACTTCGGGAACTGGGCATGCGCAGAATTTTGTAAACAGACAACATGGCGAGTGGGCGAGCTGGTACTACATTAGTATGGACGGACGATGAGGTTGAACTGTTGCTTCGGGTCGCACTGGATTACAAAACAACAAGCTACATTGTTGTTGTCATTATTTTCTGAGTGCGGCGCATGCTGCTTTAACAAGAGGCGGGGCGATGACGCAAGCGTCTCAGATACATTGCGGAGAGGCAGTAACCACGGAGCGGCATATACAGAGTTTTGAAATCTTTCCACTCTGGGACCTACTTTCAAAAATGTTCGTTTACACCCCCCCAAAACGCCGGCCTCGTATGGACGATACACTGGATTGATAAAGTATTTTTGCGTTTAGGCCTGAGCTTGACTTCGTGTGGACAGGGCCTAAGAGAACATGTGTTTTTGGTGAATATATGTGACAAAGAGGAAGAATGCGGTGAATGAGGCTCGTCTTTATTCACAGGATCTGACTCTGAAATCCTTGTACCTGTGCTTAGGATGTACTGTGAAACATGAAGAGCCAGATATGGGACCTTTAAACTCTTTCCAACTCCAGTCTGACTCCAGCTGTCCCTCAGTTTTACTCCCGTTCATGTACCGTGTTTGTGTTGAAATATTGGTGGGAACAGTCCGGCTCACCTGCTCCAAGTCCTGGTACAACACCCCACACACACCGCAGTAGCCCTGCTGTTTAGGCTCCGCCCCCTGGTCTCCCATCTTCAACTCAGCGGCCAATTACAGAGCTGAATCCGCCTCGACACATCTGAGGGCACAGCACCTGGAAGGAGATGTAAACATGTGATGCTTTTTGGGACCAGACATAATCTGCCGACAGACAAACTGAAAAATGAAAGAGAGAGATCTTGAGTCCTGACAAAAAGTAGTCCTCATTAGTCCAGTTCTCAGGTTTCTGCACTTCCTGTGGCTCAGAGAATAAACTTTAAACAGCTCAAGTCTCTCCATGGTCTCGCACCAAAGTACATAAGTGTGTGTGTATCCTGAACTATGAAGTGCCTTTGAGTTTTTGAAAAGCGCTATATAAAACCGATGTATTACTATTATTATTATTATTATTATTATTAATATTATTACGTTAGTCCCATATGAACCGACCCAGACTCTGAGGAGCACGGGAAGTCGTTTTTTGCTAGTCCCCACTGCCCAGAGTCAGAACTAAACACGGAGAGGCAGCGTTTCAGATTTATGCAGCTAAAATCTGGAACAATCTTCCTGAAAATGTGAGCCTGGCATCTACGCTGGCAGTTATCAAATCCAGGTTAAAAACAGTTCTGTCTAGCTGTGCATACAACTGAAGGATTTTATATTTACTCTTTTTAATGCACCGTGGCTATTTATTATGTTAATCCTGTGTGTGATTTTAATGTTTTAAGGTTTTTAATTACTTTTGATTTTATTTTGTATTTTTACTTTGACCGATACAGACTGATGCAGGAGGATACAGACAGACTGATACGGACTGACACAGACTGATACAGACGCGTTAGCATCAGAGGCTACATAACATGAGCCGTGTAGCGTTTTCCTCGTGGGCGCGTGATGTGCGTGACGTGCGTGATGTGCGTGGGAGCCTACCCGCCACCCGCGCGCACAAGATTTGACTAGCTTCCTCGCTCTCATCTTTTCCATACTGTTGGAGTCAGTGCTGTGCGCATGCGTGAACAGAGACGCTACGGCAACTGCGAATGGACAAATGCAATTGTGATATTGTGACGTCTGAAGATATGTGGAATATTTCAAAGTGTTTTTAACTGTATATGTATTTCTGTTATTGATTGTAATAGTCCTCGATCTTACCTTCTGTCTGTTCCACATAAAACATCAGAAATATATCTAAATGTTTATAAATGTTTATATCATTTAATTCCTAAAGTTAATTATGTATGTTCCTGTTCTTTCATAGAAATAACTCTCTGAAGATCTAATCTATGTGTGTATGTAAAAACAAAACCACGTGTTATGTGTTAAGCCTGCCTATGTTTATCCTGTTGGTTCACTTTTTAGTTTCACTTTCCCAGAGCAAAGGACGCTCCATAAAAAGGTAATACTCATGCTTTGTTGTGTTTGTGTTGTTGTGTGAACAGTTCACTGAATGAAGAGACTGATCCACCGTCGCTGCTGATAATGATAATAACATTACAGTCTGTGGGGGAGATTTAAGAACCAGGAAATAGACTGAAATACACTTATGTTCAGCTGCCACAGAATCATCAGACTACTGAGAGTGGATACTGAGTTTATAGTTAAAACAAGCTGCAAGATCTAAGTGACTGATCCACCCTCGCTGTCAGACAGTACAATGAGAACCGCCACCGCCGAGCCTGTACATGTTCTGTTCTGATTATCCACTAGTGACTTTCACTTCACCTGCTGCTGTTATTACTATCGTTTATTCTGCTCATATTCTCTGCTGCTAAAGAACATCTGTAAAAACCTTCTGCGTATACTCCACACGTGACCGATCCTTCAACCAAGTCACAAGATAGAAAAGAGTTTGTTATCTTATTATATTCTATTATCTTGAATAATAGATCCTGTTTCATGTGTGAATAACCTGAGTCTCTTATTTCTCTTTTCATTCTGCTGTAATGTGCGACGATGACATTGACATTTCCACTGACGGACAAGTATCTGATCTTTTCTTAAGTTAATGTCTTCTTTATGTGTAAGGTTTAGAGCAGGGGTGTTCAAACATTCTAGTGAGAGCACTTAATTGTAGGTTAGGGCTAGGGTTAAAACTGTTTTGACTGGTTTTGACCTAGTTTTGCTTCAAATTGGGGTATGATAGTGTTCGTCTGTATTGACTCACGCCACAGCTACAGTACATTAGCACAATATGGCTCAATCAAAAACAAATGTCAGTTTATACAAATACAGTAAACGACTGAATTCCAGAGGTTCTGAGCTTTACAGCGATGGCATGACTATAATGGTGGAGCTGAAGTTGGCTGGATGACACTGTGAAAGCACCTCAATGGTCCAGTCTTTGGCTCAGTCTCCTTATAAGGTGATGATAACAAGGTGATGGTCTACGTAGATTCCAGATCCACCAGACTGACCACGCCCCATCAGACTGACCACGCCCCTTCAGGCTGACCACGCCCTCCTGTGGTCTTTGAAAAAGTGAGTCCTGAGTGTGAGCCAATGTGGCGGCCCCCTCGTCTCTGTTGATGGTCTGTGCTCCCGCTTCCTGATCTTAACGGCCTCTCGTCGCTCCTGCGTTAGTATCTATGTTCTTCTGTTCCTATATTTGTGTCTCGTCCCAGTCCATTTTATGATTCTCTCTTCTGCAGTGGTCAGATGTTGCTGATTTGAGGTTTTCCTGAGTTGCTTTGTCCTCAGTTGATGTCGTTAGTCGTGCCGCTGTTTATTTTTCCTTTTTCTGATGTTTCATTCTTACATTTCAGAGGTAGCATCGTCACATGCCACGAAACAATACAAGGACTAGAGGACTAGCAGTAGCCTGGTCGTACCACACCATCGTACAAATACTTAATAGATACAAATACAAATTTTGTACTGAGGTCTGGATTTACTGCATCAAGCTCCGTTTACAGGTGGGAGGAGTTAACTCCTTTTGCAGATTGAAACGATTGGATCTGAGTTTATTGTGACGTATGTAATGCGCCCGAGTGAGTCGCTAGCATTTAGCCTCGCCATCTCTTTTGTCGCTAACGGAGCCCGTGGGAAGTAGCGCCACAATCTTTGGAAGCAATTACATTTGCGAAACATTCCTCTTGCTCCAGCTTCAATTTCTTGATAGAACCTGAACGTATTACTTTACTATCGCATTCTCTGCCATTGCCAAACTACAACCTGCCAATTTGGCGCAAACTCTACGTCGATTGGTCGTATGGGACACTGGGAGTTTACGGATGGCTAAGGCCAGGCTTGACTAGTGGAGGACTGCAAGGACTAGGGAACTAAAGAAATATGTTTTGCCATTTCCGGAGTCTTCTCATTTCCAAACTGAGAATCTGACTTAAATAAATGTAAATGTGCATTTGTTGCAGGTCAAAATGTCTCGTCCTGATGACAAGGCCTCCAAGCTTCTAGAGTCAATACCAGGGTAAGTCCAACTCAAAGAGCCTGTGTCTGTCCCAGGGCAGATGTTGCACTTGTGGTCAGATAAATAAGAGTTGAGATAGTTTATCCATCACCCCACCCCCAAACCTGAGCTCACTTTTATAATTAGGACCCCTCAAGCCCCCAAGTACACGAGTCACCTGAGTATCTCTTGCACATTATTTTCTAGCACACGTGAAAATAAAAACATGTGGTGGGTGTTTGAAGGTCCCCTGTGTCGCTCTTTGTCATGTTTCACAGATAAAGTTTAGGATTCATACAACACTCTAACCTTTTTCATGGTTTCCAGATCAGCTTTTGAGTAAGTCCAGTTTCATGGTAACTGTTAAAGTTCTGGAACAGTTTTTGATGAAGTTTGGTGATCAGATAAACAGATTCGTCGTGGATTTCAGAGACAGATCCCTGTGTCGTCACATATTTACACCAAAAACCCATTTTCTCCAAGTCACTCTCTAAAGATCACTCTCTCAATAAAACTTGAGGGAAGCAATGAAAAAAACGACTTTGGGAAAACTGTTGCAATGATGTTTGAAGCAGAGAAGAGTCTAAAAGTGTATTATGGGATCTTTAAATTATCTTAGCGTGTTGTTACATCTCTATTATTACACATGCTGATTGTAAAACACAGAGAAACCAGAAGATAGTCCGGCACAAACACACATTCAGTCTTATTCCCCACATTGTGCACTCAATGTTCACAAGTTCACAAAAATAAGTAGGATTTTTGGTACGTTCTGTTTCTACTATTTGTGCCGGGTCCCAGTCCATTTTATGAGTCTCTCTTCTGCAGTGGTCAGAAGTTTCTGATTTGAGGTTTTTCTGAGTTGCTTTGTCCTGAATTGATGTCGTTGCTGTTTCATTTTCTCACATCGTCACATGCCGCCAAAACAACACAAGGACACCAAATGTATCAGAACAACAAAAATACTGTGTTAAATAATTGAGATTTTTCCAGTTTGTCGACTCAGACTGGATGAACTTCTACAGCTCTATTTTAAACGTTTCATAATGAAATTTCACATTTTAATGACATTTTAAATTAATTAGTTTAATTTTACTGTTCAGGTTTCCTCCACCGATACCTGAGATCCAGGAGGTGAAGGTCGTAATGAGGCTGAGAGCTTCTCCACCAGGACGGTCTGGACAACAAGTCTGTTCTCCTCCACAGTGAGTGAGACGGAACTTAAATATCAGGATCAGGCTTCAAGTCATAAACGATCATAAAGTGACAGTAGCATAAGGTGACGGGGACAGTGGTGAAGTACTGTAGCTTTAAATGGACATACAATACATTCACAGCACAAAACACAGCTGCTGATCATTAATACACTAAAATAGTTTGATAGGACATGAGCAAGAATTTCAGGAGAAACAACAGTATGTGTATAATAATAATAATAACATGGATCTGAATAGTATTTTTGTTGAAGTTAAGTTAAGATTTGCAGAAACATTAAACATTGATTGTGTTTGGTTTTGTAGAGACAGTGAACAGAGATCTGCTCCGCACCCAGTTTTCAGGAAAGACTCTAAGGACATAGTGGTGGATTTTACAACACAGTGAGTTTTATGAACATAAAGGCCCTCATTTATAAAACATGCACAGGGTCTGTATTTTGGGTGTAGATTCCAAATACGCAAGGTGTGAGATGTGCCCAGATGCAAGCGTAAGCACCTGCAGCTGTTGATAAATGCGGCGGCTGAAAACAAACATATTTATGAAAGTCACGGCTCGAAATATGCAGCAACCGCCTGTTTCATGTCCTGGAAAAAAGACTTTCATGGAGTAGGAGATTGAGACCATTATGAACAAAGTGGAAGTCTCACTATTTGGAACCCTCGAAAGTGGCATCAAGGGGGCTAAAAAAACAAAATATGGAAAGAGATGTCAACATCTGTGAACAGCGTGGGGGCTGTAACACTCCTGAAGTGTTACAGTTTAGTTTATTCATGTTTGTTTAAAATGAAATATACGCTACATTATATCAAACAGTTGACAGCATTATTGGGCCAATAGTTAGCATTTATCAATTCATGCTACAGGTGAAAAAGAAAATGGAGCGACATTGTAAGCAACAAAAAGGCGTTTAGCAGCCCATAGAAGAAGTGCTCAGCAGCCCAGGGGACGACCGCCAAAACCAAAGCATCCAACAGAATATAAAATCATTTTCAAAGTATTTGTGTGATTTATTAATTTTAAATGGTTTAATGAGTGCTTGTCGGAGCTGTACAGGCCGAAGGCGGTGCTGGCCATGGTCTCTCATCCATGGTCTCTCATCCATGGTCTCTCATCCAAGGGCTGCTCCACCAGAGCATCCAATGGCACACTGTGGACCTGAGCACACTGTGGACCTGAGCCTGAGGAGAACCGAGCCAGGATCATAGGGCACACTTGTACCGGGAGGTACAAGAGCGTACCCCCTGCATGTCCCAGAGCCATCTCCCTCTGATCAGTGCCTATAATTTTTCCAGAGTGTGAATATGTTTATTATTGTCCAAATCTTGAATTTCATGCATGTTTTGGCGTGTTGTGATGAAGGTTAAGATGAGCGTATACATTTACACCACCTCCAGACACCACTGTATATTTGTGCGTATCATACGCTCACTTCCAGATTGATAAAAGCCCAAAAGTGTAAAATATTTTCCGTACGCCTCATTTACACCCTGATTTGGCCGTACGCAAGTTTTATAACTGAGGGCTAATAATTCTAACTCCTCAACAGTAATCTAAGGATTTAACTTTTTTTTTTTATTTAAGTTTTTTTTTTTTACTTATTAATATATTTAAAATGTGAACATGTAATATGAACTGAGGACCAAAAGACATTTAGAGCCACGATGCACAACAGAAAAAATAGTAAAGATACTATAGATAAAAGATACTAGAATGTATAGTGAAACAAGTACAGTATCAAGGGTAAATGATTTTGGTCTGTAATTCCCTCTGCTGCCACCAGAGGGAGGTGTAGAATTGGATTTGACTCTTTCCAAAACGTATATTTTACATGTGATCGTAAAGAGTCATTTCACTGTGTGAATAATGTCTCCTGTTTCAGATCTGATCGTCCAAAACTTGAGGCAAAGAAATCCATGGATTATCCAATGGGGTTTAAGACGAAGGAGTCTGTGTAAGTCTTCATGAAGAACAACCGGACACATGCGGGTCTTCACTGTGATGTTGTTTCTGTCTGTGCTGCTTTGATCCTGGGGCAGATTCTGGGTCTTACACTTTATGAAAAGTTCTGTCTCTCGTGTGACTTTTAATCTTGGTCTTTATACCATAATTATTCTGGTGAAACGCAATTGTTCTCTAAACCTGTTGATGATCTATGTCTGAATCAGCAGAAGCAAATGGAAAGTTTATTTGTATAGCACCTTTAATCATTTAAGTAAAATAAATAAATAAAAACGATTCAACTCATTAATGTTATAAATAATCACTGTTCAAGAAACTTCCTACAACTAAATTCAGCGGAAACTGAAATGATCATAATTGGACCTAAAGAGAAAAGGAAAACTTAGTAACCCACCTTTTCTCCAGTTGTGATCGCAAGGACTTTGTAAAGAACTTTGGCGTTGTCATCAAACTGGATCTTAACCAACAGCTCATGTGACTAAATTTACCTTTTTCATCTTAAAACTAGTGCTGTCCAAAATATTGCGTTATTAACGCGTTAACGCAAATCAATATTAACGGCGTCATTTTTTTTATCGCGCGATTAATTATTATTATTATTTTTTTTTTTTTTTTACTTTTTATTGCAGACAAACACCTATACCGAAAAAAAAATAGAAACAAAGAAAAGGACTAGTTCAGATACATTGTAGACAGAGATTACAAACAATATGTAGTTGGAGATACAGGGGGCCAAAGAAGAAACCCAGAAGGGCACATAGGAGAAGTGTTGTACGTGAACGAGTTCAAAAGAACGCGTTCATTGAACACGCTCATTTTTTCGTGAACATTGAACTGAACGCAACACATTTTTAAAAAAAGAACTTGAACGTGAATTAGTTCATTTAATGTGTCATGAACGGCAGACATCACTATGAACGTTGGAATCTGTTTTCTCTTTTAAAACGCAACGAGAGAAAGTTCCTCCCTCCTGCATTCTAGCACTTTTTCCGCCGAAATCTAAAAATTCCTACGGTTTCCACCGTCTGTGAACGCACCCCGACTCCGTGTTGCGGTGCAGCGCTGTGAGCTGGTGCTTTTCACATGTGCCCGAGTCGTGATGAAAACACAGGGTGAGTTAGCGACAAAGTTTACACCGTTTACATTTGACATAAAGTATAGACACACGTACTACAGCGCATTACTGTTTGTAGTTTATGATCAGAGATGGAACAACTCCGTTTTGCTCCCATTGAAAACCATGTAAATCTTGTCTGTTTTGTACTCAAAAGGCTCTCCTGTGGGTGTACAGGAGATATATATATATATATATAGCTCGTAGTGTAAAAAAAATATGTATTTATCTCACGAAAAAAGTAAAATGAACTGAACTTTGAACTAGTTCAGAATTAAAAATGTGAACTTTGAACGTGTTCTGTTCACTTTGAGCATGTATGAACTGAACTAGAACTAGTTCAGAGAAGCTGTGAACTGGCACAACACTGCATAGGGGGGGGGGCAATACAAGCAAAGCAAGCAAACAGTATACAGTCATAGATATACCGAAAGTGAACAGAGAAACAGCATAGAGTATTTACATGAACAAATTTATACAAAATATTTACTGATTGTTTATCATCATCATAATGACACCATGATGTTTCTATACAGTCTATGGTCTATACCCACACATACACACACACACCCACACACACACACACCCACACAAATGTGTGACTAATTTGCGATTAATCGCGAGTTAACAATGAAATTCATGCGATTAATCGCGATTAAATATTTTAATCGTTGGACAGCACTACTTAAAACATTTAAAAAATCTGTGGATTCCTGTATTATTATTGTGTCTAAATTATCGCTGTATTTGGTCGTAGTGTTCACACTGAGCACGCCTTGGCAAGAAGACTTTAGGTCAAGAGCCCACTCATTTCAATTAAATCAATGTTTGTTATCTTGGAGGACTTTACAAAACTGTCGATTCGTTGATACAGATCAGAGAATCAAACAGTTCAAACTCAGGAGATATAATGATGAAAAACACATGTAGCCATTGGTCCGAAAGAAACAGAGACCGATGTTCATAAATGTGGTTGAATGTGGAGTGTCCTGGACGTGACTCAGGGTTTTTGGTCGGTGGGAATGAGCCTGTAGAAGTGTGAAAACAAAACACTTTGATTTGATTGAACTGTGTGGATATGTGTTTTTTCAGATTCGGTCCTTCAAATCCTGAGACAGACAGTTTCGTGGCTTCTCCTGCAACGTCTCGCAAAGAAGATCCTGTGTAAGTCTTCATCAGTGACAGGTCATCAGGACACAACACATGCAGTCCTCTAAAAGAACCAGGATATACAATGTTAACTGTGTGCTATGTGGTGAACATGTGGTCTGATGGATGCACAACAGACTCCATCCATTCCTTTAGGTGAGTCCAGTCTTAACCTAGAACACCTGAGGAAATGGATGGAGTCCAAATGTGGCACCTGGTGTTGAGGTCTCCCATCACAGTACTAACCAGGCCCTACTCTGCTTAGCTTCAGAGGTCAATATACTGTATATCCAACTCTCTCCAGCACTTGATTGGTGAATCTCAGTCTTAAAGGAATAGGCCACCGTGTTTACATACTGACATATGTTCTTACCTTACCTTAGACTAGTTGATATGTACCTGTGTGATCTTTGTCCGTGCGCTCTGTCATGCAAACGGAGCAAAAACGCAGCCTCTTCCACAGACTGTATAGTACCAAATCAGCTCCCATTAGAAGCTACCAAACTCTTCCACATGTTCCCTATTTAAATACAGTTACGTGACGTGTTACTCTACAAAGTATAGTAACACAGAAATGTAACATGTCGATTTTCTCAGGGGATAAAACTGGGTACTATATACTATATCACGCTGCTTCTATTGACGGAAGTGAGCGGGAGAGAAGTCTTGGGAGTTAGTGCGCGGACGAAGCGCTCCTCGTATTATTACGCCTCACAATATAGTACCCCCTTTTTCAAAGAGGTGATGGGGTATAAAGGTTATTTTGTGTTTTTATTATTTATTAAAACTTTATTACAGACACGAAGTCCAGATAAGAAAGACATTACACAGAAACAAAAACAACAATAATCATAAAGATAAGCATACATGATTACAGCAGACTACTGTGACGCCACAGTTCAGACTGATAGCGTGTGGCACTGATTCTGATGTTGGTCAGGCTCATTATGATCACATTCTGACTTTGATTCAGTCGACAAATAAATCTGTACATCAGGTTTCTTAGTACAGCACGAAAAGTTCGAATCCCAGAAGAAACAAATAATAGGCTGGCACTCTCCCACCGAGACCTTTTCAACAGGATTCTTAGGCAGTCATAGTTCCGCACTATGTAGTGAGTGAGTGAATAGGATATAGTGCGGACATTCGGATTAAGACAAAGTCGTGTTCTGGCCCTGGCTACATCTATGGGGCTGATTGATTGCTACTGTCTTGATTTACCCGGAAATAAAACATGACATTTCAAGCAGCGAAAAAAAAAGCTACGAATTTTTTTCAACATTGAATTTTTCGACACTGAATTTTAAAACATTGAATATTTTGACACTGAATTTTAAAACATTGAATTTATTTACACTGAACACTTTTTTGTTACAGTTTATAGAATTCAAAAGCAAAAAAAAGTATTGATAATAAAAACACAAAATAACCTTCATAATGGGGGAGTTCATCACGGAGGGTGGGGGCGGGGGGACTGGGCTCTTCTTGAAGTCCGCAATCATCTCCACTGTCTTCTGGGCGTTCAGCTCCAGGTTGTTACCACTGCACCAGGACACCAGCCGGCCCACCTCCCTCCTGTAGGCGGACTCATCGTTGTTGGAGATGAGTCCAATGAGGGTCGTGTCGTCCGCGAACTTGATCAGCTTCACGGAGTCGTGGCTGGAGGTGCAGTGGTTGGTGTACAGGGAGAAGAGCAGGGGAGAAAGAACACAGCCCTGTGGGGCTCCTGTATTTATAATCCGAGAGTCCGAGACATTCTTCCCCAGACGCACTCGCTGCTTCCTGTCTGTCAGGAAGTCAGTGATCCACCTGCAGGTGGAATCGGGCACGTTGAGCTGGGAGAGCTTGGGAGTTCTTCAGTACTGTACCGGACCTGTCCATGTTCAACGGTCACTTGTCCACGTTCTGTAGCTTAGGTCCTGGATCTATAGCCCTTCCGTTTGTGGGAGCGGATCCCTTTCTCAAACTATGGGTGTCCCAGAGGTTTCTCACTTTTTTCCCACTGGGTCTTTCGTTTGAGTTTTTCCTTGCCGATGCAGGAGGGTCTGTTGGACAGTTAGTGTCCTACTAGAAGGACTGTGGTGATGATCCAGGACACTTTAACGTTCTGCAACATGTATGGAACATTTTTCAACATGTGCTCTATGTTCTTAATGCGTTTTAACTGTTGATTTTCTGATCTGTGTTGGTGATTTCAATGGTTTTGTTAAGTCCTCTGAGATGACTTCTGTTATCTTCTATACAAGAATACATTTTATTGTATTGTATTGTCCTGGAGCAGGGATGGCAGGATGGTGTTGAAGGCAGAGCTTAAGTTCACAAACAGGAGTCCAGATGCTGTAGGATGGAGTGGAGGGCCAAGTGTATGGCGTTGTCTACAGATCTGTTGGCTCTGTAGGCGATCTGCAGGGGATCCAGGAGGAGGGAGGGGAAGGACTTAGGGTGGGGCAGGACCAGGTGCTCAAAGGACTTCATGAAGAGAGATGAAGTCATGACTCTGTTGTTCTTGGAAGATTCCACATGAAAAAAAACTATCACAAAGTTCCACATAATCTGTGTCAGCTCATATCAACTATAGTCTCATATAGTGCTCCTGGTGCAGACGGCTCCTTGGATGACGCTTTTTCAGCTGGTTGCATCTGAACCCTGCCAAGTCTCTCATCATTGTTTTACTGTTTTACTTGTGTGTGTGTGTGTGTGTGTGTGTGTGTGTCAGAGAGTGTGCATTAGGGTTGGGCGATATTTTTGTTGTACCGGTATACCGGTATAAGTAAATTAAATGATAAGAAAATGCCTTATACCGGTGAAAACGATCATTTAACACTGAAAACAGCGAGCGGAAGACACGTTTGTGTGCGGCGCACTTTGATGATGCATCTGCGCGACACGTGTAGCAGAGCGGCGTGCAGGGACAACAACAACAGAGCAGAGAGCAAACATGGCTGAGGGCGGCGGTGAAGACCATGGTGAAGACATGCAGATTGTAGAAGACATTGTGCCAAAACGCGGAGCTACCTCAAACATATGGGAGTAGTTTGGGAACTAGATAAAAAGAAGCAATTGTGTGTAACTATCGACAGTGGATCTAATGTTGTGAAAGCAGCTGCCCTAAACAACTGGACTCGAGTGGCTTGCTTCGGACACTCTCTCTCTCTCTCATAGTGCCATTGGTAAGCTTTATTTACTGTTTACTGTCATTCATTTTACTTCAATGCATGTGTTTGTCTACATTGCAATATAATTACAAATAAGTTATAATTACATAATTATAGAAACGCAAAAGGATACAAAAAATATATACAGTATTTGATCATTTTGACTATATTGGGATTAGGAAACATAAGCCAAAGTGATCAAATAATTATTTGATAATGCTACACTTTTTATATTACAAAGGACAAACTTTTATATATTTTACAAATGACAAATGTTCACCTTTATTACATGTTGCCTGCAATTTTCAGTATGTACAAAACAGAATTCTCTACAATTCAGTTTTGTTAATACGTTTTATACAGTATACAATAGCTGTATTACACATTTTGCTGCCAATAAATCAGTAAATGCACTTTGAGGCAAGTGTGTTTGAAATTATCAGTGCTAAGTTTTTATAGCTTTTATATGAGGCTTTGTTAAAATTATCATATCGTCATATCGTGATACATACCAACAAAAATCGTGATACATGCTGAGGCCCATATCGCCCAACCCTAGTGTGCATGGGAGCGTGGGTGTGTTTGTCTGTGGTTTGGGTGGGTCTGTTGGGTGGTCGGGGGGAGGGGTCATGGGCCGGCGGGATTGTTTTTAACCAAACTGTAAAGCACTTTGTGTTGCATCTTTTGTATGAAAAGCGCTTTATAAATAAAATTTGATTGATTGATTGATTGATTATAAAATTGCCAAGAAGTGGTGAATATTCAGAAACATGTGTTAGATGTTGGTCAGTGGAAAGGACTTTCAGACATCAGAATTATTTGGCAGATTTATGAATCTAATCTCTATCAAATCTGGGAAAACATTTTTTTTCAACATTTCCTTCTAAAATGTCTTTTCTATAGAGCGGTGTTGGCTCCTGCTGAAATACTGAAATACAATTCTACAACATGAACGCGACCTATAGAGGCTATCAACTTATCTATCACCCAGGGCCCAGTCAGGCCAACACTCAACAATGTAAACCTCTGTGTGTGAATCACTGGTCATTCTGGCTCAGGGCAGCTGTGGCTACATGTACAGAGGGATTGCTGTGATACTTGTGTATGTTTCAGGGTCGATGCTCCTGCACAGTCCTGTGTGCTCCACTAGAATACATGCATCTAAAATAAACCAGGTCCAAGCTCTGCGTCTGTCACTGTCTCCAACACTGTCTCCAACACTGACTCTTCTGTAAATAAGTGTCTGTGCTCCTGTAAACATAAGAATAAAGTGCTTTTACTCTGCAAAGATGGTGTCGAGTCTCTAGTATCCAGCTCCACACACACTGTATGCACTGGACACACATAAACACAACAATTAATACTCTATTTTCATCCACAGATCTGTCTGAATCTGCGTCAGTGAGCACTTCTTAGCTCTATGATAATAATTACAGAACACATCTGACCTCATGTCTTTTTACAAGGCAAGAAGAAAAATACGCCACAAAGAATAGGATTTGTAACATTTGAAGCATCTAAAACATAAAGGTGCAAACTGTTATTGATAAGTTATTGTCGTCTAACTTCTGTACGGACAAAAACACAGGTCTTCAGCAAAATGTCATGTTTATTTAGCCACTTATTCGTCACTTTGGGAGGGCGACAGTAGCTCAGTTGGTAGAGCATTGGCCTTTGGGCCTGAAGGTCGTGGGTTCGAGCCCACCGTAAGACCTACTTCACGACTCCCACTGATGACTGCTGCCGTTGTGTCCTTGGGCAAGACACTTAACCCTACTTTTCCCAAAGCCCCCACTGAAAGATCTCAGCTCCTGTGGACTCACCACCTGCAGGAGGATCAGTGAGGGGCTGGTGCTATGTGTCCTGGGTGCAGCTCTGACTGCCACCCCCCCGACCCAGAAATGGATTAAGGGGAAGACAATGGATGGATGGATGGATCGTCACTTTGAATCATAAAATCTAACGGTCACTGCATGAACTGTGACTGTTCTGTGACCTACACTGAAGAACAATAACATAATACTTTGCATGATTTTGTTTCAACACAAATAAATCTCTAACTTAAATCTGGGAACCTGACTTTTAACTTGTCGACCTCTGTAGCAAATCCATGTCAGATAAGATAAACATTGATCTCACAGGAGAATTGTACGTGTCACATTTGGCACGGATAGAATCACTCAGTTTGTGCAAAAGAAAGAAGTGTGCAAAGTGTTAAAAGGAAAAAAAATCTAGTCTGTTCAGGATATAATGATGTACAATAAAAGTGGCAATTAAAGAAACAGTGGCAATAGCAGTGCAGGTTTTTTTCGTGTCCTAGTGCATTAGTGACTTATTGTACAGTCTGGCAGCAGTGGGAATTAAGGACCTGTCACTGGTTCCTGGCTCTAAAACAGTTTTCACATCATGTTGTTGTTCTCAGACACAAACCGCTGATCAGAGAGCGGTCAGAATATCTGCACTTTTATTGTATTTGTATTTTATATCTTGCGGCCCTGTGTTTCTATGGATCCCCAAGTTCCTCATGGATAAATAAAGTTATATGAATTGAATATTCGTTCAGACAGAAAAGTCCACCCTCACTCAGTCAATCAGCTCTGAGCCCAAAGAGGCAGATAGTGACTCACAGGGATCTTTCTCACACAAACATGTTTTCTAAATATACAGACAGCATGTTGTGGTCTCATTTGTTCACACCATTTTACTTTTACTTTCACTTTGGAACAAGCTCTTAGACTTCAATTCAATTCAATGTATTTCTGTATCGCTCTAAATCACAGTAGCATTCATCTCTGTGGACTTTACAAAGTTGCCGATTCCCCAACAACAAATTGGAGAATCGGTTCAAACTCAGGAAAGGCAATGAAAACAAACCCAAAGAGCCAGTGGTCCATAAGTGTTTATAAATATACATGTCCTTAAATGGACGTCATCACAGTCCCTAGGGTCCAGTCCTTTGAGTCTGTAAATGTTAGTCATATAGCCTCAAGTCAGGGCCGGACTCGTTTTAAGTTCTCTAAATAAAATGCAGTGTGTTATTTGAAACGCCAGAGGGCAGCACAGTCCCTGCACTGTCTTTCACTGAGGCCAACGCTTCTGAATACAGAAAAAAAAATAAAAAAAAATAATAATATCTATGATAAACGGTTTGAAACAGAGACCAAACCAGTTTCAGTACAGGACAGTTCAGGACACTTTCACATTCTACAACATGTATGGACATTTTCTTCTGTGTGTGCTTTATATTCTTCATGTGTTTTAACTGTTGATTCTCTGACCTGTGTTGGTGATTTCAATGGTTTTGTTAAGTCTCTGAGATGACTTCTGTTGTGACCTAGGGCTATACAAGAATAAATTGTATTGTATAGTATAACTCATCTCTCAGTAGACCGCATGTTTCCCCTCCCCCACTGCCTCGCCTCTCTCATTTTAGTTTCACTTTGGATAGAGAAGAAGTCAACTCGGTGAGATACCCGGTGTACTTTGCTCTTTTTTTAGATAATACAGCTCGCATTTGCTTTGGTCTGTGTATATGTGTGTATGTGTGTTATTGCCTAATACTTGTTGTGTTGTAGCTGTTTCTGCGTGTGTGTGTGTCTTGTATTGTGTAGATGATGCAGCTACATTTCCATTTGCCAACTTGAGAACAAAAAAATAAGGGACACCATTTGGGTGGATCGGTTTGAGCACTTAGTCCTAATTTCAATCTACACAGTAATCATGAATTTCATAATCACAGTTTTTAGAACGTAATTTATTGACTACATATAAAAAAAACAAATCCTTGGTCAAAAATGAAATTGAATATTGAGGACTTAATGCATTCTTATTACTAATAAAGACTATAAAAAAGACAAATGCTGTAACATACATTTACATTACAGTAAAAGCAAATAAAAAAAGAAAAACATATGTATTCATGAAAAAAACTCACAAATGTTGAAATCAAAGTCTGTAGCAGTTAGACATGGTCATTATTTATATTGTCTGAGAGTTTAGTGCGTGTACATGGCTTCAGTAAAAGCTATTGTTCGTTAGAGTAAACCGGTTTAACCCTTATATGTGAATACTTGGTTATACTTTGTTTCTTCATTAAGTTAAAGGCAGATGTTTTGTTTGTTGTGTGTTCCTCATTCCTACTGCTCTGTAACTTGTGATGCAACACAGACATTTCTCCTCTGGGGGAAGCAAATGCCTGTTTCATTTCAACATTATCTTTTCAAACAAGAATGTTAATGATAATACTGTTTATTTTTGTATCAGGTTCCTCCTTTTTCCTGTAAACACTGCGGTGATGTCACATTACCACAGACTATGACTCATTTATTCTTCTTCACCAGTTATTTTTCTATGTTGACCTGCTGCTATGTCTGCACTTAGTAGTGATTTTGATGCATCCTTTCTTTCTTTCATCAAACTGTTTTATTTTTGAAACCCAATGAAATGTATTTATTTATGTGTTTGGAGGACAAGCCCCTATGGGTGAAACAATGCACAAAAAAACTAAAAAGACAAAGCACACACACACGTACACACACAGACACACACGTACACACACACAGAGACAAACAGTCAGAGCGAAACACTTCCTGACAGTTAACCCTCCCAACTTCACCTGCAGACGACAGACTCTAGATAATAGGATTATGTTTAGCTGTTGATAAAGAACAGAGAGATATCTGTGACTAAAACAATAAAAAAGCAGATAAAATTTTATTCAGATTAAATTTTATACTTGCTTCTTTATTATGCTGCAGTTAGAGATTTTATTTTGTTTTAGCATAGTTTTTGTTCACTTCATCTTCTGCTGTGTGCTTCTCATTCCAACTGTTCTGTGACTGGTGATGCAACACTGACATTTCCCCAAAGTGGGACAATCTCTTAATACTAAATCCTACGTACACACATACTGTACATGTACATACACTGATAAAATGAATCGTCAATATCCAACACAAGTATGCCTCTGTTTAAGGTCTGCAGTTCCAGAACCTCTGCTGGGACTTTCTGTGGTAATAAGACTGAAGGAATGAAGTCAAACAAGATTAGAAACAAAACAAAACACCGAGGGCTTACACAAACCCAAAACAAAATCCAAAACAAAACACTGAGGGCTTACACAAACCCAAAACAAAACACTGCTTACTTCTCTAAAAACTTGCTGTGATTTAGAACCATGTCTCATCCTGAAGAAGAGGAGGCTCCTTTCATGGGTCCTGGTTCTGGTCTTCTTCCTGGTCCCAGTCCCAGTCCTGGTCCCGGTCCTGGTCTTGTTCCTGGTCCTAGTCCTGGTCCTGGTCCCAGTTCTGGTCCTGGTCCTTATGTAGACCGGTCCAGATCCTGCTCCCAGTGCTCAGACAGCTCAAGGTGAGATTTTAATGTTCTCTTTGTTAGAATCATAGACTGAACACCAGGGTCAGGAACCTGTGGCTCGGGAGCCAGATGTGGCTCTTTTTATGCTTGTGGCTCTCAAACAGTCAGGGATTTCTTCTGTAAAAAGATTGTATTGAACAAAATATGACATTCTAAGACTAATATTACACTTTAAATGTGTTGATCTTGTTTGCACAGTAATACAACAAACTGTATATAGATAGACAATGCTAACATAATAACTCTGTATACATAGTTACGGGAGGGCCGTTAGACAAAAGTGATTCTAAAGAAAGTACTGATGGAGCTAGCCTTGTCTTTGCGGGCAGGTCGTTTAGCTAAAATTTAAAACAATATATTATTATTATTTTTTTTTAGAAATAATCCAGAGAAAACCGATTCTTCCACCCAAACCCCTGCCCCTCAGAAAAAAAGAAGAAGGAGATCTGTTACGAGGTTTGTGCAGATCTCTGAGACTCTGGGAAAAGAGAGAATGGATCCAATACTCTGATGTTTTTCAGCGCTGATCCAGAGAAGTCCTATGATCTGCAAAGTGTTTTCTCCAGCAAGTCCAAAGATTCTCTGGCATTTAAAACCACCACAGCTTCACCGTAAGATTCTAATAAGGAAAGTTTTTAACAGAACAGAAAGTGATAGTTTTGTGTTTTCTTGTCGTTCAGGGTCAATGCAGAGAGCTGTGTTTCAGTGAGTGACAGCATCGACTCAAAGGAGATAGTCTTGGATTTAAAAAAAGACATTTCACAGTAAGTAAAAAAGCACTAAACGTGCTAAACGTAAAGAGACACACAGGAGAAACACAATACTGCAGAAAGGTAAAGTAGAACTACAGACAATACAAGGGTTGACAAATTACAAAACAAAACTGGAAACAAACCCAAACCATGACAGTGCCCCAAACCATGACGCCCTTTATTTGACAATTTGACGCAAAGACAGCACAAAGGATTAAGTCCGACAGCCAACAGCGATTGCCAGAGCAGACTCCAAGACTTGAGATCTAAGGAACGTCCGTGACCTTCAAGGCCGAGCCATGAGACACAATTCTATGGGACACAAATCTGGGGAAGGTTAGAAAAACATTGAAACAGCTTCTGTCATTCAAATGGAATAAAAACCAAGGTGACCAAGGCCCTGATGTTCACTCTGGCTTCAGCATCACTCTGAGGGGCAAACTTTCCAGAAGGTCCATCAATGCGGTAAATGATCTTCAGTCTGATTGTATTGTATAGAACTATTTGGCCTGAACGCAGGAGGAATGTTTGGAGAACGCACTGCTCAGGACGGTGGGGGCAGCATCATGCTGTAGGGAGGTCTGTCAGCAGCAGGGACTACTACTCTTATTAGTGAAAAGGAGACAAAGATGAATGTACAGTGACGTCCCAGATGAAAAGGACCTCAGACTGGGGACTAACTGCTATGCCACCGTGATGCCCACTTTACAGTGTGATTGATCACTGCTGCAGGTGCCTCAATAAAGTATTCAATAAAAGATTTGGATACTTATGCACATGTCATATTTATTTTTTTAACCACATTTTTGAATTATTAAAGCAGTGGACTTTAGGCTGGATTGCCGTGGTTTCAATTGCCCTATGAGATCTACTCCACCTGTTCCCATGATGTTTGCTGTTGTTGTGTTCCTTAAAACCACTTTGCCAGAAGCCGCCATTGAAAGATCAAGACTGGGACAGAGCAGAGCAGCCATCCACCTGTGGACTCATCGCCTACAGGAGGAGAGGACCACCACCTGCAGGAGGAGAGGACCACCACCTGCAGGAGGAGAGGACCACCACCTGCAGGAGGACCAGAGAGGACCACCACCTGCAGGAGGACCAGAGGACCACCACCTGCAGGAGGACCAGAGAGGACCACCACCTGCAGGAGGACCAGAGAGGACCACCACCTGCAGGAGGACCAGAGAGGACCACCACCTGCAGGAGGACCAGAGAGGACCACCTCCTGCAGGAGGACCAGAGAGGACCACCACCTGCAGGAGGACCAGAGAGGACCACCACCTGCAGGAGGACCAGAGAGGACCACCACCTGCAGGAGGATCAGAGAGGACCACCTCCTGCAGGAGGACCAGAGAGGACCACCTCCTGCAGGAGGACCAGAGAGGACCACCACCTGCAGGAGGATCAGAGAGGACCACCACCTGCAGGAGGACCAGAGAGGAAAATGTGATCAATATTCGAATACTTTACAGACTTTACAAACATTCCAAAATGTAGAAAAGGTGAAGGGGTGGAATACTTTCTCAACACACTTACATTAATACATTCACAATGGAATATTCATAACATTAAGAAAAAAAGTAAAATTGTACAATGTTTGGATTTCAGAGCCATCTCTGTGAGCGGTGTTTCAGTGAGTGACAGCATCGACTCTAAGGACATTTTTGTGAATTTTAAGAAGAACTCTGCACAGTAAGTTCATGAAGCTTTAGGGCCCGATCGGGGAGCTGTCTTAGCTGAAACATTACCCCAGACAGGTTTTTTTGACGAAGCATAAGTCGCTCTTCGAATGCTACATCGTTTACGGCAATGGACTGTGTTAGATGGAAGAAAACAATGTATGTAATGTAAACTTAAGCTAATCCCTTTATTGACAAAGTGGAAAAAAGAAAAGACAAAACTGAAATATTTGATAGGACTTTCAATGCTGAGCTCAGATGCTCCTGTTTGAACTGATTGTTGTTGAGATATTTCAACAATCTTACTGGTTTGACAGCTGTGGTAATTTCTACTGATAAAACTTGAACATCCATCCTCCATTTTCTTCCCCTTAATCCATTTCTGGGTCGGGGGGGGTGGCAGTCAGAGCTGCACCCAGTACACTTAGCACCAGCCCCTCACTGATCCTCCTGCAGGTGGTGAGTCCACAGGAGCTGAGATCTTTCAATGGGGGCTTCAGGCAAAGTGGGGTTAAGTGTCTTGCCCAAGGACACAACGACATCAGTCATCAGTGGGAGTTGTGAAGTAGGTTTTATGGTGGGCTCAAACCCACAACCTTCAGGCTCAAAGGCCAATGCTCTACCAACTGAGCCACTGTCGCCCCTGCGACAGTATGTTCATGTAAACTTGAACATACTGTACCTATATAAGGTCTCACAGCCAACGGTGAATGACAGAGCAGAATCCAAGCCATGAGATCTAAGGATTGTCTGTGACCTTCAAGGCCAATCCATGAAACACAATTCTATGGGGCACAAATCTGGGAAAGGTTACAAAAACATTGGAACAGCATTTAGCCTGAAGAGACCAGTGGCTTCTATCATTTAAATGGAATTTCAAAACCCCCGGGACAGAGCTGGCCGCCCATAAAGGCTTAGCAATTGGGGAAGAAGGGTCTTGAGACTTTACAAAATGCACTTGCATTGATACAATCACAATAGAATATTCAAAACATTAATGTGAAAAAAAAAGTTAAATTGTACAATGTTTGGTTTTCAGAGCCAGCGCTGAGAGCGCTGTTTCAGTGAGTGACAGCATCGACTCTAAGGACCTTGATGTGAATTTTAAGAAGGACTCAAAAAAGTAAGTTCATGAAGCTTTTACAGTTTTAGAGCCCGATCTTGGAGCGGTTTTTGCTGAAGCATCATCGCAGACAGGTTAGCTTTCCCTAGAGATACTGTAATTGTCTATTGCTATTACTATCCTAAGAGAACGTGGACAGGTCCTAAGGACATTGTTGTGGATTTTAAGAAGGACTCTGCACAGTAAGTTCATGAAGCTTTAGGACCTGATCTCGGAGCGGTCTTAGCTGAAACATTACCCCAGACAGGTTTTCTACTTTCTCTAGAAATACTGTAATTGCCGGACCATAAGCCGCTCTTTAAATGCTATTACTATCCTAAGCTTTTCTCATAACGAGTCAACAGCACATGATGAAAACCTGTCTATCGCTCTTCATTTGTGATGCTTCCTGTTAGAACTTGTCCAGAGCTAAAGAAGCTAATAAAGAATGCCACCAGTTTCACAGGATTTATTAGTATGGTAAATGGTACAACTTGTCGGACCTGTTCCCACTTCTTTCTCAGAACGTTTATGTGAATGGGCCTTATAATATCTCATGAGAGAAGCCTTCTTATGTACAAAATATATTTCATTTTTACAAATGTAGCTGGTGCGGTTTAGAGTTGTGGCCCGACACTTACAAAAGTCATTCACCATATGAATGGTTTACATTAACACCTCACTGTTTATGTAACAGTGAACCCCATGATCATCTGAAAGAATCCTGTTTGGGTGAAGTGGACGTTCCATCTGCGTTTCAGGTAAAATGGTCTCATGCTTTTGATTTGTGCTTTCTGATAAAGGTCTAATATAACACTTTCTTCCAATGTCTTCAAAAGGAGATTCATGATTATGTGAACAGTGAGCTGAAAACCTTTGAGAGGTTGGTGAGCGAAGATTGCTTTTACGACAACAACTTGAATGAATTGCATTTTGAAGAGGAGAATAAGCCCAGAAGATTTGTTCTGGACCTGGCTTTACACATGCTGAAGAAAATGAACCTGGAGCCACTGGCAGAAACTCTCGAGAACAGTAAGAACTACTGCAGTGTTTTGTTAAAGTCTCTGTACCTAAACTCTGTGCTGTGCAAAAACTATAAATCCAGCCTGATGCGACTTACAGATGTATTTACAGCACATCAACGTGATCAACAGCGTCCTGTGCCACCGGCAAAATGACACTGCCGCTTATGTAGACCCCATTCAAAGACTAGAATTACCCCCAATGCAAAGATGAAGCAAACCAGGGGCAAAGCTAGCCCCTAACCTCATATAGACTAATCTTTATTATAAATATGAATAGGCTAAATTGTCTTTGAATATTTTATTCCTATTGTGCAACTCACCTAATATATTTAATCAATGGTGAATTAAAATAGCAATACTAAAATCATCAAGAATGATTTATCATAATCACAGACCCCTGGTGGCCAGAGAGTAATTCTGCCTGAACACAGTCATTAGAAATCTGGAATAATCAGAGCCAATATGGCAAGGACCATTAGATACTCAACTTGTGGTTTGTGAAGAAAAGTCTGTGAAGAATATGCGCATAATAAAGGTACAAACTCGGACAGTGCGTCCGGTTGGTCCACCTCTACATAATTTACAGAGCTTGCCTATATACTTTCTTCAAGAATCAGGGAGGGGTTAAATGTTATCTTTAACTAAATCCCTTTTTGGGAGAACACAGGTCAACTTGCTTTGACTTCAGTCAAATATCTGACTGATATATGTGTTTGTCTTGCTCTGCTTGTCTCTGTGTTTCCGTGTCAGCAGTGCGACCCAAAAGTTTTGTGAATACCGCTGTGTCTGTATACAGCTCTTTGACCCTGACTAAAGCCTAGTGTATACTCGCGCGGCGCTTACGGTGGTGACGTGACGTCACTTGCGCAACGCTTTCGAACTATCGGCAAGAGGGTTAGGGTTAGATAAATGACAGTGTGCATAAGAACTGTATTTGGTTATTATAATGACAAATCCATTAAATGGCATAAACATTATTAACTTTCTGTAGAAGACTGTATTTTTCCTCTAATAAAAGCAAAAAGAGGGTCCGCTTGTTCAGTAACAGAAAACAGCATTATTCCCCTTTTAAAACTAGCACAACACGGCTATTTTGTAACATTTTATTTCTTAAACCAAAAAGGGCAGTAAGAAACATCAGGCTCTATCTGCTTCTGTTTTGAGCTTCATCATATGAATCGAATGTTTCTTCTATTCTGTTCAAACAAAGTGTGTGGTGTGTCATTTAAATGTGGCCCTACTCATCTCCTAGCCAGTTGCTGAGGCAAACCAACTTAAAAACATTTTCTGAGAGTAAAGCTGCCCTTTTCTTGTTCACAATGTGACCTGCAACTGAGAAGAGTCGTTCACGCGGAACTGAGGATGCAGGAGCAGCGAGATATTTAAGAGCCAGTTGGGCCAGCTCCTCATGGGCCCCTACATGAGATGACCACCATTGCAAGGGACGGTCCTTCATATCAATGGTGGGCTCTGGTCTGTACCTGTGTATGGCTCTGTCAGGCCTCCTCCTCAGATTCAGAATCTGAGCCCAGCAGTAGAAGGGTAATTTTCTTCTTGGGAGACTTCCATTTTTTTGAGCAAGTGACAGAGGGCAGGAAAAACCATGGAGCAAGAGACGTAGGCCTCTCCACCCAGGATCTCTGTTACATACCTGCAGACACACACAGACAGACACGCACATACACACATACAGAGAGAGAAAATTAAATTTGAGAACCACTGCTTTATATAATGCATGCTTACCGGCAGGGCTCTAAAAGGACGACAAGTCTCTGGATTTTGTCCCATTCAGCTGGGGTCAGCATGACAAGCTTGTGCTGCTGGTGGTCCAGTGTGGCATTTATCGGTGCTTGATTGCGTTTCATTCACTGAATCATTTCCAACGGAGAATTCCACCGCGTTGAGACATCCTGGGTTAGTGGCTCTTCTTTCTGTTCTCTCGCCTTTGGCTCTGCATACAGATTCGTTAAGTTTGCGGGGCTATGTTTGAAATGACCCACAATTTTGCGACACTTGGTCAACACACTGTCAAACCCACTATTAGCGAGGCTCACAGTGATGCTTCTCTTTATGATGTGGGCTGTACAGGGCATGTGCTCGTATGGTAGAATGCGAGCAGCGGCTGTCATATTACGTGCACTGTCCGTCCCGATGCATGTAACTTTTCCTTCAATAGCCCACTTCCGCGCTACAGTTTGGAACTGTTCAGCACATGCAGATGCAAAATGACGTTCTTTTGTTTTCATTACAGTTAGTGCAAATAACTTTAGTGACCATGCTTTAGGGATGTGATGTGCAGTCACTCCCAGGTAATTAGTGTTACTAACGGAGGTCCAGTGATCACCTGTCAGAGCGACATACTCCGCCTCAGCTAAAGCCTCCTCTTTCTTCTTTTTCTCTGTCTCATAAAGGCTGTGGATCCTAATCATTATTGTGCCTCTTGCTGGTGGCTTGTAGGATGGGTCGAGGGATTCTACTCTCAATGTTTTAGAGAGACCCTTATCTTCAACAATGCTAATCGGTCTACAGTCTATTGAAACCCACTCGCAATGCGTGCAAACAACTACCTGCTTATTTATTGTTCCGTCTGTATTCTTTTTAAACTTGAATTCCCCACCCAGAGGTCCTACCTGCTCTGTCGCCATCACGTGTGTTCGCGGCACTTCTGAGTGTTGTTATGTGATGCATGGGCGGGTCATTCGGTACATGCGTCAATTGCGTTAATTTTCTTAACGCGATTAATGAAAAAAATTAATTAACGTGCGTTAACGCGCTAATTTTGACAGTCCTAAAAAACATACAAACAAATACTAAATGAACTTTAGGAATGCATTTACATTAATTCCACCAAGTCATCTAATCTCTGTGAGACAATCTCAATGTAGACAGGCCTCCTCTCTACAATGTTTAAAACCAGGTTAAAAACAGTTCTGTTTAGCTGTGCATACAACTGAGGGATTTTATATTTTATATTTTAATCTTTCTTTTTATTATACTGTGATTATTTATGATTTTAACGCTATCTTATTTTGTTCAGCACTTTGAGTTGCCTTGTGTATGAATTGTGCTATACAAATAAACTTGCCTTGCCTTGCCTTGACAGTGTCAAAACCAGCACCCAAGTCTAACAGGATTCAGTCTGAAGTTTTGCCTGCGTCAGTGTTCGGCCGGCTGCCATACAAGAGCCGCCTCAGTGCTGAGGACATATCTGACTGGAACATATCAAATGAGGTGGTAATTACAGTGTTTCCCACACATTTGAAAGCAATGTGTTACTTTTGTGCACAACCAACATGCATTTTTAATGCCGGGGAAATTTAGGTACCCAAGCTTTAATTTCGTGAGTTTTGGTTGTGCATAGGCAGGAGACACCTGGGAGACCTGCACTTAGAACAAGCTGGGGATGGTCCTGAACGCGTGTCAATGGTTCTGTCTGCGTGTCTATGGTCCTGTCAGTGCGTCTATGGTCCTGTCAGTGCGTCTATGGTCCTGTCCACGCGTCTATGGTCCTGTCCACACGTCTATGGTCCTGTCAGTGCGTCTATGGTCCTGTCCACGCGTCTATGGTCCTGTCCACGCGTCTATGGTCCTGTCAGTGCGTCAATGGTCCTGTCCACGCGTCTATGGTCCTGTCAGTGCGTCTATGGTCCTGTCCACGCGTCTATGGTCCTGTCAGTGCGTCTATGGTCCTGTCAGTGCGTCTATGGTCCTGTCAGTGCGTCTATGGTCCTGTCAGTGCGTCTATGGTCCTGTCAGTGCGTCTATGGTCCTGTCAGTGTGTCTATGGTCCTGTCAGTGCGTCTATGGTCCGTCTATGGTCCTGTCCGCGCGTCTATATGGTTCTGTCCGCGCGCTGAGCTGTTAGCAAAGGGGCTGTTGTTACAAAGCCGTCGCAGCTGCTCCCGGCGTCAGAGCGGAGGATGTAAATTGCGTTTGAGTTCGTGCAGCAAACAACAGAAAGTGCCCGCAGTCACACATTTCACAGAAATTTGGAGAATTTTGACAATAATTGATTTAAAAAATAAGATGAACAAAAGGTGTCTGCTCGCCTCCAGAGGAGGAAATGCGAGAATGCATTTTCGGCCTGAATGGGTTAAAGTAATACACTTGCCCGATCGGGCAACTTGTTAAAACAGTGCACTTACCCGTCCCAAATCTAGTTGCCCTGGGCAAGCGGACAACCGTTAATGTCGAGCTCTGTAAATACAGCGGAAAGAATACACTGCGTGTTTTAAATAGCGTTAAATATTTTAAAAAATACATAACAAAAAATTAATAGTGAAACGCAATCTATGGCGGTCGGTTTCGAATCTGTGGCGCACTGCCCCCAATTAGCCTATGTATGGGAAACACTGAATTAGGAGAAATGTTTCAACTTTTCATTGGACTGAACAGTTTTGAGATGGTATGATAATTGGCAAGTACTGTGGCGTCCAGGGTACACTTTTTTAGGAGGGGCTCAATGGCCCCTGTTTCCAAACCATTACGGTAAGTAAGTTGTACTTTATTGTCCCTGTAGGGAAGTTTGTCCTCTGCATTTGACCCATCTTCCCCTGCCAATATGGCCTTTGTCAGGAGTAGTGTTCACCATAATACAGCATGCAGGGCCCATCTCCAGATGTTCAGGATAGATCAGGTTCCTATCCTGATCAGGATAGGAACACATGAATTACTGCAGCCTTCATTCATTTCAGAAAAAATATTCAGCACCTGTACAAAAAAAATATATTTATCTTGTTCTTCATTGCACCTGGTTAAACTCACACATTTACTTATTTACTTATCTTTGAATTCACCTGGACATTGAACTTTCAACTTTAAAAAAACCTTTCTAACAATGGCAAGGCAAGTTTATTTTGTGTAGCACAATTCATACACAAGGCAATTCAAAGTGCTGAACAAAATAAGAAAGCATTAAAATCATAAATAATCACAGTATATTAAAAAGAAAGTGTAAAATCCCTCAGTTGTATGCACAGCTAAACAGAACTCTTTTCAACCTTGTTTTAAACATTGTCAGAGAGGAGGCCTGTCTCACATCTTCAGGAAGACTGTTCCAGATTTTAGCAGCATGAATCTGAAAAGCAGCCTCCCCATGTTTAGTTCTGACTCTGGGCACTAACAGGAGTCCAGTCCCTGTGCTCCTCAGAGTCCGGGCTGGTTCATATGGGACTAACATGTCACTAATATATTTTGGTGCGAGGCCATGGAGAGACTTGTACACAAGCAGAGCTGTTTTAAATACTATTCTCTGAGCCACAAAAAGCCAGTGCAGAGACCTGAGGACCGGACTAATATGGTCGTACTTCCTGGTTCTAGTCAGGACTCGAGCTGCTGCATTTTGAATGTACTGCAGCTGTTCAACCTGGAGAGACTACAAGAGACGAGATGCGTTTAAGAGTTGTTTATTTTATGGATTGAGTTTTTTTATTGGTTTGGAGCTTAGGCCCCGGCTGTGGCCGTGCTCTGAAGAAATCTGCGCCCGGGTGCAGATCATGATCCCCCGGGGCCTACACTGGTGGTGGCAACAAGGCAAGGTGAATGTGAGAGTGAAGAAATCCTGAGGCGGAGGTGGGGAGGAGGTGGTTGCAGCTTGAAGTCCGTTTGGTGAGCTGTGCTCTGCTTTGCTCTTAAACGCTGGCTTGATTGACACGGCTGCGGGGAGTTGATTAAGGCAGGCTGAGTAAGGCGTGGTCAAGCCTGGTGTGATAACGTAGGTAGTCTACCATCCTGAACCTCCGCTTAAGCTGCATTTTTACAGCCTGTTTGGAGAGACCAGTGAGCAGGCCATTGCAGTAGTCTAACCTACTGGAGACAAATGCATGGATAAGAATCTCCAAGTCTGCTTTAGACACTATGTTTTTGATCCTTCAATCATTTCAGAAAAATACCTTTCTCTCGTACTACGTAGCATCCGGTTAAACTCGCACAACTTATCTTTGAAGATCTCGTAATCAACCTGCAGGTTGGACTTGCGCCACTTCCGCTCGGCCCTCCGGCACTTTCTCTTCTGTGCCCTGACCGAGTCTGCTTTTGCCCACGGCGCTTTCTGCTTTTTTTTCACTATTTTAACCTTCACAGGGGCAACGGTATCCAGAACATTCAAAACACTAGATGTGAGTTAAACAGTTCATCTACAGTAGAATACAACGAATTTTCAAAGTTTATCATTCCAATAAATAGTTCACTTGTATTCTCAAAGTCAGCTGCACTAACTGACTTTGAGAAATTTTCGAATGAGAACGATGAGCTCGCGCTCTCTGCTCGCACACCCCCCCCCCTCAGCCTCTGCTCATGCTAACTGTATACACGTCTCACAATATGGACACATTTGAACGTCGATGGCGTGACCATAGAATGATCCAACCGGGAAGCGCGGAGAGGACGAGACTTTATTTTGGATGGCTGTTTCGCTGTGTAACGAAGACACGGGAAGTTTCAGGTTAGCCTCCGCCGCTTGTTTACCTCAGCTGTCTGTGCTAACAAGAGACCTGTGGCTTTTCTCAGGAGAGCGGGGGCCAGTGCTCCGCTGTGATTGGTCACAATCGGGTCCCGAAACACATTCTCTTCCTTGTTTCACGAAAACTACTTTTTATCCCAGCTACAACAGCACCATCTGCTGGTGTACTGCTAGAACAACCACATTACACTTACGAATCTTTTTGACACACGCTTGGCGGCAGAGGTGTGTCAAAAAGAGATTTGTGTGTAAAATAGAGCCTGTGCGCAGCACTTAGGCTTTTTTTTTTCTTCTCTTCGTACAACGTGGCTATTTACACACAGATTGTTCTGTTACAGATACAAATGTCAAATTACACACACACAAATCTGTTTACGCACGCACACAGTTCAAGTTACACTTGTGAATCAGCGAAGGCAGGACTGCGTCAAAAGATTTGAGTGTAAAAAAAAAAACTGTGTGTAAAACGTCCTTCAGAAAATCTAAAGTGCAGTATTATAGTGCACTTGCCCCAAGCCTAAAGTGCAAGATCTCTAAAAACTACATATCAGTGTTAATTTTGACAAGACATTCTAATTTTGTTTTAGTATTAGTCTTTTGACTACTTTAGTTTTAGTCTCAATTTTAGTCATATGATTTAATTTAGTTCTAGTCCAATTTTAGTCGACAAAAATATGAAGCAATTTTAGAACTAAAAAATACTTTTTTCCTAAACATGTATTATCGCTATTATATGATGACAACCGTGACATGGGTAGCTATTACTTTACTTAAATTTGGAGCAATCTTGTTTTTATATAATGTAATTTTAGATCAACTGTAGATGTCACCATTTATTGTAGGCACTGAAGAGGGTTTAAAAAAAATTTGTCCACATGATGGCGGTATAGCAAATTAATCACCTCGTTTTCAACCATGTAATGGCTGCGATGCCTCTTCACAGGGCTTTACATTTCTTATCTTATTTTATTCTTTGTCAAACATAAAAGGCTCCACAGATATCCTCTTCTTTTTCTCCCAGTCATGGACATATTCTTGTTCTTTTCATCACTGATACAACAAGCTTACGTGAGTACCGTGGTGTTGTGGTTAGTGTTAGCAGTTGCTTCTGTTCACAGCTTGCGCCACCGCTGCTTACTAAGGCAACTCCTCATTGGTCCTCCGCGCATTACTCTGGCCAGTCGATTGGTTATTTTCTCATTTGCTCCATCCTTTCTGATTCGATTTTGTCATGGTCCATTTTTTGTCTCGTCTTTTATTCGTGGACGAAAAGGTCAAACAATTTAGTCATCGTCTACGTCTCAAGGAATGACTTCTATTTTAGTTCTCGTGTCGTTTTCGTCCCCAAAAATATATTTGTGACGAAAAATATGACGATAATATATCGTCAGCAAAATTAACACTGCTGCATATACGCCTCGGCTTTTTCTCGTATTTCAAATTAAGAATTAAAATGGGGTTGGGTTGCTTCTATTAAAACAGCATTTTCTGTATTTTGATTAAAGAGGGACAAGTATAGAGGTGGAGGCTGGGGGGAGAAGGTTCTTCACTTTGATGAAAACTCTGGTCTGGAACTAAGCAGAACCATCTTCTGCAGGAAACCACTGCTGATTTACAGATGTTTTGGGGATTGAAAACAGTCCATATGATCCAAGTGGGTGGAAATAGAATGTATTCGGTCACGTCGAATATCATTTTAGAGATTTTGTTTTGATCCTTGATTTTTCCATAGCAGTGCCCATTATGAAAAGAGGATTTTGTTGTCTTCAATGAATTCAAGTCACAGGACTTGTGTTCACACCAGTGGGGGCGGGTCCCAGCTTAAAAGTGTCCAAAATGACGTGCGCTGACATGCTTGCAATACCACCCCGGGCCGATGGGGGTGGACCCAGAAGAAGAATTAGCCAATGCTAACTTATAGCATTGGCCGACCTCTCGAAAACGTCTTTACAGGATGGACCAAAAGTCGGCTCTTGGCCCAAAGCTCCGTTCCACATGTGTGTCAATCCTGAGGGGGGTGAATTTTTTTGGTCCACTCTAGTTTACTTGCTGTGAATTTTTGAAGTCTCTCGTTCAAATGAATGGAGCTTGCGCCGGCTCATGCATGCGCAGATGCGTTTTTTCACAATTTTCTTGTGGGCAGGACCACTCGCGGCCATTTTGGATTGCTCCAGTAGAGCACAATTTTTGGCCCATTAGTTAGAACGGCGGAGAAAGGCGTGACTCTGTCCGTTCATTTTTACAGTCTATGGTTCACACCTCATTCTGCGTCAGCTTTGTGGGCGCCAGCTTTGTGGGCGCCAGCTTTGCACTCAAAATGAATGGTGGCGTCCCTCAAAAGCGTCGCTTTTGGAGTTTTAGCTTGAGAAATGTTGAGCTTTTCGAACTAGAATGTTGTTGTCTTCAAAGAATTCAAATCACAGGACTTGTATGTACATGATGTTCCGTTTCTCTCTTAGGACTTCTTGCTCCTGTCTGCCGGTGCCAGATAAAGTCTCAACTCAAGAGCAAGTATCAGACTGTATTTGAGGGAATTCAGAAACAAGGAGCAGCCTTGAATCAAATCTACACCGAGCTGCACATCATCGACGAAGCCTCTGAAATCAGTGAAGGACATGAAGTGACACAGAACGAAATGAGACCGACCAGAGCCACCTCCACGCTCACATGTGCAGACCTCTTCTGCCCTGGTCCTGAGAGACAGAAGACTCGAGTCGTGCTGACCAAAGGTTTGGCTGGTGTTGGAAAAACCATCCTGACACAGAAGTTCAGTCTGGACTGGGCCGAAGGCAGAACCAACCAGAACCTGCACTTCATCTTCCCCTTCACCTTCAGAGAGCTCAACCTGCTCAGAGGAGAGACCCACAGTTTATTTGCACTCGTAGGAAATTTCCTCCCTGAAATGAGCCGCGGCATTTGCAAGTTTGAAGAGTTTAACTGTTTGTTCATATTGGACGGTTTAGACGAGAGCCGTCTGCAGCTGGACTTCAATGAAACCTTGTGCGTCTCAGATGTGAGAGAGAAAACATCCATAGAGACTCTCCTGCTGAACCTGATCAGAGGCACGCTGCTTCCTTCTGCCTATATCTGGATTACCACTCGCCCAGCGGCCGCCAGTCAGATCCCTGTGAATTGTGTCGATATGGTGACAGAGGTCAGAGGGTTCACAGATGCACAGAAAGACATTTACTTTAGGAAGAAATTCAGAGAGGAAGACATTTCGAAAGTCTTCTCTCATGTGAAAGCCTCACGCAGCGTCTACAGCATGTGCTCCATCCCAGTGTTCAGCTGGATTACTGCTAAAGTCATGAATTATATCCTTCGAACTGGAGAGGGCCAGGTGAGCTACAGTTTCATTTTATTCTGAACACGGATCAAACTAGAGATACATTTCGGTTTAGAGTTCATCAACTCACATTTATTGTTTCTCCCAGACCCTGGGGTACTGGAGGGCATAGTTTTGTCTTATCTCTTTTATGTTACGGACATAAGGAACAATAGTCAAACATTAATCTACTGTTGTATTGTATGTCCTCGCAGATTTATAATTTGCACTCATCTCTTATCTTACACTAATGACAAAGCAGTGTTTTTGGTTATGTGTGCTGTTTGTATAAGGAACAAAAATAATGGACTTTCCTTGTTTGTGTCATCAGCTGCCCCAGACGCTGACAGAGCTGTACATCCACTTCTTGGTCGTCCAGGCCAAAGTCAGTAATAAAAAATACAAAAATGAGGCTGGGGAAGACCCTGTCTGGAATCCCACCAGAAAGAATACTCTGATGTTATTATCCAAACTGGCCTTTGAGCAGCTGCAGAGAGGAAACCTGATTTTCTACAAGTCTGATTTAAACGACTGTGGCATGGACCTCACTGAGGCATCTGTGTATTCTGGAATCTTCACTCAGATGTTTAAGGAGGAGAGAGGCCTGTACCAGGAGGAAGTCTTCTCTTTTGTCCATATGAGTGTCCAGGAGTTTCTGGCTGCTCTTCATGTTCACATGACTTATATGAACTCTGGAGTTAACCTGCTCTCAGAAAACTCTTTCATAACAAATTTGAAATATGCTTTTAAAAACATATTCATTCAAAACAAATCTCCCCAGATTTGCCTTTACAAAACTGCAGTGGATGCGGCTTTAGAAAGTGAAACTGGACATCTGGACTTGTTCCTACGATTCCTTCTCGGTTTGTCTCTTGAGTCTAACCAAACCCTGCTCAAAGAGTTGGTGAAGCCAAATAAAAATCCACAGATGAATGAGGAAAGTGTCAGATATTTGAAAGAAAAGTTAGCCACAGGTCTGTCAGTGGAGAAGAACCTGGTGCTGTTGCAGTGTCCGATTGAGCTGAAGGACAAAGGGCTTTGTGAAGAGGTCCAGACCTGGCTCAGCTCAGAGAAGATTCCCTCAAACCTGACTCCAGCTCAATGGTCTGCACTGGTCTGCATCTTACTGTCCACAGAAGAACAAGAGTTTGATCTGAGCAAATACCAACAGTCGAAGAAGGCTCTTCACTATCTGATGCCTGTCGTCAAACAGTCGACCAAAGTTCTGTACGTTTGTATAACCAGTTCAGGTTTTTGTCACATCTATTGAACTCCAATTAAATATCACATCTGTAAAATTTGCAGTGGTTCTTTCCTCTGTTTTACTGTTAACGCATAATCAACGTCAATGTCTTGTTCTTGGTCTTCAGGCTGAGTGGCTATCGTCTCGACTCCAGCGGATGTGAGGCCTTGGCTTCGGTGCTTGGTTCTCAGTGCAGGCTCAGGGAGCTGGATCTCAGTCATAACCTGCTGCAGGACTCTGGGACCCTCAAACTGTGTGAGGGGCTAAAGAGTCCAGCCTGTGCTCTGCAAACACTCAGGTCAGAGCTGTTTTACCAATGTCTCCTAACCTCCTCTTTGTGGAGGCTTATCAATGTTCCTTCTTGTCTGTCCCTCAGGCTGAACTTCTGCCGTCTGTCTGCCAGCTCCTGTGAGGCTCTGGCCTCAGTCCTGGTCTCAGAAACCAACAGACTTAAAGAGCTGGACCTCAGTAACAACGACGTCCTGGACTCAGGGGTCGAGACTCTGAGCAGTGCCTTGATGAGCCCCCACTGTAAACTGGAGACCCTCAGGTCACAGCACCAACAGAGGCTATCGAGTGAACTCAGAGCTAACAAGCTAACATACTTACTCTGTGCTCTGCAGGTTGTCTGGTTGTCAGGTCTCAAAAAGTGGCTGTGCATCTCTGATCTCAGCCCTGAAATCTGAAGGTCGACGTTTAAAAGAACTGGACTTGAGCTACAACCATCCTGGAGAAGCTGAAGCAAAGAAACTTAATGATTTGTTCAATGATCCACAGATGAAACTCAGGTAATAATTCAATATATGTCCATAATTATTTCTATCCCAATTTCTATTTTATGTAAAGATAGACATTGATCATGGAAGCTTCTTGATTCTCATTATAGCTTACAGCACGGAGGAGAGGAAAGATTGCAAGGAGGGTTCAAGAAATGTAAGTTTTATTACTGTCGGAGTTTCCAAAGTCATACAGAAGTCATCGTTTTTTTTGTCTATTGCAGATGCACATCCCATCGTATTTGACATAAACACTGCTCACAAACAGATACAATTCTCCGATGATAATAGAACGATTTCTTTGGCGGTAAAGCAGTTGTACCTTGATCACTCTGAGAGGTTTGATAACTGGAAGCAGGTGATGTGTACAGAGGGGCTGCGAGGCCGGAGGTACTGGGAGGTGGAGTTCACTGGAGACGTCTACATCGCTGCCACCTACAAAAGCCTCAAACGCAAAGGCAGAGGAGACGAGAGCTGCTTTGGGAAGAACTCCCAGTCCTGGAGTCTAGGCTGTACAGAGACAGAGACGTTTTCTGTCCTCCATAAAAACAGGAGATTGTCTTTCAAACAGAAGCCTTCAACTCGAGTGGGGGTGTACCTGGACTGGGAGGGAGGGGCCCTATGCTTCTATGACACCTCCTCAGACCAGAAGACCCACCTTCACACTTACAGAGAAACGTTCACAGAGGAGGTCTACCCTGCTTTCAGAATCAAGACCCAACCAACAAATTCCTCTGTCACTCTGTGTACAATATGATGATTTCACTTCACGTCAGGGGCTTGTTCCTAATATCACTCTGTTCATACTCAGTAAAAGGTCATGACAATGTTAGCCATAGGTTTTATATAAGGGTTAGGGTTAGGGTCAGGGTATATATACATTTTTATCGTTACTCAGACGAAGTAGTGCTAAATTGAATGATGTGTTACATAAAAGGAATGTTAAACCGTGAGCTTGTTACTAGATCGGTGACACAAAGGTCCAAACCTGTCGTGCCTTCAGTGTTAGTGTATTATGAATCTGTGCACAATCTGATTGGTTGCTAGTTGACAGTCATGTGACTATCATAGTTCAATATATGTTATCTCTGTTCTATGGGTGTTAAGTGTTTTGAAGTATATAGATCAAAAGCAGATCATGAAGGTAGAGCGACATCACCTTAATTTTCTGATCCCTATGTTATTTGTTGTGTACCATACTCTAATCTCCCCAGATCCTTCTCCTCTGTCTCTTCCACATAAAACATCCGAAATATATCAAAATGTTAATATCATTATAATTCATAAACTTGATAATGTAGTTCCTGTTCTTTCATATAACAACTCTTTGAAGATCTAATCTATGTGTGTATGTAAAAACAAAACCACGTGTTATGTGTTAAGCCTGCCTATGTTTATCCTGTTGGTTCACTTTTTAGTTTCATTTTCTCAGAGCAAAGGACGCTCCATAAACAGGTAATACTCATACTTTGTTGTGTTTGTGTTTTTGTGTGGACAGTTCACTGAATGAAGAGACTGATCCACGGTCGCTGCTGATAAAGAAAATAAGTTTATTAGTTTGTTTAAAAAGAAATATACGCTATATTATATCAAACAGTTGACAGCATTATTGGGCCAATAGTTAGCATTTATCAATTTATGCTACAGGTGAAAAAGAAAAAGGAGCGAAATTAAAGCAACAAAAAGGCGTTTAGCAGCCCATAGAAGAAGTGCTCAGCAGCCCAGGGGACGACCGCCAAAACCAAAGCATCCAAAAGAATATAAAATCATTTTCAAAGTATTTGTGTGATTTATTAATTTTAAATGGATGAATGAGGATGCCTGTCGGAGCTGTACAGGCCGAAGGCGGTGCTGGCCATGATCTCTCATCCATGGTCTCTCATCCATGGTCTCTCATCCAAGGGCTGCTCCACCAGAGCATCCAATGGCACACCGTGGTCCTGTGCCTTTTGTGGAGAACCGAGCCAGGATCATAGGGCACAGTTGTACCGGGAGGTACAAGAGCGTACCCCCTGCATGTCCTTCAAATCCTGAGACATACAGTTTCGTGGCTTCTCCTGCAACGTCTCGCAAAGAAGATCCTGTGTAAGTCTTCATCAGTGACAGGTCATCAGGACACAACACATGCAGTCCTCTAAAAGAACCAGGATATACAATGTTAACTGTGTACTATGTGGTGAACATGTGGTCTGATGGATGCACAACAGACTCCATCCATTCCTTTAGGTGAGTCCAGTCTTAACCTAGAACACCTGAGGAAATGGATGGAGTCCAAATGTGGCACCTGGTGTTGAGGTCTCCCATCACAGTACTAACCAGGCCCTACTCTGCTTAGCTTCAGAGGTCAATATACTGTATCTAACTCTCTCCAGCACTTGATTGGTGAATCTCAGTCTTAAAATCTCAGTGGAGGAAAAGAGCTGAGATGCAGCCAGCGAAAGTTCAATTTGGTAGACGTTGTTATGTTTGCCCTATGGCTATGGCTGGGATGTTATTGTGTTAAAATAATCACCACCATGTAGAGTACGTCAAGTATCTTTTATCAGCCAACATAAACTCTCGAACCTGGTCTCGCGATACAGATGTACAACATTGTAGAACACAGCGCCTCTAGCGTCTGGATGTTACATCTCCCTTCCAAACAAAATGTAGCTACAACATGACTTAGATGGAATGTAACCGAAAATGGTGAATGACAGTATAATATAGTAACACTATATTGCTATGCATTGCTGTCTAGATAAGGAACAAAACAAATGCATTAATATAAACAAAAGTTATACAATTTCTTGACCTAGCTTATAAGCTGAAATAGTGCAATTGTACTTTGATTATTATTTGCTTAAATTGAATAGGCAAAGCAAATTTTAAAATGAACAGCTTAAAACAATATAAAAATGCCTATATGCACAATGTGAACAATTCTCATATTGGCATTTACAAATCCAGTATTTGTCTGGGTTTAGTGACACGGCCTACTCTTGTGGTGTAGCCGGGCTGCTCTTGGGGCTGTTGGGTTGCAGCTGGAGCAGGCTCAGGCATGTGAGGAGTGTCACTGAGTTGACGCACTGGTTGGTTGTTTTCTGATGTGCCTGTAGTTTCCTTGGATTCGCGAAGGTGGCGCCTGTTACGCCGAAAAGTCTGTCCTTCCTCCGTTTGAATGTTGTAGCTCCTGTCGGTGTGAGCTTGCTGTGTCACTGTAGCAGGTCGCCAGGAACCATCTTCTTGGCGGAAACGAATGTGTGTACCTGCTGGGAGTGGTGGTAGCGCTTTAGCTGATCTGTTGTAGTATTCCTGCTGACGGTGCTGGCACGCTTCCCTGCGCTGCTTGACGATGCGCAGAGGAGCAACTTTTGGCTTTAGTTGTGTTGGTGTTGTAGGGAGAATGGAGCGTAGCCTGCGACTCATCAGGAGTTGTGCTGGGGACTTGAGATTGTCCACAGGGGTGTTTCTGTACTCCAACAGTCCAATATATGGGTCTTTTCTGTCAGCTTGAGCTTTATCCAAGATCCGTTTGGCGGTTTGCACAGTTTTTTCAGCTAGACCATTGCTTTGAGGGTACCGTGGGCTGGTGGTGACATGTGTAAAGTCCCAAACGTCTGCAAAGCGCTCAAACTCTGCAGCACTATAGCAGGGGCCGTTGTCACTGATGACACGTTCTGGGATACCATGACGTGCAAACGCCGATTTTAGTTTTAGGATTACAGCCGATGCAGTGCAACTAGTGAGTTTCTCCATTTCAAAGAAACGACTGTAGTAATCCACTGTAGTGATGTAATCCTGTCCATTCCATGTGAATAAGTCTGTTCCTACTACCTGCCATGGCCTTTGTGGAATAGCGTGTGACAGTAGTGGTTCTTTGGTGTTAGCACTGCGTCGCTCTTGGCATATACTACACTGACCAATCATGGCTTCTATTTGCTGACCCATGCCTGGCCAAAACAGTACATCGCGTGCTCTGTTTTTGCATTTTTCTACACCCATGTGGCCAGCATGAATACGGTCAAGCATGTCATTTCTAAGGGTCAGAGGGATTATTATTTTCTCACCCTTGAATAGTATGCCCTCGACTTCGCTTATCTCATCTCTGTGATTCCAGTATTCTTGTGCGAGTGGCGGGCATTGTTTACGCCTGTGGGGCCACCCCGACTTTGTGACTTGTTTCACTACCATGAGCTGGGAATCATGTGCAGTAGCGTTTTTTATTGCTTGTAATTTAGCATCGCTTACTGGCATGTTGTTGATGAGGGTGTGTATTTGAGCCTCCATACCTTCACGCAAGCTGTCATCACTGTACTCAATCGACTTTCTCGACAACGTGTCAGCTACCGGTATTTCTTTTCCTGGTTTATGCGTGATGTGGATGTTGTACTTTTGGAGTTGAAGTATCATTCTTTGGAGACGCGGTGGCGCAGCAGAAAGTGGTTTCTTTAATATTGCCTCCAGGGGCTTGTGGTCAGATTCCACAGTCACTTCTCTGCCGTACATGTACTCGTGGAAACGTTTACATCCAAAGAGCACTGCGTACAACTCCTTTTCGATTTGAGCATAGTTTTGTTCTGTACTGTTCAGTGATTTTGATGCGTAGGCAACCGGCCTGCCATTTTGGAGCAGTACCGCGCCTAACCCGTTCTTTGAGGCGTCAACTTGAAGAGTGAGCTCTTTGTGAGGGTCAAAGTAAGCTAACACCGGGTGGTTCGTGATAAGCTCCTTGATTTGATCAAACGCTTTGTCGTGCACAGCATCCCAAATGAACTCACTGTCTTGCTTTAGTAACTGTCTTAGTGGTGCATTCACTTCTGAGATGCGTGGTGTGAATCTGGCCAAATAATTGATCATGCCCAATACAGTCTCTAGCTCAGACTTGGACTGCGGTGGCTGCATGTCTTGTATGGCGTTCACTTTTTGTGGGTCTGGGCTGATGCCTTTGTTTGAGAGCTTGTGTCCAAAATAACTGACTTCTTGGACACAAATTTTACACTTATCTGGATTCAACTTGAGTCCTCTTTCTCTTGTGCGTTGTAACATAGCTCTCAAGTTTTCATCATGCTCCTCTTTGGTCTTGCCAAAAACCAGGATGTCGTCTACTATTGCAGCAACACCTCTGAGCCCTTCATATGTCTCATCTACGCGTCTCTGAAACTCATCTTGTGCTGAGCTGATTCCAAAAGGCAGCCTAAGGAATCTGTATCTGCCAAATGGTGTATTAAAGGTTGTCAGCATCGATGACTTTTCACTTAGTTTTATGGCCCAGTAGCCTGATCTGGCGTCCAGTACACTAAAGTACTGTGCACCAGCGAGTTTCGTGGTGACGTCTTCGAGTGCAGGCAGAGGGTAGTGTGGTCTCTGAATAGCCTTGTTAAGGTCTCTTGGATCTAAACATATTCGTAGTTTATGTTTTTGTGCTTTTTCGACAACAACTAGAGCATTTACCCACTCCGTTGGTTCTGTTACCTTTGTGATAACTTTGTCGTCCTCCATCTTGTCCAGCTCCTCTTTTAACCGTGCTTTTAGTGCGATAGGGACTCTGCGTGGAGGGTAAACCACTGGTGTTGCGTCTGGATCAATGCGCAGTGTGCATTCTCCTTTAAACTCTCCAATGCCCTGGAAAACATCTGAAAACTCTTTTAACATTGTTTTGGGGTCGTTGTGTGTTTTTGTTTCACTCACCCCCATTACCAGTCTTATTAGGTTCAGTTCTAGGCTTGCGCTCAGTCCTAGGATGGGTGGTCCTTTGGCGTTGATGATGTGAAAATC